CTCTTGGCTGTTGTCCAGTTGGATGTTTGTCTGGCATTCCTGCAGACAGAGCTGAGAGGAAGGATCGTGAGAATACTATCTAGATCCAATCAAGATTTCAAAAAGATAATTCGGAGACGACGCTTTTTATTTGCTAAAGCAGCTTTTGAAGAAGGGAAAGGGCGCCGCGAAATGCATAATGAAGAAGATATAAAATATCTAAAGTAGACTCGTTATCTTGAGAACATGCGTGTTTTCACTCAAAGCACCTGCGCTGCATTTTAATTACAGCTTATCAGGTGTGACATTCCCTGCTTCATCTTGCCCTAACACAAAATTAACACTAATACCGCGGATAGAGACAAACTTAAGTCACAAATCCAATATTCTACTCACCGAATATTGATTGGAGTGTGGACAGAACACGAAAAGAAGGCGTTATGAGAGGAAATTCGCTGAGAAATGTCATGGCAAATTAAATAGAATGATTTTGTCACCTTAAAACTCATTTATCTGCTCAGCGATAAGAATCTCAACTCTGTGCTGAGATTTCTCCTCGGAATCTTGCCAATAAAATTTATTGGTCAAAATTCCACCGATGCGTTTTTTTCGGCCTGACGACTCTAATTGATGATGGGAGAGAGAAAGATGGCAAAAAGTGCGCCAACATATGGCGTTGGAGGCAAATAAATGGACTTTGAGGAGGAGTCTCAAGTGTTGTTTTCCTCTTCTCAATGACCCAAAAGTGTCTTTTAATGTTGTCCCATTTCATGCTCACTTCGGTGCCTTTTTCGCAGACTCAACGATCTCAAGGTGTTGAAAATGCCGAAATGATGTGACATGGCCTCATCACAGGACCATCACAGTGAACTCTCGACGCCCCCGGTGGGAGAATCGGCGGGATATGGGCCATCGACAGCGAATTCACCGTCGGATCAGCACTCATGCTCCTGCTCTCTGCACCACCATCATCAGCCGCACTTCCACACCCACGCAGGGGCGCATCATCACCATCATCCGCAGTATCATCATCACTGCGATGCCGCCACAGCGCTTCAGGACTCAATGATCCACCCGTACGGCTGCTCGGGGGCGCCGCAAATGAGCACTTGCGACTGCCCTGGAGACATCCAGAACGCTTGCCTCCACCAGGAGCCCACCAGTGGCCGCAGTTCGCGCATCGTGTCTGCAGATGAGAACAACCCTAGTGGCTCCGAGGACTCGGGCAGAAAGTGCTCTACCAGAGCCACGTGAGTACCGCGCAATGTGCCTCAAGCGTGAAAAATTGGATTAGACACACCAGCATTTGCCCCACAAACTCAATAAACATCTCAATTTGCCGCTGGAGATTAATTAATTTTTGGTCGACGCTGGGTTATTCAATTTAAACCAAATTGGTAATTTCTGAAATGAATTTGAGAGCTTCTGACGAAAGGCATTAATTGGCGCGCAGACATTCTGGGGAAAAATCAGTGTGGACAAAATTCTTCAGTCGGAAGCTAATTAGAATAATTGGCCTGCCCAGCAAGATTCAACATGAATTGATAAATTCTCTGCATTCTTTAGTTTCTGACACTGTGGAATTTTTTCGACAATTATGTATATATTTTATTTTACATTTAGTATTGGATTAGGGAATGTAAATATTTAGTGGAGACCGAGATATCTCTTATTAGACTACTTTGACTTACAATGAATCGATATAAGGCTGGGAGAGTTCCGGGTTTTGTGAGAATATCACTGATTGAGATGCAATCAAGATCGAATTTCCATGTAATTGCAGCATGAGTGGAGCCTTGCTGGACGACAGTCGGATGTGTTCGCATGTGAGGAAAGACTGTGGCCAGATGACGGCCAATCTGCGTCCTCAGACGCCCGACGAGCGGAAGTACGCCAGCAGAATTGAGGTGTACAGCGACGGCACGGACACTGGCGTCAAGGGGGCGGACGGGACGGCGTCTGAGGATGATCAGCGTCCACCACTTCCGCCCCGACCGCCTCGGCCACGGACCACAGCCGCCCCCAGGCTTAACGACGCGGGTGAGTCTCGGTTGACTTTTAAATCCAAATATACACCTTAGCATTTAAATTGATAATTTTCTAGTTGAAATTTCCACAATATGGTTAACCCTTTTGTCTTGTGTTTCTGTTCGAGGCGGAAATTAGTTCAGATCAGAACATAATACGATATATTTCTGGGTGTGCAAAAGTAAACAGAGCTGAGAGGCATTTTCATTGGGGGATGAGGAGGGAAAAAAGAAAAGTATCCCGAATCATCAATATTCTGGTCAAAGTGTGGTCCATTGTCAATAGTTGACTTACTTGTGGCTGAAAATCTCTTCAGATCGAATCACTTGTGGACTTTTTTTTTGTTATTGGGGTGTCTGCTCGAGATGGAGGAAATTGTCTCAAGAATCCCGAGAAAATGGGGGGAAGTTCAAGAGAGGAAGCCAATAAAGTGTTCTTCTTGAGCCACCAAATGACCATAAACTTACATATTCCTTGGCAATCCTCCAAATACCACATGTTTCAAGCTTTTAGGGTGGTTTGCTGATGAAAACATATCGCGAAAGGTGCTTATATTCTTCTCCACTCTACCCACAGGGCAAAGTATGAAATCCTCTCTTGAAAATTGAGTGAATAATTGTAATTAAAAATGCTTAAGTGTACTTTTGTGGTAGAAGAAAAAAGGCCAAGATAAATACGGAAGAGTGGATGAAAGCTTTCACAGACAGTGTCATACTTCAAGTTCTCACTTAATCACTTGGTGATAAAAAAATTCCCGAAGAAAAAGTATTTAATCACTTGTCTTCAACATTCTTCTCTCACTTTTCCAGAATATATTGACATTTTAAAACCCCCGGAAAACCTCGTAGAGTAGAAACATTGCACAAGGGCAATTACATTGAAAGCCCAAAATAGTTCCTTTCCTGCCACATCTTTCCTCCCCTGTTAAATTTATGTCATTCTCAAGTCTGTAAATGTGTTCCTCTTCCATCTGCCAATTTAGAGCTTTTGTAAGTTCGCGTGTCTCATTTGTCTTGATTGAATTTGTCCTCTTCGAGAATAACACTTCGCCTCACCGTCTCAAAACGTCGATTTCTCAGTTCTTTTTCCAACATCCCACACATGAAAAATCGATGGCAATGTCGAAGAGAAAATCCCATGAATTTATTGGGAAAATTCAGAGTGAGATAAAACAATATTGCAACTACTATTTTCCCATCTCAACTTCAATTCAATCCACATGGAAAGTGTGGGTGGAGAATAAGTGTGGTGAATAGAGGCAGGTGAATAAAGGGAAGTGACTTGAGGGTGTATGTGAAGCAGTGTCAATTTAATTTTAAATCTCCCACCCCGAAGCTCACCGCTTTGTATCGCTGCATCCGTGGTTCATGCTCAAGCTTCATGCAATTAAGCGATTTCGCTGCCAGTTATCGCACTAATTTCAAGGAGAAGCTTATAAATTTTGTATACATTATCTAGAGCAAATCCAATAGCAGATCAATACCCAGAGATTATTTAACACAATAAAATATTTGTCCATGGAAGAGTCATTTTGCTTTTAGAGGGAAAGACAAAAGCTCCAGAAGCCCAGAAAATATGCTTCGTCCTTGAAGCCCTCATAAATTGTAGAAAATGACAAATAGAGTTCCAGCGATATGAAATGCAAAATTGACCTAAACTGCAAACGTTCAACCCAGTATCGATCATCTCTGGCATTTCTATGCCCACATTTGGTCGAACTTCTCTCTGCTATCCTGTATCCAAACACATTTCTTCGTATCCTTTTCAGCTCATCAATCATTTTATTCTTTTACCATTGTATCTGCGGAAGATGAAAATGAAGTGTTGCGGCTCAGGATGAGTATTTATAGGTACATATTATGAAAATCGGCTCTGTTGCATTTCTGACTCTTGGCATCGAATGAAAGGATGTTGATCTAGTATTTTTGGCAAAAAATTTCACCACACTTTCCCCGCGAACAGCCAGACGACTTGTGTATTTATTGCACTTGTCGCAGTATTGTTCATTGGCCAACAGTGAAGCCAGATCCTTTTACAAGGCCTTCCACTCACTCTGCTGCCGTTCGTCCGAGGGAATTGTGCAAGTGGAGTGGGAGACAATGAGGGAAATAGGACATGTGTCTCATTTTCACATCCTCTTCCCATTCCGCACAACGTGAAATTGTGCCTTAGCTTGGCAGGCAAGATGCCAGGAACTTCACCAGACACCAGACGAGGCGAAAGATGGAAATTGAAATGACATACAATTGAGCATTAGATGACAATTCCTTGCAACTAACTTGCAAGGAGTATACCAATAAACATTATTCCCAGAATTTCCATCAACGGATAAATCCCCTTAAAGCCCAATCAACTTGTTTATCTCACCCACACCGCTTGCTTGGTATTCCCACTTGCCTTGTTTATACATCTGTTGTGTCCTCGAATATTCCACACCCCCTGTTTGGGCCATTTAACTAGGCCAGTGACATCCTCTCTTCGAATCTTGCGGAGGAAAATGAAAATTACTTAGACATTCCCTCCTTTTCTGTCGCTGCAGACAAAATTTCGTCCATCGAACATACATCTGGACGACTAGAAATTCCTGCTTCTGCATCCCTTTTGCTCTCTATGATGCCCTCCTCGCACACTGACTTTCTGATGATGACGATTTATCGATTACACTCCACACATGCGCCAAGTCGCACCCTGAAACATTTGCAATCTTCCCCAACACCGTGGCGGAATCTCTCCATTGTAGTCACGGAGAAAGTTCTTGAGTAATATTTGCGATAGTTGCATTATAAAAATTATTAGGACTTCATTCTGAAATTACAGAGCAATGAGAATGAATAGCATAAGAAACTCCAGTAAGATTCACTGAATCGTCTCTGTTATCAACTCACGGCGGTGAAGTGTAGCCACCCCTGATTTCCCCAGTTGCTCTTCCAGGAGAAATTTTCCCTCATTTCGCGCCATTCGAGGGGGCTGCCATTGATCGTAAAATCAGTCAAAGTTGAGATTCCGTTGGCGGTGGTTGAGCCCTTATGTGAGACAATTCCAAGAGTGGCGTTAGTGAGAATTTCTTGGACACTTCACCCTTAATCCATCCTCGCGCGCGGCCGTTGTGTGTTGCTCAAGCATCATGAGTGACACATTTTCCACGTGAATTGTGCCCCCAATTGCCAGAGACCGGAAAATGTGAGGTGATTGTTTTGGATCTCTCCTTCGCCACTCTCACTCTCTCACTCACTCTCTCTCTCTCGGACAATGGGAGACTTGTGAGCTTTCACTTTGCGTGGGTGATTTAGAATCTCTCAAGCATCTCTCCATCTGCTCAAGGCGTCTTGACACGCACGCAGCGCTGAGTTATTGATTGGCGGGATTCAATATATAAATTTCGTGTGTAAATATTTGATAAAGCGCGTGGGTGGCAATTAAAAAGCGACGAGTGTGGCATAAAGCGACGATGCTCAAGTTCCGACTGTAAAGTTTCTTGGGCCAGCAATTTTCCCACTCCACCCCGGCAAGTGGCCAAGTGAGAAGGAGGAGGAAATTCACAATCACCACACCTATTAAATCATCCCCCAGAGTGTGTGTCTCACGTTTTCCCATCATCATCATCCTGCCATCATCTTTCTCCATTAGATGGACGTGAAATTTTAATGCGGAAAAAATAGATACAGAAAGAGGGAGAGAGAGAAGCACGCATTTCGGGTGGGGGCGGAAACAGAACGTCTGGGTGAGAGATATCTCAATTAATTTTAACGGATATAAAAGCTCGCGTGTGTGACAATAGGAGTGACAGGATTGTGCGGACAAAAAAGAGACTGCATCAAAAAGTTTTGGAGCCTGATACAAAGGCCTCAAACAGCGACACGGAAATCAGGCAGGACTCGACAAAACAGACAATTAAAATCTCTCACTGGTGAAAAATCAATTTGAGTGCATTTCAGTCCCGAGCACAGTACAAAGTTATCAACTTTTTCTGCCCACCTGCATCCCAATACAGCCAGGCTGTGTGGAATTGCCTAGACAGGCTCTGTTGTCAACAGATAGAAGGACACATTTTCCTAGTGAATGCGAATGGGGAAAATGTGAAAAACTGTGTGTGGCTATTTTTTCGGACGAACAATTCCTGTCCACTCCCCCTTTGTCAACCCACCCGCAATATTTGACGGTGTTAAAGTGTGAGCACACAATGAAAGTTGAATAAAAATGCACGGATATCCGGTAATGCAAGTGGTTCAATACAGTGTTCCCCCTTGCTCGTGGGGCCCACCAACGGATTCACATCGTCCACAGTCGATTGGTTAGTAGCTATTGAACTGCACTTTGATATTATCGCCATATTTTGATAATTTTCACCTCAAATTGGCGAAGAAAGTTCAATTTTCAATTACCTCTTTTGCATGAAATGAATTTGTCCATTCTAATTTATTTATAGTTCCTCTGTATGTAGGATTTTCCACTGGTTATTGTTTCATTTCATAATGTGGGAACATTCAATGAGAGATTTAAAATAGGATTTTATCCTGCCACAAGTCTGCCGACGCAATCTGCAGTTTCTCATGCACAACATAACATTCTTCCCTTTATGACTTTCGACTTTGCTATGCTCAATGCGGGGCTAGTTTTAAACATATCTGGAGCATTACTAAAGCAGTATAAAATTTATGTTTTATTAAAGCTGAATATTCTTAGTGATGACGTGATCAAAAAAAGTTAAGATCTTCTTTCTTTAATTAAAAAAAAACGTATCATATCAAATATCAGGCGTAGTTTAAATTTTAATCAATAGGGCTTAAACTCAATTTATAACAACACCGCGTTGTAAATTTGTAATGTCTATTAGCTGATTAAAAAGTCCTTTCAACTGCATAAATCAATCATAACGCACTTTTCAGTAGATTCACGTTTCTACTGCGTAAGCGCTAAATAGTGGATTTATTGTGAACAATACATATTGTAATGCTGCATCACTTAGTTATTTGTGGTATTACTACATAGAATATTGACTGTAATGTATGTATAATAAAGCACATAGTCATTTAATCAATTCGGCGGTATTAACTATCATGACGCAGAATATGAACGCTCTGGAAGAACAAAGAGCGATTTATTTAATTTCCTTTCTCTCGTTATTTTCTGCGGTGAGGAGATATTTTGCGCCATTTTTGCACCCCTATTAACCTTTTTTTCTGCCAAGGCCTCGTTTAGGCGAATGCCTGAAGAATTAGAGGGAGCTGTTATGTCCTTTCCGTCCTGCCCCAATTTGGTTCGGTGGCACAGCCTGAATTTCACTGAGTCGGAAGAGAAGGTGACAATGGAAAGGAGAGGAAAATGTGTTGAATTCTTTTTTTTTTGTTGTAAGAAAATCAAATTTACAGCCAACCAAGAAAAAAGCGTGCTTCGCGCGACCTTGCTGGGAAGCTTATGGTGAATGGCATGCGGGTGAAGCGGGCTTTCGAGGGGGAGAGAACTTTCACGGGGTATTTTATTTAAGTCAGAACCGACACAATTTCCCATCTTGTAGTCCTGAAGCGATAATTTAGAGAATGTATGTTTAATCTTGCAGCTCCACACTCGGCTGGCAACCGGAAATACATAGCATGGTGTGCCATTTGTGGCATCTCATCATCCCTCGTGGGCATGCTTTTCCTCCCTGTGCACTTCACCTTGAGGACGCACACCGCCTCGATGTCTTACTTTGAAACAATTCCAACTTTTGTTCCCGCCACGCTGGTGAGTATACATATACATAATAAACAAATGACCAATAGAGATGCACGTTCAATGAGGAATTGAGTGTGTAAATGATTGACGAATGAAGTACGAGGAAATCGTTTCTGCTGATCATGATTTTGATATCTGAAGCACTTTCCTCGGCACCGTCAGTTTTTCTTCAGGGATTTTTTTTTCGCAATATTTTCTCCTCCCTCCACAAAGGCAATCACCCCATGGGAAATCACAAAATGAACACCAAATTGTGATGGAATGGAGCAAAAGTGGGTTATTTTTCGCTCCACTTTATTCCATCAATTCTTCCCTCATGTCGTTCTCGATTTTTCATCCATTCTCCAGGAAATGGGTGAAAATACTGCAAACACGCGTGGGTGTTCCACCTACATATGCTTAGACGGTGTTGAATAAGAGTGGGTGTAGATTGAAATTTCCCACTCGTCAGCCTAAATTCAACATTAATTAAATTTTGATTCTAGATTATGTGCGTCCAAACGCGAAACTGAAATAAAGCACTGTTGCACTGGAATAGAATATAAGTGGTATAAAGTGTTGAAATTTCGAGGTAATTGTGGAAAATTATTTCATTCAATTAAAATTTTATTCCAACGTCCCCAATTTCATGCACTCGAAAGACTTTCTACAACAAAAATGCAACACAAAGTCAATTTCTATTAGAATTTAGTCAGTGGTGAAATTTTGAAAGTTTAACTCTATCAAGGATATGAGAAGTTCCTCATGCTAGAACCTAATCTCATATTTCACTTATTAGACTTGAACTATTTAGCCCAAGCTGTAAAAGATCCGCAATTGAATTTCAAATAGAGCAATCCCACAACCCTTGCCTAGAATGTGACAGTGAATTGCGGTACAGGATTAAATTTACCACTCCCTGTACAGCATTAATTTTACACTCTCGCCAAGCATAGAAAGAGTGAGAGAGAGAGAGCTGACATTAATGAGAACGGAGGATGAAAAATTCAATTAGGCAAAAGTCTTCATTTGACTTTCGAAGGAAAAATTATTATCTTTCTACTCGCAGACGTCACTTTATTCAATATAATTTAAACTAAGGGGATAAAATGAATAATCACACCTAATGAGATTTTAATTGGATTTTCACTGATTATTCAAAATCTATTTTTGTTAATGACATTTAGAAATGCAATTTTCCAAACAAAGCGTGAACAAAAGTTTTTATTTGAGATTTTTTTTGGGAATCAAGCAAATTAATTAAATTCAGTGTAAAATTTGATACACTGGAAAACTTTTCTAAGATTCAGCATGATATAAAAGTGTACAGAATCACCGTGAAATTAAATGCAAATGCTAGTTGGTGGAAAACACTGGCGGCAATTCAATGGGGTGGAAAAGAAGAAAAGGGGATTTTCATAGAGAAATAAGCATCATGCTCTGGTTTTGGCTGGAATAATTAATACAAGGCATTGTGCTTGTTCTTCCCAAGTGATTCTCCCCTCAACCTTTCCCGAAACTCTCTATATATATATTTTCTCATGTCGCCTAAAATCTCCCATCTTCATCTTCAGTCGAAAGTTGTGCACTCACACACAATAAATTACTGAAAGTTCCTAGTTAGAGAGCCTTATTTAAAGTTCCATTTCCTTCTCCATGCAACAAACTCCACGAGGTATTCACCAATGGCGTAATGCTCAGGGACTGGAATGTGGTGGAAACTAAATGGGTTTACGGACTTTTTCATTCCGCCTACCGCGTGAACGACTCTGGGAATGTTTCAGGGAATTACTCAATCTTCAGTCAGCTTGTAAGCATTTTCCAAAGTCATTCTCTGCAAAATCCCCCAACTTCTCGAGATGAGCACTGTGGAAATTCATTCCCGTCATTCCTGTGAAATGATATGGAGAGGATGAAATAGGGTAAAATAGAGACAAGACGGTGGTGGGTAAAAGATTGAGATGAATGCAGAAATTCCTGTTCCGTGATACCTTTCTCTATCTACAGTTTTCCGCTACGGATGTTGCGCTCCTCAATTGAATATATCCGAAGAGGGAAATTTCATAGAAGGCATACAATTTGTCTGGATAAACTGCATGAAACAGATTTATACTTTATCTTACGAGACATTTACATGTTTTCCGCGTGACTTTCTTTGCACAAACAGAAGATTTTTTTTTAGAAAAAGAAAAGAATTTAACATAAAAAGTATTTATATTAAAAATGCATCAAGACAACCAAACAGGACGACTCAGAGTATGAGTTAATTTTCATTTCCAAAAGATCGTCTTGTCAACAATAACAACCTAGGTGTAATTGAATTGAATTGAATGGTGTACTTCATGTTCAGCGCAAGGATTCTTCACTATTCTATTTCTCTTCCGAGGCAGAGAACAAGAGAGGAAACTCCTTTCTTCACACAATATTGACGGTTTTCGAGGGAAAATCACTCAGTGATGCGAATGGGAAGAGCCCGGATGGTGTCATTCGTCTGGGAAACCTCCCTCCACTTTTTGGGTTATTCATCGCTTTACTAAAACATCATATTTTCATGTCAACAAAAGGGGCACTGTGAGGGGGATTTCATTTTCCATCACGTCACGTGGTGTGAGAAAAAGAATTCCTATTCGTCAAATGAAGATTCCAGGACGCAGAGTATTATCACCTTTCAACTTTCCGAGCCATATATCAACGCGAAGAGGCACATTTTCCATTATGGCACAAATTGACAAATGAAATTTCCTTCATCACACCTCATGTGAAAATATGTGACTGGATTGGGAAATCAATTCCCCATCACAATATTCACATGCTCCTTTTTTCCCCATATCGGGATTATTGGAAAATTGCGTGCTATTTAATATCCTGTCGTGGAAATAGACTTTGCGGGCATCAGTTGGAAAAACAGGTCAAAATCATCGGTATTGTGTAACAATTCATTCAATCCATGTTTTTACCATTGCCACCTTGATGGACGGGCACACTTAAATGTTGTTTCACAAAAAACCTCAGTCCCCTTGGCAGGGTCACACCTTTTGCAGTCCTGCAGTACATAGGATTATAAACCACTCCACAATTTCTCTACATCGAAACATTTATGGTTGGATGAATTATTGACAAAACTTTATAGGATTGCATTTGGTATTTTTCAATAGTTCAGAGGGTCCTGGCAGGTTCTCTTCGCTGCGTTTCGCTGAAGGCCGCGGATGAAAAGGATTATATTCAACACACAAAGCCACGAGAATTCACTTTCGCTAAGTACGAAAGTACGTTTTATGCAAATATAATCCTATTTTCCTTTACATTATCTCAAAGAATACAGAGATCCAGACAGAGATCATGATATAAAATGTAAAGGATGGGATTTTGTAATTACTATACAAGAGTGAGTTGATTAGAAAAAGGCCATAAATAACAAACCCACCCTCTGTCATTTCCCCTTCATTCTTCCCACCCACAACGGGGTTCAAAGCCCTTTGAATTTCCCAGTGAAACTTCAGTATCACTTGTTCATCTTGCGATTTCCCACACAGAAAAGCCCCTGAGAATGTTGATTTATCCAAACATGGCCAGAGGGTTAAAAATCAGCAAAAATATCAGACCAACTTCTTGAGCGAGGCTGGGGTGGAAAATCGGCGGGAAGTTTGCGAAAAACTTGTGTGTTGGGCACGCACGATAATGAAGATAGGAGGGTGGATGAGAATTTTATCTCGGTCTTTTGTGCAACAGTTTAGATTCCATTCCATTTGCAATAATAATGTAGAGGGTGGAATTCTCGCTCTCTCAAACACAGGACTGCGCGCGAGAAAATTGCTAGGAAAAAAACACGCCAGTAGAAAAATGGTTCTCAAGTGGAAATTCTTATCATTTTCACACTGATTTCTTCTTCATCGACTCGTGGGTTTTTCATGTGAGACTGAGGAAAAGAGAATGTCTCAGCAATTTCCTTGATTTATAGTGGGAAAAATTGTGCGAGTTATGACTGTGCGTTCGTAGGGAGATTGCTAAAAGCCTCCACAATTCCAGACACACTCGCGCAGCGCACTTCCCCCATGAGACTCACTCATACTTTTTTTTATTTGTACTTAGTGCAGTTGAAGCGGGTAACAAAACATCCTGCAAATTTCTCCGACGATCTCTAGAGGGAAAAACCATTCCTCTTTCGGGGAGGAAAATGTGCGTGGTTTTCACGGGTAAAAGATCTCAGGAGATTTTTTCCTCACGGGGATTTTATTACCAGCGAGAAATCATGGGGAGAAAAGGGATGAAATCTGCATCAAATATTACTGAAATACTTATGGGGATGAAATTTCAACAGTCAGCGAATGATATTTTGTGCCACGTTCTTGCCTTGAGGGACGCAAAAAAATCCAGACAAGTGCAATTATGACTCCCTCTCTCCTTAGCGTGATACAATGTGAATCAACCCCGCTCGAGGAGGGTGGAAATCGCTGGAGTCGTTCTCGTCGACAATTGAAGGGAGCACACACAGGGCGTCTTCAGTTTCAGACTGACGCCAATTTTATGACTATTTCCCACCCAGAGAGAAAAGAGACAGCGCGCGTTCCATTCTTTTAAAGCGAATTCTTTCCGCCGTGACACACATTTATTTGTGCTCCTTCGGGGAGATTTATTGAGGAAAACCCCTATTATCGCTGGCCAGAGGGAGGTTTCTCATTTCATCTCGTGTTGGCCTCCTCTTTGCACCAATTTAGGTGGATAAAAGGTGGCTTCCTAATTGGATTCTTCATCAACTCACCATTCAGGTGCGCTCTGCTGCTGCTGAGGAGTGGAAAGAGGCACTGATTTATACGCTCGGAGATTCTCATGGGCAGAGCCATTGAAAATTTCTTACCAATTAATTAGTGACTTGCCAGGTGAGGAGAACAACATGAACTCTTGAGTTCGAGAGCACACACAACTTTTGTTGTGTGCGAAAATTGAGAAAATTCTACGGGAATCTATTGAAGTTTCCCCACAATGATTCTCGAAAGCGCACGTGAGAGTCAAAGTTTCCCACCTCTTTTCGCCACCCAGATGCGATGATTCAAAATCCCTCTGGGGTGGTTATTGCTTCATATGACTCCGTCTGCACGTCTGAATAATTTTCCACTTTCACACATTAATGTGAAAGCCCCCGAGAGTGGTGCAGGGATGGCCGAGAGTGTGGGATCAATGTGGAAAACAACAAACTTTGCCATATCTTCCAAGCCACACCATATCTTGAGATTAAAGTTTTGCATTCAAATATCATACAAAGGTATATATTTCCAATCTAATCCACTCGCAAAACCACGCCAGAATTCACTGGTTTGGCGAGAGGTGACAATGGATCAACAACTTTCCAATTGAATATCCATGTAATATACACCATGAGACAATAGAATTAATTTGTGATTGTTAGATTTACGTAAATAAAATAGAATTTTGGGTGAATATAATTAGAGTCCTTTTGTTGAATACATTCTCCTTGGAAAACCTTGAGTTTTCTTTAAGCCTAATTTGAAATATTACCGATAATATGGTGAATAATTATGGAAAACTGTTGCAAGATATGAAAATACATTTTTCATAATGATTTTCATAAGAGAGCATTCGAATTGATTTTATTGAAATGTGAAGAGTTTGTGTAATCCTTAAAGCACGATATCAACATCAAGCAAAGTCTTGCACGCACAAATGTCCGAGAACTTTTGGGTCACACCAGTGTTTGTGATTTACTGCTCTTTCCGGGGACGACAGAATATCTTTTCCCGAACAGCTCTGAACTTGCGAAGACACCATGGGAGATTATGAAAGGATGGTGTGTCCCCAAACCGACATGATTTGAATAAATAAATCATCGCTAAATGGCAGATTATCAGCATCCATAATGGGGGCTCCATCTAATGTCTCCTCTTTCTCTTGCAGCTCATGCTGACCGGACTCTGTGTCATAAGTTTGGCCAAGAGACGTAATCGCTACAGTTACTTGGTAAGAGACACCCTCCTGGCTATTTACAAGGCTTCACTCCTCATCATTTCCATTGCAGATTAAGCTAACCGGAGCCTGTGCCCTGGCTTCAGCTCTCACGTGCGCTTTAGTGACTGTGACAACAACTGTTCTGCACATGAGTCGCCTGCAAGCACTACGAGAGTGCGAGTATCAGTCAAAGACTCGGACATGCACCTGCTATTCAGTGGTGATGGACTCTCCGTCTGAGCAAGTGGATGATGGTTGGTATTCCCAAGACATGCTCTTGATCTCACTTTCCTAATCACCCTATTTTCACAGGAGTCAGATTCGTCTTCGAAGCAGCCTCAGATTGTGGCATCGTTCACGGATCGATGTACTCTTGCCTCCGTGCTGTCTTTGGCCTTTCCGTGGCCGGGGTGCTTGTGTCTGTCTTCACGTGCATGCTGGGCTATCAGTTGCTGTGCCACGAGCGGAAGAATATGTATTGGGAGCAGCTGGAACTCCGCTGCAGATCGCTGTACACAGGACAACCGCCTCCGCCTGGAGTTCCTCCGGGGACTGGGCCATCTATCATAGGCACTCCTCGAGGGGGCCCTTGTAGATGCTGTGAGCAGTGTCACTCCCATCGTGGAGCCATGCCGTCTGCCTATCCTTGGGACGGAGACACCAGATTCTGGACACCGGGTCAAGCAGGGAATTTCTACTCGCCCAATCCTGGTGGGGATGAACTTGTTGGCGGTGTGAGGAGTCTGGGTCAGCTTCCTGGGCAGAGAAATCGCGCTCCAGGAGGCTGGAGTTGGCCCCGAATGCCATGGCAGAGGACTGAGCCTCAGCGCTTCAGGCAGACCCCATCCAGTCCGGATTCTCAGTATGGTTTCAGCAATACTCCGGCTGTTGAGGTGAATCAGAACAATCCAGCCGCCAATGGCGGATACAGCGTAATTGGAGGACCGCCGTATGGTGTCTGGGGTCCACCGCCACCGTACAGTGACCCGAATAGTCCCGCCAGAAGAGGCCGGTATCAGTACATACATCCCAGTGCTTGTCAGCAGGTCATGGAGCCTCAGCAGCAACCTAATTTGGCTATTCTTGAGTGTCACCAGCACAGCTCCTCGACGGACAGTCACTCAATGGAGCCCTTCTGTCCACAACAGCAAGCCCACCGGAATTTACTGAAGCGTCAAACTCAGGCGACGGCCTTCAAAACCAAGGATAACTATGAGAATACCCCTTCTGATAGCGACGGGCCGCGGGATAGGTTCTCAAACACCCTGCCAGTGAGAAAAACCAAGAAGAGAGTGGAGATGGGCGCAAAGAGCATCGGGCCTAATCAACCTGTGAGTAGGATTAATGTACAAAATGTCTTCAGCGGACCATCACCGGACCTAATGCATCCCACTGAGAATGAGTATCACGAACCAGGAGCTTCCACATCGACAGGCGATGGAGGACAAATGCCTAACACGAGTCACGCCAAGACGCGAAGAATCAAAACAGGGGTCGAGAATTCTGGCTTCCAAACACAAGTGGATCCACAAATGGTGGAGCAACTTGATGTTGGTGTCAGTGGGAATGGCATGAAAGCGCTGGAACCGACGGAATCTGAGGTGTACTTTGCCGATGTGAGTAGTTGCTGCAATATATCAGTTAAGAATGATAACTACTATGAAGAAGCAAGCCAGAGGCGAAAGGAGTTAAAGGAGGCTAAAGAGGATGCTGAAGATTATCTGGTGCAGAGGTTCGGAAAGCGAGAGACTAGCATTCGCAGTCGACTGCCCTTCCCACAAATGATACCTGAAGACTACGTGGAGAAGCGCATGGTAGTTCCGGCGCCTAGGCCTTCACTCATGCACAAGGACATGTCCAGGCAGAGCATGTGCTCGGCAGACTCGGGAGAAAAGACTGACTTCACTGATCTCTCTCCAGCCACGCCGGGCACGAGCACTGGAACGTACAGGGACTTCACTGAGTCTTCCACGACCAACTTCGTGGCCTCCTTCCCGTACTCATCCAACGAGCAGAGCCAGGAGGCACACCGAAGATCCACGAAAAATCTCCAGCAGGACGTTTTCCTTGCGCCCGACGCCCAGTACGAAGTGATCAAGGAGAGCAATCAGTTTGAAAATACTCCACTCACACTTGGCTACGAACACATCCACCCGGACATGGGCAATTACTCCAAGCAGCCACACTTCCACAAGCCAAAATCTCCTAAGAATCTCAACATAACGCCCATCAAGAGACAGAATATCGGCACCAACATCAGTGCGATCATCCAAAATCTGGGCGGGAGTGACGTGGGGCTTCTGTATCCGGACAATCGCAGGGAATCGGATCTCCTGGAGGTAGTTGGCGGAGCCGATATGCAGCCCGGCATCATCGGCAAGTCTGATAATGACTGGGTGTCTGATCTCAGCGATCGTCGATTGTGAAAAGAGATCTTCGTGTGAGCAACCCACTAAGCTAGGCATTAGTAGATAATGATGAATTTACTGAAATGTAGGTAGTAAATGTGAATTTTATCACAAAACTCTTCCCTCCCCCTAAATTGTGTACAGTGAATTGAGATTTACTCTTGTTTGTTGACATCATTTAAAAAAAAATCACTCTATATATGTTCTGTTACTTAATGCTTCTCCCCAATTCAGCGATAATTTCACCAATCGGACGGACTCCGCAGCAAAACCCATTCATTTCCCCACCTCCCATCGGGAAATGGGTGGAAAATCAATGGGGAAATCTGCCGTGAGGACAAAAAAGCATTCCCGAGGGACAATAATAAATTAACCATTGAAATAGGTGAAGTTTCAGGAGAGAGCAAAAAAAATCCATTAGAGTATTTTTGTAGTTAAAAGGAGACGGCGAATAGCAGAGGAGAAAGAATATGAAATGAAAATTGTGTTTGTTACCTCAAATTGGTCGTTTTGTTCATCAGAATTGTGAGTTGAACTCTGACATACAATTGTCTATTGTCTACTTTTGCACTTCTGACGAATATACAAGGTAGAATGATGTTTTTCATGTGGATTTTCATCATACAACCGTTATGCATGTTCTCTAAATGAGAAAAACATAAGGAAAAAATTTGCATCCAATTAAAAATGCACATTTAATGTTTGGGTCGTTTGGATTAAATTTTCTGTGCCAGAACGAACAATTAATGTTAAATTTTAAGTGAATCTATGTACATTTCTATAAATGCTATCAAAACATTTTTAGAGACAATGTAGACAATTGAGTCCAACTCGCATAAGAGAGAAAACCATTTTAGCAAAGAAACATCCAATTTCTCCTGACCGAAAAATATTTCTTCCTCTTTTCCTTTTCATGTACATAAAACAAGCATACACAGAGCAAAAAAAATAGTAGAAATAATTGAATGTATACTGGAAAACAGCAGAGAATAAAAATACAAATAGTGAACTTACAAGTGATGTAATAGAATTTTTTTCTTCGACTTCCTTTTCGTGACAGAAATTTGATAATTTTTCTTTGCGGAGAAAAAGTGTTCCACTTTCTCAACTCTATGATGCTCTTAAAATGAATCCCAACTCTTCACCCCTTCATGGCTTGTTGGCCCCCGGAAAGTCACACAGAAAGAGAGAGAGAGCATCTACCAATTTGACTGTTAAATGGCGAGAGCGCAGCACTTGTGACTGAAGATGCATGAAATCGCATTAAATTGCACAAGTCACCATCTTCTTTTCCACTTCACAGACTATTAATTGCAAATATTAACTTTGCCTTTGAAGATTTCACTCTCCTTTGCGCGCTAGTGTTGCACTTCTTTCGTGCTAGCACTCACTCTCGAGATTCCGCCAATCATCATGGAAAACTTTAAATAATTGAGTTATGCCAGGAGAGAGAGAGGAGGAAAGTGCAGTTTTCTTTATGCACACAGTTTGCCAAAGTGCATTAACTGTGGAGGTCTCTTTGAGGGGTGGTAGAATGCAACAATTGGTAGAAGGAAGCCACAGGACTTTTATTAACATCTAAAGTACCCGCATGAAAAGATGGACAGAATCACTAAGGCAGCCAGGAAGTGCGTCTGAAAGCAGACTGTTGCTGACGCTGCCGCCCCATGAGGTATTTCATTGTCCTTCTCTTGCTCCGCAATAGCAGCCTCCTGCTCCAGCTCACTTTGCGCCACGATAATCGCCTCGTTGATAGTCCTCAGCAGTGGGAAATTGTCATTCACGCGTCGCGGGAAGGACAGCTTCACGCCTTCCCTCGCCACGTAATCCACAAAGGTGTCATTGTCCCGCTCGCACTTGCCCAGGAAGTCATCCGTGTCAATTGACCACACCATCGCTCCTGCCAAGTTGAGCTTCACCGCATAGCGGATTTTATTAGCAATGGAGCGTCCGCTGTCGAATGTAACGACTCGCGTCTCTCCAGTTTCTGTATTCTGCTTCCGCGCCACAGCCTGATCCGTCGCCTTGTCCCATGTGACAGTCCAGGCGGCTGAGGTATTCTGGACGGCGGCGCAGATCTCATTGTAGCCCATAAAACCACTCTCCTTCGTGTAGGGTCCTGGGAAGCCCTTGTCGTCCGTGGGATCGCCGAAGTATCCCTCGCCATGGGCCAAAAACGTCCGGCCATAGAAAGGAAGACCCAAGACGAGCTTGGAAGGCGAAGCTCCTCTGGACAGCAGGTGGGCAATTGTACTTTCCTGCACAGACAAATAATGGTTGTTAGATTCGTGAAAGCACTGAGAAAAATATATGACCAAAATTTTCATGTGCTGAAAAATGTCAATACTCCCTTAGAAAAGATTCACAGTCTTGCAATGTACATTGAAATGTCTGTTATATATGCATATGTGTGCATACAAGTTTATGTTGATTTTTCATAACTTTATAATAGTTAATTCAACAATATTACACGGAGGATTATTAATACAATGTGTGCAAAACATTGCCATATGTGCAATGGTGCAGCATATTTCAAATTATTATATAGTGAATCATCAGCCATCCATAATTTTTTCGCTTTGTTTTACCTCAATATTATCTCTTCATATCGCATAGCGATTGTTTTAAAATTAATATAATAATTGTTAAATGCATGATTGGAAATTTTCCTCAAGGAATTTATGACTTCTTATCGTATGATATTATAACGTTCCAACCATAATGTTGAAATGATAAAATTTCGCATAAATATCTCTCAGTGATTTAAAAGAGACTCACAATGTCGAGTATTCCATTATTGTCCAGTGGCGCATTTGGTCCCACTTTCTTATCCCAGCTTCCGGAATAATCATAGCACATAATATGCATAAAATCCAGGTGATTTGACAGAGTTTTCACGTCGTAAGCCTCATCAATCATTATCTTTGACGCTCCAATGGCCGAAGTCAGGATCAGATCGTGTTTCCGAAATTCTCTCTTCAGCTCCACCACCAAATTGACGAAATTCTCCTTATCCTCAGGCTTGCCATCTCTCTGCGTTGGATACTCCCAGTCGAGATCCAGGCCGTCAAAGTTGAAGCGCTTCACAAACTCCACGGCATTCTTCACAAATTTCGCCCTCCTTGCAGGATTCGCGCTCATTTGGGAATACTTCACCGATCCCTCGTTCCATCCTCCAATCGCCAGAGTGACTTTCAGGTGTGGGTTGATCTTCTTCATGCCAGTGAGTCTCTCGAAGCCACCCTTTCCGTAGTTATCCTTCAAATCCTGCCATGGATCTGCAAAAAGTGTGAAAAGGAAGTGGTTTTTTTAAGAGATAAAATCGCGAGAAATCCATTTCCAGCCATCGGAAACCAAGCCGTCCCACAAATATTTGTCCATTGACAATATTTACCTATCAAAGAAACCATTAACGCCCTGGAAATTGCTTTGTCACCTGATCTCTAACTGATTTAATTGCAATGCAAGAATCCGAAGACGCCCATAATTCCAATTAATTCACTAATGAACTTGACATGAATATCTCAATATATAATTAGCATCAGAATGAGTCTAGACCATGGTAGATATGGAATCAATTGAAAACCAACACGTGTAATGTGAATAAATACTTGAGATTGCGAGGCTTCGATGGAAATCAATGAAATCTGCAATTATTGGCGTAACTCTTCTTTACTTTCACTGCATTTTGATAAAAAGCCTCGCTTACAAACACTCGTGTGGGCAAAGAAAGTGCATGTGAATCATGTGAATTGCATAACTAATAAATATGCATTGCTTTTGAAATCTTATCAAATCAGCAAGAAAATGCGACACAATTTGTGTGAAAAGCCTGTGTCTCTGCTTTGCAGATTTCGCAAGAAGAATTTTTACAGTGCCACAAAGTTTTAAACTTCCGGCATAGTCTTCGCAGAACAAAGAGGCAACTCTTGGAATATTATTGCAAAGTGTCTTAAATATTCAACACGAAGAGTATCAGAATTCGAGGAATACTTAAGTAAGGTAAGCCACAGAAGCGTGACACCCAATTTCATCAACCCTCTGTTGACTGAGGAATTCAATACTTCCTCCAGTGATCGAGCAGATGGCATGGGGAGGGCGAAAAACTACTTCCGGAAGCCTTACCCAGAGCCTTAATGCCATCCGTGTCGGTGTCCAAGCCGGAGAAGGCGTAGATCAAGTGTGTGCAGAGGCTGGGATCCACGTGGTCCAGTGTGAAGGAGCCAAATCCCGGTCGGTAGGTCGCCCAAGTGCCTATGAGGATTCAAAGAAAAAAAAGCAATATGAAGGAATTCTCACATTTGCAATCGGTGCTAATCACTCACCTATATAACACACCACGACTTTGTCGTGCGATGGGCCTGAAAGAGCAGAGAATTTGGCCGTTAGAAGACATAAATTTGCTGGAAATTCTCCGCATTGTGGCAAAATTTCCACGCGGTCCGCGGCAGAAGAATCAAAGCGTGAAATATTGTATGAAAATTGAGTGTGCACACACAATAAAACGCACAGGCAATATGAAAGTTGAAGGTGAGTCACAAGTAAATTGTACAAAATGTGAATTTTAATTGAAAATGATTAAATATTAATTGATGAATTAACCGCTGTACTTCCTCAAAGACCCTTTTTCTTGCCTTTTAGCCACCATAAATGGCTCACTGATTGATTTGATGAGTGATTTCCGCACAAGAAATCGATATGGATCACAAATCAATTGATCTCAGCAGAACGTGAGATTTGGCAAACTTCTGGGGCACTCTCACATTACCTGTTCCACTCGCTGTGACATTTTGCAGGCTGGAGCACAGCAGAAAGGCCACCAAGTGGAGGATGATCACAGTGAAATGCTGATTGTGTAACAGAGTGATTTTCTGCATCTCTCATTCACTTTTCATCTGACTCACGGAGCACAAAAAAACACACTCAGCCAACTTTCATTCGCACACACACGGAAATTTACACTTTTAGCAACGCGTAATTTTACATCAATTGTGTCTATCTCATAGGATTATCGCATTTCCCACACACAAAATATACCTCCCTTTTCTGCAAGAATTACAAGGTTGCACCTCTCACATAACACGAAAAATGTTCTCGCGGGAAACAATCGCGACTGAATCTGACCAACTTCTTCGGCTTCCCAACCAGCACTTAAACCGGTTTACCACTCCTCGAGTATAAGAGCAAATGGCAACGGTGAGACAGATCTGAGACGCTCTTTTTTTTCACGATCACGCCGCGATCAATTAGTCCAATAGAGCATGAGGTCTTTTTCTCCGCCACACGTTCAGCTATGCCTCGGAATGGTCCGCTCTCTTCGTGCTCGGCGTGTAAATTGTACGCTCTTTCGGTTCTAGGCGGCTGACAATGTGACTCTTTTCGTACCTCATGCTCCGACACTCTTGGGGGAACTGAACAATAGTCACTGTGTGTTTGCCATTTCCCACACGGGCTGCACACACTCTTGACCACCTGAGAAGAAGAGGAGGAAAGGTGAGTCAGTGTGTATGTGATATACAAGGTGATATACAAAGGTAAGTGTGTTAATGCAGAATCCATTTCACATTATAAAAGAAGTGCTGAGGAGTCAATTATCCGTCGAGAGGAATTTTGGGAATTATAAAAGAAAATAGCTTATATAAATTACACAATATTTCATTTAAAATCAAATACAAATTCGGCCACATAGTGTTCATTGCTGTGAACTGACATATAATTCTCGAATTTGATTTTTACTTGCGTTGTTGACAAATTTTAATAATAATAATAGAGTTCAATTTGAGATATGAAAGTAAATGACCATCTTGAATTACCCGCCAAAAATTCATAGTTTCAATCGAAGATATACGCAACCCAAAGCTACTAATGAATATAGTCATCTCTGTCTCGCAATCATATGTTTTGTTGCCTCTCGCTCTGGCAGATGCTTTCCAAAGCTTGCTTCGACGATTTGACAGAATTGAAGTGAAAAAATCGAGTGAAAAATGGACGAGGAATCAAAGTCTGGAGAAAGTCCATTTGCTGAAGATATGGCGGATAGCCAGTCTGCCAAGAGGACGCGCTTGAGCGACACAGATGCCGACAAGGAGCCGAGCCAGGCTGGCAACAGTCACAGGTGAGCCCCAAACTGAGCCCCACAATTACGTCAAAGTTTTGCGTCGTTGTCGCGTCAGTGTGACTGGGATTTCATCACTGATTTCCACTCTCTCTCTCCCGGGCAGTGCCTTCGCCGCATTCGAGGGCGCGAGGAGCAGCCAGATGGACAGCAGCAGTGAGGCCAATGACGCTGGCGAGGCCTCCACGTCCACCGCCGTGTCGTCCATGAGTTCCTCCTCAAAGATCACGGCTGTGCCCACGAGTGAGGACAGCGGCCGGTGCGCCTCGGGATCCGGCACCAGCACGGCGGCCACCGGAGCGGAGTCGCGTCCGGCCAAGTCGCCAACCGTGGCGAAGACAAAGCACGCCAACAGAAACTACCGCTCGTCGAAATTCCGCTCCTTCGTGGGCTCTTTCTGTTCACCCACACCCTCAACGTCTGACGACGATGACGAGGGCACCACAACCTTCCGGCAGCGCCTGACGGAGCGGAAGGAGCGCCGGGAGCGCGAGTCAACTCCTCAGCGCGACTCTCTGATGGACGTGGACGGGCTGAGCAGCGACGAGCGCCCTGAATCCGTGCGAACCAATGTCTCGAGGAGTTCATCGTCATCCCCGTCACTGTTCACGTCCAGTCTCCTACAGCCGTCGGACTACTCGGACAACAACGATGCCTACAGCTCCCAGTCGTCCGTGCAGTCGCACGAGTACAACGCCGTGGGCAACAAGGCAGAGTTCCTCTCCTGGCCCAAGCCGCCGCACACGTGGTGTTCCCTGCCAGAGCTCATGTACCGTCAGCAGGGCCTGACGGGTCGCGGCAGACGCACCATGGCCGGCCGCTCCACTCACATGTTCGAGCGCCGCTTCGGCGGCTCGCGACACGCCGTGGAGCGTCTCGAGTTGATGGTGAAGCTGAATGAGCACGAAGGATGCGTCAACAGTCTGAATTTCAATCGCTCAGGCAATCTCCTCGTCTCCGGCTCGGACGACTTGAAGATCATCCTGTGGAAGTGGGCGTCGCAGGAGCAGCACGACTTCATCTTCGACAGCGGTCACACGTCCAATGTGTTCCAGACGAAGTTCATGGAGCTGGGCAATGTGCACATCATCTCGAGCGCAAGAGATGGCACGGTGAGACATCACGAAGTGCCTCCCGGGAGCGACAAGCCCATCAGCACACAACTCATTAAGCATCTCGGGCCTGTGCATAAGGTCGCCCTGCCCGCCACAGCGCCCTTCGAAGTCCTGTCGGCCGGCGAGGACGGAAATGTGATCAGATGCGATCTAAGGGAGAGCAATAAGCGCGAGAGGTGAGTTTAAGTGTGTTTAGTTTAGACGCTATTTCCCATCAATATTTCCTTATCTCTGCAGGATCGTCACTATTAAGGTCAACAATCGACGCGTTCCGCTCTACAGCATTTCCTCTCATCCGATCGATCAGGAGTTCTGCGTGTCTGGACGTGATCAGTATGTGCGTGTGTATGACAAGCGCAACGTGAAGAATGCCCTGAAAATCTTGAGTCCTGAGCATCTGGTCAGCAAGAAGCCCTTTACCATCTACATAACATGCGCAGTTTACAACTGGGTGGGCACTGAAATCCTGGCCTCATACAGTGATGACGATGTGTACTTGTTTGACAACAAATATCAAACGCCTGGATCGTATCTGCACAAATACCAGGGACACGAGTAAGTATTTATCCATCGTCGAGCTTCTGAAACTGTTACTAATTCAAACCTTTTTCTTCTTCTTCTACAAAACAGTAATAGTTCAACCATCAAAGGTGTCAACTTCTTCGGGCCGCGCTCTGAGTTTGTGATGAGCGGCAGTGATTGTGGCAACTGTTTCTTCTGGGACAAGAACACAGAGACAATTGTCCAGTGGATGCCTGCAGATGAAGCTGGTGTTGTGAATGTCTTGGAGCCACATCCAACCTTTCCTATTCTTGCCACTTCAGGTCTGGATCACGATGTGAAAATTTGGATGCCATCGAATGAGAATGTAAGAGAGTGAAAAGAAAAATCATCCCTAAATTTTTCTCATATATTCTCTCTGTTTTCTCTTTGCAGGAGCCAAAGCTTGAGGGCCTGAAGAAGTGCGTTCATCGCAATCTCACATGTCGCACTGTCGTCGGTGAGGATATCTTTGATGATCGCATGATCACATTCTTTGTAAGGCAGTGCCTGAGGAATCGTCGAGAGCGTGATCCGAATTACTGTCCCAATGTCGCTGAACTGGTCTCATCGTCCGATAGTGATGATGACATGGACAATATGGACAACATGGGTGGTGACATGGATCCGGACAATTTGCGTTCACTCCCATGCGCACCGTCCTAGAAGATGATGATGATGCGCGCCTTTCCAGCACCAGCTTAAGTGATTATATACCGGAAATTTTTGTGTCTACTGTTTATCCCGGGGTTTTCATTTATCTCAGCTAATCTCTTCTCCCCTCAAAATCCACTCAATTGAATTGAATTGAAATCACATATATATGTATTTAGTGAAGTTTTTCCTGCAGATGTTTATATAGCCAACTGTGGGGATATTAAATCGATTTATTCACGGGGTAGCAACGAATTGTGTTGTTTATTTACTCCATTCCACTCAGTTCGGACTATAATTCCTTTCAGTGAAAGTGAGGAAAATGAGCAAATATCTATCGAAACTCATTAAACCGCCCAGTGACTACGAAAGGTACGAGAATGATGCTTTCTCTCAGCATCCATTGATGCGATTTCGCCTCTCTAACATCCGGGAGAGGAGGCATTTCAGTCTGCTGAAGCACAGGGCGGCGCTGGTAACTAGCTTCATCATTCTTCATCAACTTTCTCATTGATGAATTTACTTATTTATAGGGAAAGATTCGTGTTTGTCGTACTATTCCTGAAGACTTGTCGGATGTTCTGCCACAGAGACAAGACAGACTCAGACAGAAGCTCTTTATGTACGCCAATAAAGCGCCCATCCCAAAGATTCTTCACCGTACTGAGCGGAAGATTATTGAATATGTTCCTGGGCGATTGAGGAATCGGTATCCGGACGCTGTGGAGGATTACATGAAGGAAGTTCGCGAGGATTACGATAAAATCATTCGGGCGTTCAGTTTGCAAAAACTTCTGGTGCCCAAAGAGGGTGAATTTGTGCCACCACGAGAAGATTTTCGGTTGAAAGCGAAGGGTAGAACGAGAAATTACCGGCAATTTCTTGAGAATCGCAGGAGAATCGGAAGAAATCTTCTCATTACTGCCCCCTACATCAGATGCATTGTTCACTTCTCTAGTCTTGATTTTCCGGACGTGCTCAATGATTTGTCACGCTATCGCAAGCTCGGGGAGATAATATTGGATGAGTTGGAAAATAAGGCACGCAAGGATTTGTACACAAATGCAGAATTCCTGAAGAAATCCTGGTATCCAAAGATTGTGCGCGTGATGGTGAAGTATTACAAGAAGAAAGCCATCAGTCGAGTGGATTTGCCAAAGATCCTGGAATGTGCATCAACACTGATCAATCGTCAGATCACTGAACTGAAGATCAGGACATTGAATAACATTTGCGAAGTAATTGAGGACAGAGAGAAGATTCCTTACTTGAAAGTCAGTTTGATTTGTGAGAAGCAAATCGATTTGTATCCGACATTGGAGAAGATCTTCAAGGTTTATCATGACATGATGGATGATGTGGCAGAGATTGCAAATAATTTAACCTCTCTTGAGCTGCTTGTGGATCCGGAGATGTTCAAGACTCACGATGAACATCTCAAAATTGCCGTGGGAGAGATTTACATGAAAGAGGCCCATGAGAGACTTAACAGGGTTCTTGAAAATGCTTATTCACCGGTGATTCTGTATCTGTCTGCCTTTCAGGAAGAGTACAAATTCCTATCAAGTCCAGCAACACAAATCTCCATTGAAGAATTTCTCACAATCAGTCACACATTTGATGAGTATCTAACGAAAATCGATGAAATTCAGGTGTTCATTGATAAACTGCGGCGATGCATTCAAAGGGAGTTCTTTGACTTTATGACACTTAATCAATTTGAGGCGATTCAGAGCCTCAGAGAAATTGCAGACATTCTTGTTGACAGAATAACCGATCATATTGTCTCTTCACATCGACAAATGTGTGATGATATTTGCTCAACATTTGTCGAGATTAAGCGAAAAGCTCTGGAGATTCCAAAATCCACTGAGAGCCTCCTCGAATCTGCTGAATACATGAACTACGTGAAGAGTCAGCAGATGAAGGAACTGCAGGATCGCATTGAGGAGTGTCTCAAGATTGGTGGCACACTGTTGGAGTTCAAGGAGCTCTCTAAAGAACACCTTCAAGCCCAAATCTCCACCATCAATTGGTACAACAACATTGATGATGTCTTCGAGCAGAACGCTCAACTGCAAGAGTTATACAAATTCCAATTCGAGGAGCATCTCCAGAATGTGGCCAAGAAGTTGAATGAGGATATTGCAGAAATGCTGCCCACTCTCTCGATCATCGACGACATGTGCGAGACTGACAAGTTCAGGGAGTACTATGGTCTCCTCCAGAACATCATCGATAATCTGAGGGTGTTTGAAAATTATGTGGAGTGGCTGAACAAAGAGGAGAAGCTGTTCAAGTTCCCCAAATCCACATATCCAGTACTCGAGGCGATTAAGAATTTTGTCATTCCTTTCGCCAAACTCATGAAACTCTGCATTGAGTGGCTGAGACACTTTTATGTGTGGATGGACGGACCATTTGAATACCTGGAACCGAACTTTGTGGCCCAAACCGTCGATGAATATCTGAAGGAGTTTCAAGAGACCCAGAAATACTACCACAATCGCATCAAAGCTGATCTCATAGGGAATCCGATTTGCAAATTCAGAGGACAAACCGAAGATCCGTCTGTGGAGAAGCATCCAGTTCCTTTGAAGCTGTGCTGGAAGATGATAAATTGGATTCAAGATTTTCGACTGGGTGTGCAGATCGTCAAAATCATCTGCAATCCAGCACTGAGGGAGAGACACTGGAACGAAATGTCCCAAATGGTGGGTTTCGACTTGACTCCTGACGCTGGAACCACTCTGAGGAAGTTTATCGATTATAAACTCGAGGAGAAGCTTGCAGACTTTGAGATCATCAGCATTGGGGCGAACAAGGAGCTTCTCCTCCAAGAAAATCTCACCACAATGATCGAAGAGTGGAATGGAGTTCAGTTCCAAACTGGTCAGCTGAGGAACACATCACTGATGATCTTCAAAGGTGTGGAGGATATTCAAGGATTGCTTGGTGATCACATTAACAAAACCTTAGCCATGAGAGGATCAGCCTTCGTCAAGCCATGTGAGGCTGAAGTGAAGCAGTGGTACTCCAAACTGGTGAGAGTTAATTCAACCATTGAACAGTGGTTGAGAGTTCAGATGCTCTGGCTCTACTTCCTTCCGATTTTCTCATCTCCCGACATTGTTGCCCAAATGATCAAGGAAGGTGATCTGTTTAGGGAAGTCGATGCAACATATCACAAATACATGGCAATCATTGCTGAAGATGCTGAAGTTATGAGGATTGCTCCACTTCCTGGACTGCTAGAAGACATGCAGGCGGCTAATGACAAGCTAGACACGATCACTTGTGGTGTTAATGGATATTTGGACCGAAAACGGCTGTTCTTCTCGCGATTCTTCTTCCTCTCCAATGATGAGATGCTGGAAATTCTCTCAGAAACCAAAGATCCTGTTAAAGTGGATTCTCACCTTCTGGCAAAGTGTTTCGATGGCATTCACAAACTCTCCTTTGATGATGATCTCAACATTCTAGGAATTTGCAGCGATCGAGGGGAGAAGATCACGCTGCTAAGTTCAATTTCCACACAAGATGCTCGTGGGAGTGTTGAAAAGTGGTTGTCAGGAGTTGAGAGGGAAATGATCAGAGCGGTGAAGGATGAAATTTTCCGAGCAAATCAGGATTACTCCGCAATTAATCACAAAGAGTGGATACTCAAGTGGCCACAAATGGTAGTTCTCTGTTGTCAGAAAATACACTGGACCCTCGATGTGGAGTTGTGCTTGAGAGGCGGGAATTCTTTTGCGAATCTAAGAAAGAAATTCACAGAACTTGAGATGGAACTCAAGGAGATTGTTGATATGATGCGATCATCAGAATTAACAAATCTGCATTGGACATCACTGCGATCACTGATTGTAATGAATGTGCATTCTATGAATATCGTGAAGGAGCTTCTAGAGAAGAAGACCACCACTTCTGATGAATTCATCTGGCTCGCTCAGTTGAGATATTACATAATTTCTCAAGAAGTTTCCCTGAATATCATCAATGCGAACATTTCTTTCGGATATGAATATCTTGGGAATCATGATCGTTTGGTCATAACTCCGCTTACGGACAGATGCCACAGGACAATGATTGCCGGCCATCAGTTACATCTGTTCGGAGCACCAGAAGGGCCGGCAGGCAGTGGAAAAACCGAGACTTGCAAGGATCTCGCCAAAGCTTTGGCCATTCAATGCAAAATCTTCAACTGCTCAGACTCGCTAGACTTCACGATTGTGGGAAAATTCTTGAAAGGTGCAGCTTCAGGTGGTGCCTGGATTTGCTTCGATGAGTTCAACAGGATGCAACTGGAAGTTTTATCCGTGGTTGCCCAACAAATCTACACAATCATTCAGGCTATTCGAGCGAATCTGATCAAATTCCTCTTCGACGGTCTTGAGCTTCCCTTGAAAGCCTCTTGCTATGTCTGCGTTACCATGAATCCTGGCTATGTTGGACGATCAGAACTTCCTGACAACATTAAGACACTTTTCAGAACTGTGGCAATGATGGTACCGGATTACAGGATAATCGGAGAGATTTCTTTGTACTCCTTCGGATTCCAAGAAGCTGGAAAATTGGCCAGAAAAATCGTGACAATCTACCGCCTCTGTTCTGAACAATTATCCTCACAGCATCACTATGATTACGGAATGAGGACTATAAAGAGCGTCATAGTAGCTTGTGGGACTCTGAAAAAGCTCCTTCCTGATGAGGATGAAGAGATCTTGCTATATAGAGCCTTGTCAGATGTGAATCTTCCGAAATTTGTCTCCCATGACATTCCACTCTTCGAGAATATTATGAAGGACCTTTTTCCCGGAAGAATAGTACCTGCTAAGGATCAACAAGAGTTTGAAGAAACTTTTACAGCAGTTTGCCATGAGAAAAACCTTCAGATGACGAATAATTTCCTCATGAAAGCTTTGCAAATCTATCATATGATGCTTGTTCGGCATGGTTTAATGATTTTGGGAGAGTCATTCGCTGGGAAAACCACTTGTTTGCGCGTTCTTGCAGACACTCTCAGAAAAATCCTCCCAAATCACCAGAGTGTCTCCATTGCAATTCTCAACCCAAAGTGTGTGACTATCAGTGAACTTTATGGCACTTTCAATGGCGTGACTAATGAATGGACAGATGGAATCATTTCGAAGATCTTCCGACAATTCTCTCAAGACACCAGCACAGATTGGAAGTGGGTGATCTTCGATGGACCTGTCGATGCAGTGTGGATAGAAAATCTCAATACAGTCCTCGATGATAATCGCAAACTCTGCCTTACTTCTGGGGAAGTCATCAAAATGCCGACCAATCTGGTGATGATCTTCGAAGTCATGACACTAGAACATGTATCACCAGCTTCGGTGTCTCGATGTGGAATGATCTTCATGGATCCCAGAGAATTGGGTTGGAAAACACTGGCAAAGTCTTGGATTAATCAGTGCAATCCATTGTGGATGGACGGAAATAGAGATCTCATCATGGATTTGTTTTCCTGGATTTTCCCGCCTTGTTTGAAATTCTTATCACGACACTGTACACAATTTCTCCATCCAGGCGAGATGAATCTCGTCATGAGCACTTTGAATCTCTTCGAAATGTTCATTAATGAAGCATGTGATGATAATACTGAGGAATTTGCCAAGAATCTCTCCACTTGGTTTCAGGCCGCCACGGTGATGGCGATCTTTTGGGGCCTGGCCGGGATTCTCGATGGAATTTCTCGTGCCAAATTCGATGGCTTTTTCCGGGAAATTTGGCGAAACGACGAAGAAATTCCACTGCCTGAAAGTGTGGGTAGAATTGAAGTTACTCTTCCAACTGAGGGACTCCTTGTTGAGTACTGCTACCACTTTAAACAGAAGGGAATGTGGAAATATTGGCCAGATATCGTTCGAAGGATGGAGCATGAAGTGACTCCTCTAGGGATTCAGGTTCCCACCATTGATACAGCAAGATACTCTTATCTCTTTGAGCTTCTGATAAAGCATAAGAAGCCATTTCTTTTGACTGGACCCACGGGAACGGGAAAGTCTTTCTTCATCCAGAACTTCCTCATGAGTAAAGTGTCTCAGGAAGTTTTCACGCCCTCTTTTGTTACTTTCACAGTGATGATTTCCGCCAAGCACACTCAGGAACTTATCCTCGCGAAGCTGGTGAAAAAGAGACGTTGGCAATATGGAGCAACGCGTGGGAAAACAGCAATAATCTTCGTTGATGACATGAATATGCCGGAAAAGGATGAATTCGATGCTCAACCTCCTCTGGAACTACTCAGGCAATTCTTCGATCACTCCTTCTGGCACTCAGAAGCAAATCCAATAAACCTGAAAGACATCCTGCTGATCTGCTCCTGTGGTCCTCCTGGTGGATCTCGTCAAGTTGTCTATCCGCGCGTCCTTCGTCACTTCAACATTTTCTCAATCAATAACTTCTCAGATGAATCCCTCAGTCGAATCTTCTCAGCACTGCTCCTCAATGGACTCAAAGCCAGAGGACATGCGTCAGATGTGATTTCCGCTGTGAATCCCACAGTGGCGGCCACACTGAATCTGTACAGAACTGCGTCGAAATCACTGAGACCAACTCCTCAGAAGTCCCACTACATTTTCAATCTCAGAGACATTTCGAGGGTGATCTCTGGCTGTGCTCTCTTGAGGAAGGAATCTGTGGATAACAAGAAAATGTTCCCAAAGATATGGCTTCATGAAACCATGAGGACATTCTGTGATCGTCTCACGGATTCAACTGATCGTGAATGGTTTTTCAATGAGATTTCTACTTCAGTGGAGGAATACTTTGGGGAGAAAATCTCCACAATTTTCGAGGAATACAAACAGGAAGACAAGGACATACTTTATCTTGATGATCTCAAAAATTTCATGTTCGGATCATACTTGGATCTCGCCACTTGTCCGGATGAGAGGAAATATGAGGAGATTCCTGATTTGGCTGCGCTCAAGGATCTCGCTTTGGCCAGTCTTGAGGAATATAATGCCAATCACACTGCTAAACTGGATATTGTCCTCTTTGGATACGCTCTTGAGCATCTCAATAAGATCTGTCGCATCCTTACTGTTCCTGCCGGAAGTTGCCTCCTTGTGGGCATTGGAGGATCAGGCAGACAAAGTTTATCTCGCGTGGCGGCAGGAATATGTCAACAGAGCGTCTTTCAGCCTGAAATCACCAAAGAATATGGACTCGAGGAGTGGCGAAGAAATCTCAAGGAAGTTCTAAGGGAAGCTGGCGGCCTGGGCAAAGACACGGTCTTCCTCTTCAGCGATAGTCAAGTGAATCTTGAGGTGTTTCTCCAGGACATTGATTGTCTGTTAAATCTGGGAGAAGTTCCCAATATTTACGGAATCGATGAGCGTCAGGAGATTCTGGAAATGGTGCGACTGGACGCTCAGGGTGGCAACAGGAACATCGATATAAGTCCTCTGCAAGTTTTCACCTTCTTCGTGAATCGCTGCAAGCAGCGTCTTCACATTATCCTGTGCTTTAGTCCCATAGGAGACTCTCTCAGATCTCGGATTCGACTCTATCCCTCCCTGGTAAATTGCTGCACTATCGACTGGTATGAAGAGTGGCCACCGGAAGCACTAGAAATGATAGCTCGTCGCTACATGAAGTCCATTGATATACCAACACCGATAAGAGAGTCCGCTATGGTGGCGTGCAAGAACTTCCATAACACAGCAATTCAACTCTCTGGGCAGTTTTTCAAAGAGACCAGCCGAACGATTCATGTTACGTCAGCCTGCTACCTCGAATTGGTGAGATCCTTCAGGAATTTGATGGAAAAGAAGCAGCAGGAAATTCAGGAGTCCACGAAGAGATATGAAGCTGGATTGGAGACACTCGTTCAAGCTTCCAGCACTGTGGCGATAATGCAGAGAGATCTCAATGAGCTGCAGCCTAAGTTGATTGTGATGGCTGCAAACTCGCGGGAGATGATGAAACAGATCGAAAAGAAGACCATCGAAGCGAGTGAAGCCAGTGAACATGTGAAGAAGGACGAGGTGAATGCCAATGCTCAGGCAGCAGTTGCACAAGAATTGAAGGATGAATGCGAAAAAGACTTGGCTCAAGCCATTCCAATCCTAGAAGAAGCCATCCAAGCTCTCAATACACTCAAGCCAGCCGATATTACACTTGTAAAGTCAATGAAGAATCCTCCAGAAGTGGTGAAACTCGTGATGGCAGCGGTTTGTGTGATCAAGGGCGTTCCACCGGACAGAATCAATGATCCTGCCACGGGGAAGAAGATCATAGACTACTGGGGGCCCAGCAAGAGGATTCTAGGCGACATGGGATTCCTGCAGTCACTTAAAGACTTCGATAAAGACAATATTGGTGTGGATATTATGAAGAAGATCAGGAAGGATTTTATTCCTCACAAGGACTTCCAGCCTCACATCGTCTTGAAGGCGTCTAGCGCTGCTGAGGGTCTCTGCAAATGGATCATTGCCATGGATCTTTACGATTCCGTCGCCAAAATCGTGGCTCCAAAGAAGACTCGTCTCGAAGCGGCTGAAAAGGAATACGCAGCCACTCTGAAGATTCTCAATGAGAAGCGCCAGATGGCTGAGGAATTAGAGAGGAAGGTGGGCCTCCTTAATGAGGAACTCACAGAGGCCAATCGCGAGATGCAACGCGTGGAAGCTGAGGTGGAAGTTTGCAAGAATAAACTTCAAAGAGCAGAGAGTCTAATTGCGAGTTTGGGTGGTGAGAAGAATCGCTGGACGCTCGCTGTTGAGCATCTCCAGAAACTCTACAACAATTTGGCCGGAGATATCCTTATGTCGTGTGGCTTTATAGCTTACTTAGCGCCCTTTAGCATCGCCTACAGAAAGCGTGCTGTGAAAGAGTGGCACGCACTCTGCATAGAACTCAGAATTCCTAGTTCTATACCCTTTAGATTCACCGATGTTCTGGGATCGGATTTAAAACTGCAAAATTGGAGTATTGCTGGATTGCCTAAAGATGCTTTCTCAGCAGAAAACGCTACAGTTCTGGACAATTCCAGTCGATATAGTCTCTTCATTGATCCTCAGAGTCAAGCCAACAATTGGATTAAAACACTAGAGAAGCCGAATGGATTGCGAGTTGTGAAGTTCTCTCATTCTAACTATATGAAGATCTTGGCTGAGTGCATACAACAAGGAATTCCATGCCTAATTGAGAGTATAACCAATGATCTGGAAGTTCAACTCAATCCTATTCTCTTTAGACACACATTCATCAAAAATGAAATGGAGTTTATCACTTTTGGGGGCGAAACCATTGAGTTTTCATCAAATTTTCGTCTCTATTTAACTTCAAATGCTCGAAATCCTCACTATCTTCCGGAAGTTGTGAACAAAGTTACTATAATAAATTTTTCTTTAACCCTGCAAGGACTTGAGGATCAACTCTTGGGAATCGTTGTGGCTAAAGAGCGTCCTGATCTGCAGGAGCTTCGCCAAAAGCTAATCCTCGAGAGTGCCGAGAACCAAAAGGTGCTGAAAGAAGTTGAAGATGGCATTCTAAAAACCCTATCGACAAGCAAAGGTGACATCCTTGAGGATGAACGTGCAATAAAGATTCTCGATGACTCAAAAGTCCTCTCAGTGAAGATCAAATCCAAGCAACTCACATCGAAGAAGACAGAGAAGGAGATCGAAGATTTCCGCTTCAGTTACCGTGCAGTCGCTTCGCATTCATCAGTTCTCTACTATTGCATCACCGATTTGCCCAACATCGATCCCATGTATCAGTTCTCGTTGCAATGGTACATCAATCTCTACATTTTCTCCATTGAGAATGCCAACAAGTCCAAGGATATCTTCCGGAGATTAAAGTTTCTCATGGACACGATCACTCTCAATCTCTACACAAATGTCTGCCGCTCAATTTTCGAGAAGGATAAGCTCCTCTTCTCCTTCATCCTCACCACGAAAATCATGATCATGTGCCATCAAATCCGACAAGAGCAATATACTCATCTCTTGAGAGGTGGTAAATCACTCAAGGAATCCCTGCAAAATCCGGCTCCAACATGGATCAATGACAAAATGTGGGCTCACTTGCAACAACTGGAGCAAATGGAGGAATTCCAGGGTTTTATTGAGGATTTTCACACCAATCTCCCCGAATGGAAAACCTATTATGACATTAAGGAGCCCCAAATTGCTCCCTTCCCACCTTCCTGGGGCAATAAGATTAATCGCTTTGAGAAGTTATTGGTGCTCAACGCTCTTCGACCGGATAAAACTGCAGCTGCAATTCAGAAGTTTGTGGCCTGCGAAATGGGGCCCTTGTATGTGAGACCCCCTGCATTTGACATCACCAAATCCTTCGAGGATGCTAACTGTCTCATGCCCCTGATCTTCATCCTGTCGCCAGGCGCCGATCCAATTGGCGCTCTCACTCTCCATGCGGAAAAGATGGGCTTCAGCAAGGCCTTTGAGACCGTTTCCATGGGCAAAGGCCAAGGACCAATAGCTGAAAGACTGATCAAGAGTGCTCAAAAGGCAGGAACTTGGGTTTGCCTTCAAAACTGCCACTTGGCCACCTCTTGGCTGCCCACGCTGGAGCAAATTTGGGAAGATATGGACGTCCATAACACTGCTCGTAAGTATTTTAAGTTATAATAAGTTCGATGGGGTTTTCTTTTATTATTAGAAGATTTTGAAACCATTGGAAGTATTCACAAAACACAAAATATTGTTGTGTTTTAGTAAAAATATTGCTTTTAAGTTCTTTCTTGGTCTCAGATTTGAAGTCATTTACCTCGATATCCACTCAAAACCTGCTGAATAGAGATTTAAATGTGTTTATTTATCACGAGCTGTAGAGGGTTAAGCCTACAAGTGATTGAAGCCCTGTATAGAGTTATAAAGATAAGGTAGAAATGCTCAGGGAAAAAATTCACCCACTGAAATGCCAAGGAAGATAAGTTAAAGTCGTTAAAATGCTCAATGACACATGAAGAGAAAGAGAACAATAATATCTAAATGTGCTTCTCACATGAGAAATTAAAAAAAATTCTTCTCTACACAGTAACTTTTCGGCTTTGGTTAACGAGCTATCCAGTTGAGAATTTCCCACCGGCGCTCCTCCAGTGTGGAGTGAAGATGACCAATGAACCGCCAACCGGATTGAAGCAGAATCTTCTGAGATCTTACAATTCAGAGCCGATGAACAATGAACAATTCTACACTGGGTGTCCAGATAAGTACAAAGCCTTCACTAAACTCTTGTACGGTCTGTGTTTCTTTCATGCTGTTGTGCAGGAGCGTCGAAAATTCAGTGCTATGGGCTGGAATATTGCATATCCATTCAATGAGACGGACTTTCAAATATCAGTGCGACAGCTTCAGAGATTCATCAACGAATTTGCGGAGATTCCTTTTGAGACGGTGGCCTATCTCACTGCTGAGTGCAACTACGGAGGACGCGTGACTGATGTCTGGGACAGAAGAGTGATTGGAACTCTTCTGCAAGACTATTTCAATGAAAATGTCGTTACAGATGTGACTTATAAGTTCTCCGACACGAGTTCGGCCTTTGCAATTCCTACAAAGTTCGAGCATCGAGATATCGTTAAGCATATTGAGAGAAATATTCCATCTAATCCATCAACGGAAGTTTACGGATTGCACATGAATGCAGGGATTTTCAAAGATCTGACAATGTCTAAGGTTCTGCTCAAGTGTTTAACACTCACTCTGGGCACGGCTGATGATGAGACTCTTGAGGAATCCCAGGAGAATCTCTTATTGATAATCATGGAGATTGAAAAGAAACTTCCTGGCAATTTTGATCTGGAAAATATCGGTGAAAGATTCCCCATAGACTACTATGAATCAATGAATACTGTCTTGATGCAGGAATTGGAGAAATTCAATGTTCTACTTGAGGAAATCCGAACCACTTGCCGTGAGATTGTTGATGCCATCGGAGGCTTTGGTGTTTTCACACCACATCTCGAGTCAGTGGCTTTAAGCATCAAGAATGGAGAAATCCCACAGAGATGGAGAAAGAAATCCTTCCCAAGTCTGAAGCCCGTTGGATCTTACATTGAAGATTTACTTGAAAGAATTTCCTGGTTCGATAGTTGGTCAAAGAATGGCATTCCAGATACTTTTTGGCTTCCGGGATTCTTCTTCACCCAAACCTTTCTCACTGGTATACTGCAGAATCACGCCAGACGTCACCAAATTCCAATAGATGAACTCACTTTTGACCATCGAATTCTCAACGGGGAGGACAATTTGGCTGATGGAGTGAAGATTTCTGGACTATTTCTCGAAGGAGCAAAATGGAATGCTGTGACGCATCAATTAGATGAGCAAAGCCCGAAGATTCTAATACATCCCATGCCGAAGATTTATCTCCAGGTGAGTATAATAGCGTTTATTTAATAGGATCTTCTTTGTAAAAGATATTCTTCTTCCAGCCTCTTCTGCATGGCAATCTCAAAGTGGAGGAAAGGTACGAGTGCCCCACGTACAGGACAATGGACAGAAAGGGCGATCTCTCAACGGCCGGTCACTCCACCAACTTTATCCTATCAATCCTCTTGCCCAGCGACAAAAAGCCATCACACTGGATCAAGCGGAGTGTGGCTTTAGTGTGTCAGACCAGCGATTGAGGACTCCCACGTGGACGAAGTGCAATCGCTGCAAGTGTGTTTTGTGTCATCTTATAGAATTGCGAAATATATTTGAGCGTGACGTGCAAGACAAAACGGTCATAATTGTGTGAATTGGGACAAAATTTCTACCGTTATGCGACGATAAGATAAAGAGACATTTAAGAATCTCGATGACCACTTGATGTCTTCTCTTCGTCAATATAGTGTGTGAGGATTATCTCACTTTTCCCACCCACTCAGAATAGTTTATAAAAACCCGCGGCAGTTCAGCTCTTTTGGTCAGTCGCACGGTGAAATGCTGAGGGAAACGATTGGTATTCTATTGCTGGCAACAGTGGCACTTGGTAAGAAAAGAACTCATCGTCCGCGGACTTGGGATGTTCAGTGAAGTTGTGTGTTTGTGCTAGAAGTTATTTGTAAAAATCTGTATAAAACCGCGCATTTGGAATTCCACATAGGTCATGCAAAAAATATTGAATTCATTGATGAGCAGTGACGTAGTATGAATACTCGCTACTAACGCATATGTGAACATGTCCTTAAAAATACCTTAATTGTCCATTTGAGACATATTTCTAGACCTCTCTGACTATATTGCATCATGTGATTAGTGTAAACGTATCTGTAACAATTGATTAGTTCCGCGCTGGAAATCACTTACGATTATAAATAACATCTTTCTTTGAAAATTACTTTGAACATTAGAATTATAAATTTGCTTATTGATAAAAAAAAACTTTTATGTTCTCTGAATAATTTTCCCCAATTGCAAAGAAGAGATTCGCTGCGCCACTGCTTGTATTTCAGCAAATAAGATCGTAGACCCTCTCAACCTTGCAATTTTCGTCAATGTCCCCCACCGCGATAAATGATAAGACAGTCAAGAGCTTTATTGAGGTGTCAATAGAGTGATAAGGAGAAGTCCGACTCATCAATTGATCTCTCTCTTCCGCAGCTCGAGTGGGCTACGGTCCGGGAGAGCAAGACTGGGGCTACGTGGACGTACGTCCTGGGGCTCACATGTTCTATTGGCTGTACTACACAACGGCCGATGTGGAGACCTACACAGATCGCCCACTCGTGATCTGGCTGCAAGGTGGCCCAGGAGCTTCTTCGACGGGATACGGGAATTTTGAGGAATTGGGACCATTGACCCTCGAGGGTGAACAGAGGGATTTCACGTGGGTGCGACGCTACAACGTTCTCTTCATCGACAATCCCGTGGGATCGGGCTTCAGCTATGTGGACGACAATAGTTTGCTGACAAAGACCAACGAGGAGATCGCCAATGATCTCGTGACACTAATGAAGGAGTTCTACAGAAGGCATCCAGAGTTCCAGCTGGTGGACTTGCACATCTTCTCTGAAAGTTATGGCGGGAAGATGGCTGCGGAGTTTGCTTATGTGCTGGACAAGGAAATTAAGCTGGGAAATATTGTGTGTGAACTGAAGTCGGCTGGATTGGGCGATGCTTGGATCTCACCAATAGACTCCATGATCTCCTGGGCACCCTTTCTCTGGGACATTGGGGCGGTGGACAGAGAGGGCGAGAGGAGAGTAGCGGCTGCGACAGAGCTGACAAAGATCGCGCTGGATGAGGGCAGATTTGTAGAATCCACAAATCTCTGGGGATACACAGAGCAAGTGATCACAGAAGTCACATACGGCATTGATTTCTACAATGTTCTCTTCAAGAAGAACTACGGTGAGATGATGACGAAGCTGCGGGATCTTCGACTGGACAGACCGAGGGCAATGTACAGAACCTTGGTGAAGTTTGATGCCAGAGACGCTCGAGATGACATGCTGGATGCACTGATGAATGGCCCTGTCAAGGAGGCCCTCCAGCTGCCGGCTGAAGTGACTTGGGGAGCTCAGAGTTGGCCCACTTTCAATGTTCTCCGTGAGGACTTCATGAAACCCGTGACGGACATTGTTGAGCTCCTGTTGAATACCACACAAGTTGAAGTGATTGTGTTCAGCGGACAACTGGATTTAATTGTAGCCACTCCGGGTACTGTAATGTGGGTGGATCGCCTGAAATTCCCACAAAAGACACAATATGTGGCCTCCAATAGGGAGGGATTGGGCGTTGATGGCATCCTCGAGGGCTACTACAAGACTGCCGGGCGATTCTTCATGTACTGGGTCAACAGGGCAGGCCATATGGTGCCCGCTGACAATCCCGCCGCCATGGACTTCATTCTCCAGCGTGCCACCGGCTATCCTTAAGAGTTCTTCAAATTTTCAAACAGTCATTCTCAGGTGTTTCTCTGAACTGTAAATCAATTCAAACAATTTAACTGAACAATCTTTTATTGAAGTAGTAGCGTATTGAGGAATTCATTACAGTTGAACGAAAACATGTAAATTATCGGGAATAAATTTCCATATCTAAAATTGCAAAAACTGATCATTGATGTCAGATCGGAGCTTCACTATCAAATTGTACAGCTTGATTGCGGGCCCGAGTTTGAGGCCCAGATAGTTCTTGAGATCTTCCTTTGAGAGTGAGAGAAAGGCCAGGCCATCGATATCCTCGTTGCGGAATTTCTCCGCAATCTGAGTGCAATTGGGCAGATTTGCCAAGAAATTGCTCACCTCATTGGTTGTCCAGTACAACGGATTCACTTGCCTGCGACTGTCGATATCCACATACTTCTTAATTGTGGAAGTGGCCGTCCACGTCGTTGCATCCTTGGCAGGACTAACAGGTGTCGTTGCGGCTCGCGAAGTGGACGGCAAAGGAACTTCTGGGGAGATCTTTGCCATTTTTCGGACGCTGCCGCTCATGTGTGCTGTCTTTCTTGGTCTCTTCTTTGGCACCGATACCTTCGATGTTGATGGCTTTTGCTCCTTCGGCGCCGCAATCACTTTGCACTTCCTGGTCAAACTAAAACGCACCGCATAGTCAGTCACCATGTGCTTGGTGACATTCAGCCGATTCGGCTTCACTGTGTGGTGATTATAATTCCTTATGTTATACGGACACTCAGCCGCTGTTTCGTGAGTCGCCCCCAATTGATTATGGATACTTCCACGACCGGCGCACACTGTCAGTCCGCACAACTGCTTAGGCCATCGAGCGCTGGGCACGGGCTCTAGCGGATGACCAGTGATCTCACAATATCCAGTCGGGAAGATGTCAGTGCTATCATCATCCACCCAATACGCGTATTGCGCCTCAAAGCCATCATACAGAATGCGCAGTTCATAGCCAACCACGTCCAACACTGTGGCTGGTCTAATGAACTCCGGACACACGCGATCCACCGCCTCCAGTTTCATGCCCTTCCGAAAAGCGCGCACCGGACGATTCACGAAGGCACTGTTAGGGACTGCTCGGGACTTCGTTTGAGTCAAATACTTCGCCCATGTGAAGCCTGCGGGACGTTCTGTCGAAAGATAGCAACAATAAGAACAAAACAACATCAATTATGTTTAAATCAAGTCAAACACTCACTTGGTGGCGTAATGAGAAGATCGTTGATCATCTTGTGATAGCCAATTGGATGCAGCCTTGGTGAATCATATTCACACCAATAGTCGTACGAGTCTTTGTTCCCATCAAAGTGAATCCTCACCCTGCTCCCGATCACATCCGCCACTGTCGCGACAGTCAATTTTCCCGTTCCCTTCACATTCTCCGCCTCCAGCTTCATCCCCACCTTGAACTCCAGTGGCTTCTGCTGCATCCTCAACGCCAGATGACGGAAACTCTTCACTCTCGCCCCATTACTCTGCATCTCATCCAAATACTTCTTCCAGGAGAATTTCTTTGTCTTCACACCGGGAACAATCAAGTCTTTGCCCTCCCGCTCGCTCCATTGCGGTGGATATATGTCGGCACAGCTGAAATTTACCCAGAAGTCATACCTCACCGGACACATATCAAAGTGCAAAAGCATCCGCTGACCCTGCACCGCCAGTATCGTCACAACACCCACACTTGAGCAGTTGTCTGGATCCACAGCCTCCAATTTTGTCTTCGCCACAAACGAGTGTTTCTTGCAATACTCTAGCACTTCGCTGCGACAGTGCGGGAAGAGCTCATCAGGTGCTCGCTGGCTGCCGGTGAACTTCAAGTAATCCCGCCACGGAAAGGCACGCTTGCGCACGCTATCAACACGTGTCTGCCGGCGCACCAGGCACGTTTTGCTGCAAAAGTCCGGCGTGAGGAAGTCCGCCGCGTGGCCACTGTACGAACAGCCCAGGCACATGTACACAGGCTCTTTAGACGATTCCAGTTGTGGCATAAGACTCATCTCACGCTCCCCAATGGGACGATCATAGCGCGTATCCGCCTGCTGATGTCGCGTGAATTCATCGTCCTCCATGATATCCAACAAGCCAAGCTCATTGAATTGGAAGTGTAAGTTGCCGCCACACAAGTAGCCCACGCCATCCTCCCAGCGGATCAAATTAATTGGATCCTCATCTTCACCTTCGCGCCTCGAACTCAACTTCATCAGATGGCAGTTGGCATTCAGATGTGGAACAGCCCTGCGAAGTTAGAGAAGAGACATCATCAAGCATATCGCAGAGGTTCGAGGAGTGAAAAACTGTCAGAATTATTTACAATCAGGTAGATTTTAAGTAAAAATTTCTTGGAATTCCTGCATAAACATTTAGGCTTAGATATTTGGAATTCTTTATCATATTTTGGCGTTTATCTTGTAACCTGAGCGTTCTCTTGGTTCTCATGTAATTTCTGGGGATTCCCCAGTTTTCCTGATTAGTCCTAATGAACTTGAAACGCATGAAATTATCACCAATATATTATTTGTTAGGATAACACAACACCAATAATAATGGTGTGTGGATAGGCCCTGTTTTCGCCTAATTTATTATATATTTTTTAAGCAAGTCTTAAACCTATGAGTTACTTATTCATTTTCACCTAAACCGTCTATTCTAACTAAACTTCTCTGTAGATTTTTATGTTTACATTTAACATCAAATCTCAATGCACCGAACAGAAATATCTACGAGTGAATCATGGACTTGTTGTAAATCGTAATTAGTAACATATTCTTTCTCAACATTGTCAATGTTGAAAGAGTTCCGGAATATGCTTGCAACCCCTCGCATTGACCTTTGATACCAGAAACTCACGGAAAATGCCCTGATGCGTCTGCGGATGTGCACTTCTCCAGGCACTCGTAAACGTCTTCACTGCTTATCAATAGCTTTATCTACTCTTCACATTTCTCTTGGCCATTGGAGTTCACCACAAGAACTGGCAATTACACACACAATACATATATATGCAGGTACACGAGATCACAGGGAATTGAGATTCGAATGGGAAAATGCATTTCATCCTTCAGCAATGCACACAAACTGGACAAGAGAGGGGAAAACTGAGTATTTTCGGGTGGATTCTCACTTTCATTCCCTGCGATTTCACTCGGACTCCGGATAAACAATTCTCTGCGAACGACTTCAAAGTGGACGATTCTAACCTAGAAGCTCTTCGTGGCAACGCACGAGAGGCCGGGAAAGCAATTGAAAATGGTAATTTTCTACTCACTTCGCACTGAAATCGCGTTTCTCATCCGCCAGATCAATATCGGACATTTCCAGGGGCCCGAATTGGTCATTGTGAATATCCTGCTCCGGGGATTTCTGACTCTTTCCTTCTTCTTCGGACGTGATTTCCAGGATTTCGTCACAGAGAAGGGAATCAACGGTGAGCTTCTCTGCAGTCTTTGGCGGCTCCTCGATGGGCAGAGACTCCTTGGCTGGCTCTGAAGCACGTCGTGTCGCTGGAGACTTCTTGGGTGGCGTCTCGTCGGCTGACGAGGAACGAGTCAGTTTCTTGGGTGTGGCGGGAAGATCCTTCTTCACCTCGAGCCATTTGTCTGCGTTAGTTAGTGTGTTGCCGGTTGAAATTGTGATGCTATCGCGTGTCACCGTGAAGGATTTCCCTGCCAATCCCAGCATTTTAATGGGTCCATTGGGATCGGAGATGCGCCCATTGGATATGTGAACATTGAAGACACGATTCTTCTGCTGATCTGCACCTCCTTCTGGCGTAGGGAACCGATTATTGAGATCATATGTCGGCCCTTTGAAGTCCAGAACTGATCCTGTGGGCAAGTTTGTTATCTGAATTGATCGCATTTCCACTTTGTCACTCTTGGCTTGGATGATCTCGGGCTGGGGCTTCGTGGGCTTTGTGGGGGCGTTCGTGAGTGGCGCCTTTGCAATGGGCTTGAAGCTTTGCAGCGAAAGTGAAGAAGCAGCCACCTTCGGCTCAGTTGTCTGTTGCTTCTTCGAGATCATGGGATCTGTGGGCAGACCAGGCATACCCTTGACATTCAAGGACGTGAGCTTCAATTCCGACGCCTTCGCCGTACTTGCAGGAGCGGTTTTGGCCACCTGAAGCTTTATGATCTTATTCGTGTTGCTGCATTGCATGTAGAAATTCCCATTCTTCATAAATATGTTGTTTCTGTTCTGTAAAGCAGAGTCATTCCGGGAGTTGAAGGAATCACCGAAAAAAACATAATACACCCAATACTTACCAGTGTTTCTCTGGATTTGGCCGTAAGGACATGGGAGGGGATGACTTTCTTGGGCACAATTATGGGCAGCGGACCGCCCTCGCCAGCCTTGGATGTGGATGCATTTGAGGCGACACAAGAAATGGGGTTATTTCCCAAACTTGGCATCTTCATCACACATATCGTCTTTATCGGCGGTGCAGCCGCTTGACTTTTACTTCCAACACTCTCCTTATCACCTTCGCTCTCCATCCTTAAGCGAATTTCACCTGTTTACGTGAGAAAGGTGTCAAACATCAACTCGAAACAAACAGATTAGAAAAATTTTGGGGGTAAAGCCATGTCAGCCACGGAATCTCCCTCCGTTTAACTTTTCTACATTTTCAATGTTTTTCTACGTTTCATCCGACGCGCCACCTTCTGTCTTCTACCAAAACTACTCATGTCAGGAGATGAAAATTATTTTCCTAGAATTTTTTGATAAAATTTTCTTGGGGAGAAGAAATAACACAATTAAAACGAAAATTAAAGTTTTAATAAGGATTTTCAAGTCTAATTTGGGAACCAAATGCTGAAATAACCGCTGTTTTTCATAAACTACGATCGCCCGCGCGATTTCCTTCTTCTTCAAGAAATTTCCTTATTTCGTTCAAATAGAATAAAATTTCCACTTGCTATGTGGATAATTGCCACTTACCCTATCTTCTCAGGCTGCAGAAAATAGCAATAATGCGTATTTACTGTATTTTTCAACAAAATTTGCAAAGACCTCCAATGGCTGTCAGATTAACTTCCAATACCAACATTATGGCATGCAAAATCGGCAACTACGCGGGAAGATGCCACCCATGCCACCATATGGAAAATTAGGAAAAACTCTCTGCAGAGTGAAATTTTAGGCATGTGGTTTGTGTGGTTTACTTACATTTAATCGTAATCCGTTGAGTTTTGGGATAATTTGGGGGAAAAAACGTGGATTTACGGAAAGACCAAGGCTTACTCAAGTGGGAGAAAAATGGTTCCCATTCCTCAAATTTCTATAATATTCCGCAATTCATTCCTCGCAATCGCTGTCAATATTTCATTCCCGCCGAAATCCATTCTTCCATTCCGTCATATTCCGGCCAAAGTGGTTTGGACCGTTTGGACATTCTTCACTTGAGTAACCCTTATTGTTAGATAAGTTTAAGGAGGTATATGAAGATAAGGAGAGAAATCATGAGTTGGATGATTCGGAATTTATAAAGTATAATCATTCTACTAATGAAATTTTAATTATAAATCAGACAATTACAAAACACTTGATTTCTGGTAGTCGAAGTTACTTTTGGTGTTGAAGAGCCGATAATAATAAAAAAAAACGATTGTAATTAGTATTTGTTCATGAAATTTTGAAATAAATGGTCGTGAGAAAATGATAAACATTTTTATCATTTCCAGATCGAGGTTTAAATGAGTCTCAATTCGTGCGCGCGCCAAAAGTCAAGTTGTCACCCTGCGATTCGCGGCAACTTCAGTGCGCTGCGGATTTTTTGTTCCATCAACGCTGTCAACAAACAAGTTTTTCCTGGATTTTCTGTGAATTTTCCTCGCGATTGTGCTGTATTATGTGAAAGATGTGGGACTCGTCGATGTTCCTCAGCACCCTGACGCCCAAATTCTACGTGGCGCTCACGGGCACGTCGAGTCTCATAAGCGGACTGATTCTAATCTTCGAGTGGTGGTACTTCCGGAAATACGGCACTTCCTTCATCGGTGAGTACCTCCGCCCGCGCACCACTCGCGCCCTGAGTGATGCTGAGTCTCTTTTCGCGCAGAGCAAGTGTCGCTGAACCACATTAGCCCATGGATTGGCGGCGGAAGCAGCGAGTCCAGCAATGGGAACGATCATCACGCCTCCAACGGCTCTGGGCAGCAGATTCCGGAGTGCAAGGTGTGGCGCAATCCGCTGAACCTCTTCCGCGGCGCCGAGTACCAGCGTTTCTTCTGGGCCACCAGCAAGGAGCCGCTGACGTACTACGACATGAACCTGAGCGCACAGGATCACCAGACGTTCTTCACGTGCGAGGGCGACGCTGGGAATGCAGAGTACGAGATCATGCAGACGGCGTGGCGCGAGAGAAATCCCGTGGTGCGCATCAAGGCGGCCCACAGCGCTCTGGAGGTCAACCAAGACTGCACGCCGGCGTACATTCTGCTGGCTGAGGAGGAGACCACGACGATTGTGGAGGCGGAGAAGGTCCTCAAGACAGCTCTAAAGATCGCCGAGACTAACTACAAGAAGTCGCAGCTCATGCAGCACCAGAGCGCCATCCACGAGAGCATCCACAGGTGAGTAAGCGCCCCAGGGAAGCTGCAGCGCTGATTTCTCTCTCTGTCCTTGCAGACGCGACACCAACGCGCTGATCTACATCAAGAGGCGCCTGGCCATGTGCGCGCGCAAGCTGCAAAAGCTGAAGGAGGCGGCCAAGATGTTCCGCGACCTCACCAAGGAGATTCCGCCCATCATGAACGTGCTGAACATCCACGAGAATCTCATCGAGTGTCTGCTGGAGATGCAAGCGTACGCCGACTGTCAGGCCGTGCTGGCCAAGTATGACGACATATCTCTGCCCAAGTCCGCCACCATCTGCTACACGGCGGCGCTGCTGAAGGCGCGCGCCGTGGCGGACAAGTTCTCACCGGACGTGGCGTCGAAGCGCGGGCTGAGCGCTGCCGAGATGAGTGCCGTGGAGGCGATCCATCGCGCGGTGGAGTTCAATCCGCACGTGCCCAAGTATCTGCTGGAGACGAAGCCGCTCATCCTGCCGCCCGAGCACATCCTCAAGCGCGGCGACTCCGAGGCGCTGGCCTACGCCTTCTTCCACCTCAACCACTGGAAGAACGTGGAGGGTGCGCTCAATCTGCTGCACTGCACCTGGGAGGGCACGTTCCGCATGCTGCCGTACCCGCTGGAGCGCGGCCACCTCTTCTATCCGTATCCCACGTGCACGGAGTGCGCCGACCGCGAGCTGCTGCCCGTGTTCCACGACGTGAGTGTGTACCCCAAGAAGGAGCTGCCCTTCTTCATCCTCTTCACGGCCGGCCTGTGCAGCTTCACGGCCCTGCTGGCGCTGCTCACGCACCAGTACCCCGAGCCGATGGGCGTGATGGCGCACACGGTGCTCAACTGGATCTCGCTGCCCTTCTACTTCTTCAAGGAGCGCCTCGAGAGCGTCCTGCCCTGCAACCTGCTGCAGCAGCTCACGCGCATCTGAACGCCCGCTCTCTAGACCGCACACAGACTGCCGCCGCGACTCCCAGTCCTCGGCGGGCGGCCATAGATATACTCCCATATTTATTTTAATAATAATAAAAAGGAAATTCTAAGTGTGTAGATTGCAAGCGAAGAGTTTCACTTTCGTTCTCCCTTTGATTCGCCACCAATTGTCGCCTTAATCCGCGAAGATAAAGCCTCACAATATTACTTTCTCAATATCTTGTTTATTTCAATATTCAACAAACTCAATTGAGCTGGGCGAAACCCGCATCAGGCATATTTTTAAAAGCTTGAAAGCTTTAGGAAGTTTCATGAAGTTTTCTTTTGACGATGCGCTCTGAACAAAGAAATAATTTTTGATGTCAGAAAAAGATCAAAACTTGATTTGTACGATCTTCGCATGAAGAAAAGACCTCGAAAAACACTAAAGATTTCATAAATTGCCTTTCAATTTCACCCTTTGTACACAAAAAAAATCATCAACAATGGTCCACAAATACTTGATAACATTGAGATGAAGAGAAACTGACCTATATTTTCCCACCTTCCTCCTTATAATGGTGATTATCCATTTACATAATATTATATAAGCAAACACTTCCTACTTCCGATCATTGCGTGAATATGTTGCATAAAATTCTTGCATGTCCACAAATTCTGATCCTTGAGTCATGAATTTAATTACACACACTTTCGGCAATGACACTTTGTCGCATTGCTGGTTGTTTATTGCCTGTTTTGAGGTGTTTTTTGACCCAGTGAAATGCCACGGAAATCCCCAAAACTCTCACGATTTACGCTCATTTTGCCACTCTTTCAGTCAGAGACCTTAAAACTCATGCTCGAAATCGCGAAAGGTGTTGCAAATCGATGACGCAAAATCGCCGCAGAGTCTCAAGAAATTCGCCCAAGAGTCTGGGGAAGATCGCGATCGAATGACACGAAGAAACGACAAGATCAAGTGAGATTTTTCACGGTTACGCGATCGAAGGTCAGCGAATATTGAAATTCCAAAAAACATCATGAATCACTGCAATGTTAATAATTGAGTGCGTCTATTGCGCCTTCATAAGCAAGTCTTGTCTTGCTGTTTAAACTGTGGTCGAGGGGATTTACCATCGCTCAGGCGCAAATTGATCCAAAACCCTCCGAAATTACCTGAAATCTCCGACATCGCCGCCTAGAAAATCAACGGCGGAGACAATGGAAGATGGAAAAGAGCCTCAACAATGAGCAATTCATGTCTCTACAATTCACACGCGCGGGGATTCTTCATTCTTCAATCAGTTCATTCCACCGCGCGAGGAAAATCACAAAAAAGACATGTTATTTATGCAGAAAATTTCCAGGTGTGTTTTTACACTGTCCAAATCTTCTAGTCTTCATCGCAAGAATTGCCCTATAATTAATCAATTTGCGCAGTTGATTGATTGAACTTGAACTTGGAGTCAGTCATCAAAAAGCTTCTTCAAGTCTCAATGTTGAATTGTTCTTTTGCGCACACGTTTTCCCGCCTCTTGCAGACGCTGGTTTTCTGGGAAAAACAGTTTTTACTCTTGTGTGAAATCACAAATTTTGCGGGTGTGATTTTTGTCGATCTGATCTAGACAATTTTCTCGGGGGATTTTTCACGCATTTTTCCACTCATCATCGCATTGCTAGTGGTTGAATCGCCAGAGTTGACTAGAACGTAGATAAAAGATGAATTTTGCAGATTGTTTCTAATTTTAGATTACACGCAAAAGGTTTGTTGAAAAAAGAGATCTTAAAATGAAAGTTAACAACGAAAATTTATAGTCCAAAAGCGTTTTTTTTTCAAATTTAATTCATCTAATAAATCAATTTAATTCAATATTTCTGTAATTACTTAAATTTCAAATCTTTTAACCTAAAGAACTTCATTATTAGAGACATTGCAGCATTCCATTATTTTCATCTTTGGATATCACACGAAAATTAGAATTCATTCATAGTTCGATTCCTTATGCAATTCCTTAATGTGTCTCTTCAGATTTCCCTTAATACTAAAGGTTCTTTTGCAGATTCCGCACTCAAAAGACTTGGAAAGTTTGTGAACCTTCACGTGAACCATCAATTCATCCAGATTCAGGAAGACTTCCTTGCAAACCCGGCATGTGAGAGAAGATCCTGCAAAATTAAATATTTTCATCAAATAACTGAAACTATGGAAAAATACAATGATTTACCATTCGGCTGAACCGGAAGACCTTTGTGTGTTTTGTAGATGTGCTTCTTGAAGTTCTGTTTCCTCTCAAACATCTTGCTGCAATAGGGACACTTCATCGGCGGATAATCAGGACTCGAATGAAGCTCTCTGTGACTATTCAAATTGGTCTTTTGCACGAATCCTCTACCGCAAATATCGCAGACATGCGGTTTTTCACCGGTGTGAATTTTCATATGTCTGTTCAGCGTTTGTTTGCACGAGAGAACAAGATGGCAAGTTTGGCATTCGAATTTTCTCTGATGAATCGTCAAATGTCGCTTATGAAGAAATTGAGTCAGAAAAATTTCTCCGCAAACATTGCAAAAGTATTCTGGCAATCTTGGTGCACTTTGGCAAAGCTGTTTTATATGCTGCCTTAGTGATATGGAGTTCTTAGACAATTTCTTGCAATGCGGACATTGTCGAGGCTTTTCAACGTGAATTTTCAAGTGTGGGAAAATCTCTGACTTGCTCTTGAATTTCTTCGAGCAAAACGCACACTCGAAATTCCTCTCGTCAGAGTGGAAAAGCATATGAGACTTCAGACGAGATTTTTGAAGAAAAACCTTTTGACAAATTGCACATTTGTAGGAAACTCCAGAGGTTTTCCTCTCGTTGCGCTTCCTCTCTCCACTTATTTCTTCATCTTTTTCCAAGCCAACGGTTTTCCTGTCAAACGAAAGAAACATTTTTTGCAAAGGCAAAAAAGTGATATTTTCCCAACTCACTTTTCAATATCAAGCTGCTCCGGCTCTTGAATCTCGAACTCCTCCTTCACAAAGTCACTCCAAAGGATCTCTTCACATTCCTCGCGATCTTCAGACTCCACCAGTTCTTCCTTAATATCCATTTTCACTTCCTTCGACGCGTTCTACACTTCGCTATTTGACTTCCGCGAATCGGTAATTAAGCGGTTTTGTAGATGGCGCTGTGACACGATCGCGCGCGATTAGTTGCATGTAGAGCAAAAAGAAACATTTCGGACATGTTTGAATCCCGCGGAAAAGTTATCACTTTGCTGCACAAAGTAAGCGCAGCGCCAATTAGGCAAAGATCTCTTAATTTTAAATAATTTATTAAATTTGCATTTAAAAAAATTATATGTGTGACAAACGGATTCACAATTACATCAGTGAAAAATTGTTTGTGCAATATGAAAATCAATTTGATTTGGTTTTTTCTTGAACATTAAACATTTTATCCATAGAAGATTTTTAATTGATTTGATTTCACATTAATTTTATCTTCCATGGAAAAGTTGTCCTGATCATATACAAAAAAATCTTTGTCAATTGGTGATTATAGATTTCCGAAGGTACTAAATGATTGTAAATAACAAATAATTAGTCAAGCCAAATTAAAAATTATCATATCAAACATCTAAAAGAAGCGTCTGTTTTGATACTCAAGTTCCTGAAACACAAGACATTCATTCCTTCCTCTCATTATTTTAATCTATTCGAACCTTTCAAACACCTGGAAATCTCACTTCCCTTATGGCTCTCGGAAGCTCTTCCCGCGAATCTATCATTCCGATCGCCACAACTCGAGCGCTGGTCCTCAATGATAATTTACGGTAATGATTTTCTCACACGCGAGTTTTTTTTGTCGCCACCCCCTCTTCGCCATGCTTCTGCACATGCAAAAAGCGCGCGGACAAAGGAGGAAAAAATGGCAAACAAGCTCCCTCAGTCAGAATTTTCGGCGTATAAAAGACCGCCGAATCTCGGACACTGTATCACAACTCGTTCGCCAGTCAATCTGTGAAATCCCAAGAGAGATCCTCTGCCAAAGTTACCGTTCTGCTGTGAAAAGTGCTAAACACAACATCGTGATGAAGTTCCTGATCTGCCTCTGCGTCGTCACGCTGGCGGCTGTGGCCGTGGCCCATCCGGCGCCTGCAGACGCCGCCGCGCATCCCCTGGAGATCTTCGAGACAGCCGAGTCCGCGCATGGCGGCGGCTACGGGGGCTACGGTGGACATGGCGGCCATGGCGGCGGCTGGGGAGGAGGCCATCATCATCATCACGGCGGCGGCGGCTGGGGCCATGGCGGTCACGGCGGGCACGGCGGCGGATGGGGCCACGGACATCATCATGGCCACCATCACGGCTGATCGCCGCGCACTCCACCAAAGCGCCCCCGAAGAATCTCCTGCCCGTTTCCATTCCGAATCATGTTGTAAATGTTTTGCATAAGAAGCTGTTGAGAATAAAAGAAAGCCAATAAATCCTCGAATAAGTTAATTTTAGTGATCTTTAGGCTTCATTGGATATCGTGGATAATTTGGTGTTTACCTAGAGCGCCAATTAATAAATAAATTGATCTTCAACTTGAACTTCAAGCATCGTCACGATTCTCTTAACTAAACCCCGAAAAGTAGGCAAAATAGTCGTTTTGAAATTGAGTTCAACGATTTTGCGATTTTCAGAGGAAAAAAAATCAATAGAAAATTCAAATGTTATCAATAACAATCAAAACAACACAGAAATTCATCAAGAACAAGAACATTTGGATAGAAAATGTGAAAACTTACATTTTCTGTCATTTCTCATCATTATTCATTTCATTTTTCGGGAGAACTTTCAACAAATTTCTTCAATGTTGATTTGAGATTTAGTTAAAAGGTCAAACAGTATTTTTATCATTGTCCTAGGATTATAAAATAATTCAATTAAGTTGAACATCATGAAAGTTGGGGGTGAATTTGATGAAAGTTTAAATAAGTACAAGAGAAGTTGACTTAATAAATTCATGAAAAATCGAGCGTTTGAACGCACATTCACGTTAATTTCCTTCCCACAGAACAAGAAGATATTCAAAAGTTCTATTAATGATTGTGTAATAGAACATAATTACATGGGCTAAAGTCAAGAGGAATAATTCATTTTTTCAATTTCTGATCAATATTTCTCGTCTGTCCGCTTCCACGTTTTCGCCATTGTTTGTCGAATAGTAATTTAAATGACACCAATTTGTTGAACACATTCCGAATACAAACACCAAAATTATTGTGATTTATTCATTTTCAGTCGGAATATCAAATCAATGTAAAACACATGCTTTATTTCCTCACGTTTGTCGCCTCTCTTCAATCACGTGGGAAAATGGTACTTGCATTTTTCATTAAAGCCTCCCTAAATCGAGGGCGATCGATAAAGCAATTGATGAACTTCGTGCTTGTCTCTCTGGAAATTCCTCGCGGAACGCAAATACGACAATGCGCAATCACTTTGTCGAAGGTGTGACTCAAAATTCAAGTTCACCAGTGGTCAGAAGCGACCGGCCCGGAGCAACTTGCCGCCCTCTTGACGCACTGGCTGGGCGAGTTTGCCTTTCGAAAAAGACGCGTCACTCCCGGAGGAACATGGGCTCGGACGGCGCGTATAAAAGCCCAGCGAGCGCGTCCGGAGAGCATCAGTTCGCTTGTTGAGTGTCTTCTTGAGAACAACCACAAAACAACCCCCAAAAACCATCAAAATGTTCAAGGTTGAACGGTGCCAGAGTGCTGGAAAGTGACTGTGACTAACTCTGTGGCTCTCTCTCTCTCTTGCAGCTCTTCTTCCTGCTCGCCCTCGTCGCCGTGGTGGCCGTCTTCGCCGCCGAGGAGAAGGATCTGTCCGAGTCCGAGTCGCACGCCTTCGCCTACTACCGCTCGCCCTACTGGACCGGCGCCCGCTTCTACGGCTACGGCTACGGCTACCCGTACTACCGCTCCCTGGCCTACCCCCGCTTCTACTCTGGCCTCTACTTGTAGACCGCCCATGCGCTTCCCAGCAGACAGACCAATAAAAATCACTCTTAAATAGACTCCAGCGCCTTTTATTGAGCCTCCGCCGGTGACAGCTTGGTCCACTTCACACTCTCCGCCCACAGCCAAGCCGCCATCTCGTCGTCCTGCGCCTGCGGCCGCGGCTTCACCTCCTTGCAGTCGCTGGAAGGACAAGAGAAGACAAGTTTCTTAAGATTTGATCGGCACAAAGTCATAAACAAGGATTTGAGGGCCTTTAAAGAGTTTTGGGAGAAAGAAAAACATCCGTAAACCACCATAAAAGTTATTTAAATGAATCATATTTGCCAATCAAACTTTCTGATGAACTCAAGTTTAAACTCATCAAAAATCTGAGTAAATAAGTGTTTCGATCTCTAAAGAAATTTGGACTTTATCAGTCTCATTTCAGCTATTTTTAGCAGTTCAATACACCTTTTGACTCATTTTCACACGATTTTCTGATATACAATTTTCTATCACGACTATTATTAGTCAAAAATACCCAAATTGACACTAGATTTCTAATTTTCTGTAATATAAAATCGATAAAATTGCAATTACCATTCAAAAAGTTCACTGTTAATTATCATAAAGAATGGGACACGTTTAAAGCCGTAGAAATTGCGTGAGTTCTCTCTCACCTGAAATACTTTCCGGTGACGTCCTCGAGAACGGGATCCACGGCGAGGCGGATCTGCGTCTGGGCGCCGTTGCGCGGCGTCTTGAAGAAGAGCATGAGGAACGGCCGCCCGATGAAGACCAGGAACGTGGGAATGTGGCGCAGCAGTTCAGTGTTCACGGCTCCGGGATGCAAGCAATTGGCCGTGACTCTGGTGCTCTCGAGCCTCCTGGCCAGCTCTCGCGTGAACAGGATGTTGGCCAGCTTGGACTGCGCGTAGGCGGTGATTCTGTTGTAGGACTTGTCGCTGTTCAAGTCCTCCTTGTTGATCTGCCCCGACATGTGCGCCAAGCTGGACACGGTGACGATGCGGCTGGGCGCGGACTTCTTCAGCAGGTCCAGCAGGAGATTCGTGAGCAGGAAGTGCGCCATGTGATTCACGCCAATCTGCATCTCGAAGCCATCCTCTGTGAGGTTCTTGTTGGGAATCATCATCACGCCGGCGTTGTTGATCAGCACGTCCAGACGCGCCTCCTCGTTCTTGAAGTTCTCCACGAAGGTGCGCACGGACGCCAGCGAGGCGAGGTCGAGCGGCCGGAAGAGCACGTGCGGATTGCCAGACTTCTCAATCACCTCCAGGCGCGCCTCCTCGCCGCGCCCTTTGTCCCTGCACGCCATGTACACTTTGGCGCCGCGGCGTGCCAGGTCCAGCGCTGTCTCCTTGCCGATGCCCGTGTTGGCGCCCGTGATGATCACCACCTTGCCGTCCATCAGCACGTCGTCCTTGCGGAACTTGCCGCCCTGGAAGTATTTGCTGCAAGAGAAAGAGAGGAGAAAGGAAGATGAGAAACTCGCGCTCGGAGTCGCGCGGCGGAAAGAAGACAAGCACGACCAAGCGAAATGATCTAGAAAGCACAAACTTGGTCAAATTAATTGTGATCCGCAACTGTTAATTGTTTCACTCGGCGATCTTGCGCACCGCTATCGCTTTGTGCCTTCTCTTCATTTGTATTCCCATGATTTTTGTGTCTAATTACGAATGAACAGAAGTTTATTGTGAATACGGAAGAGTGGGGCTGATTTGGCCAGACATTAAACTAAACTAATGACACTAAACTTGAGGTGAGAAAGTCAAAGTGTTTTCATATGACAAAATAGAAATTTTATGCCTTTTTCTTCATATTCTGTGCTTATAGATCTCTTAAGCTCTAAAAGTACTCTGTGTCTCAATCTGCCTCACTCTCCTCTATATTAAAATACAACAAAAACTCAAGACAAGTCGCAAATTAACTCTTAGCATAAAAAAAATTTATGTTTTGCGAACTAAGTCAGAAATTCACTTTAATTTTTAAAGTTCTGCGTCATTTCAATTGCGTTTCTATATTTGCATGATTATTCAGCATCTTTTCCACCGCATATTATCGAAAGTACCAATCTTCTTCCATGATCGTACAAATCGAGTAATATGAAATGCACAGAAAACGAAAAGAATGACCTAATTTTCCAAGCATTTCAGTTCGGATTTAATAAAATATTAAATTTATACAAAATGACGAAAACCCGTTTCAGCAAGAATTCAAATTCTTTTTAAAAAAAAAAAAAGCACCAACATTTTGGACATCATCAAAATTCTGCCTTTCAGTATAAGATGAATACAGATTTCACAATTAAGATTATATGCGGCCTTGATTTTCGTTTGCTTTTAGAAATGATGATTTTTTTGGAAACAACGAAATAAACACTCAGCGAGGAAAATTATTTCCGCCGCATTTTTACTGTTTTCACCTGTAATCCTCTATGGAAACACAAGAAGTTATGAGAAATAGTGTTTCAAGATTGACTCATTGTCACGACAAAAGCTCGTTAAACATACTAAATAATAAATATCGAGCGAAAAAGTGCTGAATAATGATGGATTGTAGAATTTCGGATACCATTAAAGCGCGAGATATTAACTCAAGAGCATCTCAGTGAGTCACAAATGTGTTTATGTTTATTATGCTGAGAATTTGAGGCACAAAAACCAGAATGAGAAGGCAATTTTTGGGCAAGGTCTCTAGAAATTTTGCCTTCGAACTGCTTTTGGCGGGCTTTTTTTTGGCGCGCTTTCGCGGGTCACGATCGTCGCTTGTTCCGCCTCTGTTGCACCAAAAGCGCGCGACAATAAAAAATTGATATTCATCGTGTGGATTTCGAGCCTCTGGCCAGAGATAAGACTTCAGTGGACATTGTCCAAGAGCTGATAATTTATGACCGGGAATGCTAATGTGCTGTGCGAGACGTGCTAAGAGGATTTTCCGTTTGGATTTCTACTCACTGCAGCAGAAAGAGTATGATGATGAGCGCCACGATGACACCCACACTCGCGCCGACCCATATCCAAGTGCTGTCTGCCATGATTCGGGCTGCTGCACAGAAATTCACCGATTCTTCGCTATCACTGGCCAAAATGATACTGAACTCGCAAGAGGCGCGAGAGTGAGCACGCGGCCTCGGCGCCACTGTTTCCCCTTCCATCCGAGACGCCATCTCGCCGCTACGCAGCGCCTCGTGTGGCCGTCATTGGCAATAGATGAACACCCGGACGCGCAGAGAACCAAAACATTGTAGTTTTAGTGCAGTTTCCTGACAAAAATGTCCCCCAAGCGAGCCACAGATCAAGTCACTATCCTCACAGGAGACCGCGCCAGGTAAATTCACGACAAAATGTCCCGCAATTCACGCGAGAATGTCTACAATTGCTTTATGTTGGCAGACTGAAGGATTTGCTGCGAAACCGGCTGATTGAGTGCGGCTGGACGGATCAGGTGCGCCTCAACTGCCGGGAGATTGTCAAGGCGGAGGACGGGAAGGTGAATGTGGACCAGCTGGTGCAGCAAGTCACCCCCAAGGCGCGTACAATGATTCCGGACACGGTAAAGAAAGAGCTCCTGCAGAAGATCAAGACACTGCTCCTTGAGCAAGAGGAACACTAGGCACTCTTCCGCGACCACTTCACTGTCAGCCCCACTCCTTGTGATCTACATCGGTTTTTAGTCCTCCAATAAAGTTATTCCGTGAGAAAATGTGACTAGACTAGGAGTAAAATGCTCGATTGTCCCTGAATGCGGCTCTGCGTCGGTTGTCAAAGTCTTCGGAAAAATCAGGAGTGTAAACAAAGGAATCGCGAAAATTGGCTGGCAAGTGAGGAAAAACTCTCCGCAGAAGAGTGTGCAATTTAAATATCTCCCTATAAATGATGGATGATCGCGAGGTTGAGGAGGCTGAAGGGCATACCTTCAGCATGTCTTTCTACGTTCCGCGGGAGAGTCTCGAAAAGATCTTTGGGAAGGAAGGCGTCAAAAGGAAGCGACTGGAGACGACAACAAGAACCCAGATTACGGTGTCTTTGAGTGATCCTCAAGAGCCAATTGTAGTGACTTCTGGGCGCGAGGAATATGCCGAGGAAGCCAGAAAACAGATTGAGGAATTGGTGGCTTCATCTCGTCGGAATGCCGCTGTGACACACTTCGTGTCCATTCCTTGCTGCAGCGAGGATGTGAAGCAGGCATTTGACCAGTTCAAGAGGGCTGTTTTGGCTGGACCTCCTGTGGATGGTTTGACAGAGAAGATGTTCCAAAACCCACTGAAACTCCACTTAACTCTGACCGTGATGGTTCTCATGAATGAAGATGAGGTAACAAAGGCCAGAGAACTTCTGCACGGTGAGCAGGACGCTATCCAAGCAATCCTGGTGGATTTCGGAGGCAAGGCAGAGATCACAATCCAGGGCGTAGACATCATGAATAGCAACCCGGAGCGAACAAGAGTTGTTTACGCGAAAATTCAATCAGAGGCTTTGCAGAAAATCGCTAATCATGTTGAGGCAGTTTTCGGGGAGAAGAAGCTCGGCAAGACTAAGAGCCCATCACCCAATGTAAAGCTGCACATGACTCTGATCAACTCTAGATACCGCAAAACATTCAACGCTTCGCGAATTTTGGATGAATTCAAGGATTTTCCTTTTGGATCCATTCAATTGACGGAGATTCACTTATCCGATCGAGCGTCTTTTGATGATAAGGGATATTATACAGCCATAACAACTCTCAGCTTCTAGAAAGCAGCTGAAAGAGTAGAAATGAAAAGGATAAATTATTGATGTGATTGATGTATATTTTGGTGCGTTTTCTCATCCAATCTTGTCTTATGACGTTCCACTGGAAAGCCTGTGACATTCCTTATTGGGCGTTCGTGAATCCATGACAGTTGCCTTGTTTACATCCGCAGAAAATCATTTCGTGTGCAAATTTCTCGACAAATAGGCATCATGCCGAAGTATTATTGCGATTATTGTGACACGTACCTCACGCACGACTCCCCGAGCGTGCGTAAGACGCACTGTACGGGCCGCAAGCACAAGGACAACGTGAAATTCTACTACCAAAAGTGGATGGAGGAGCAGGCGCAGAACCTCATCGATGCCACCACGGCCGCGTTCAAGGCGGGCAAGATAGCACAGAATCCCTTCGCCCAGCCGCCGCCGAAGGGCGTCGCCATTCCCCCGCCCAACACACTGGCGCCCCCGCCTCGGCCGGGCATGATGCCAGCGGGAATTCCGCACGGCGCGCCCGGAATGCCGCAGATGATGATGGGGCCACACATGATGGGCATCCGGCCGCCGTCCATGATGGGCCTGGGCCCGGGCATGATGGCGCCGCCACCCATGGGACAGTACCGCTCGATGGTCAACGGGCCGCCGCCGCAACTGAAACCGTCATAAGAATCGTGAACTTCTGTAAATGCCAGCTATATTTCGGTGTCTCCAATAAAGAAACGTATCTGAAAGTGTGAGTGAACATGATCTAAATCCCCTTGCGCCACTTCTCGCACGTCTTCGTCTCCGTCATGGGCTTCCCGGCCACGCCGCACGTGCCAATGCCCACGCGGCCGTTCACATTGTCCGGGGACGCGAAGATGCTCTTTGGAATGCCACCCGACTTCTTGGCACTTTTCGTGGTGAAAGCCAGCCACTTGTTCTTCTCCGTCTCGCGCTCCTGCTCCAGCTCCTTGAAGCGCTGCTGTTTTTTCATCTTCTTCTTCTTCAGATACTCCTTCTGGTTCGGGTGGCGGCGTCTGCAAGGAAGGGAGAAATCGGGGTCAGCAAGGGCCTTTCTGAGGTCCACAAGAGGACTCACTTGTTGCTACTACTCGATGGGAATACTTCATTGCGTGTGGTGCGTTCCCGCAGCTCCTTGAGCGTTGTTGTACTTCGGTTCTGATATGCGTCGAAGATGACACTGACCTCGCCGCCGACTGTGATGCCCTCGATGGTGGCGTCGTAGTACTGGCCGTCCTCCGTCCACTTGGCTTGACACTTGTCGCCGATCTTCCAGCTCGCCTGCTTCTCCTCGTCCTGGATGCGCTCCGCCGCCCTCAGCACCTGGTCAATGTCGTCGTCGTACAGCGAGGATTTGTCTGTGTCCGGCCCGATGTACGAGGACTTCTTCTGCTCCTCCAGTTGTGTCTTTATCAGGTCGCGCGTCAGGTCAATCACCTCCTCGAGGTCCTTTTTCAGCTTCAGCAGCTCCTGGTTGTCGGGATCTGAGAGCAAGGCCACTTCCACCTGAAATCCCAAACACACACGTCAATTTCCCACCCTTCACGCCACACTAGCACTTCCTCACCTGCTGAAGCTGCAGTTTGTAGTTCTGAAGATCATCTGCCATGGCTGAGTGTGGTGGAAAAGTGTCCAAAACCTGTGGAATTGCCCGATTTTCACACGATCTCGAGAAAAACGTTTACAAAAACAAGGATTCTTGACACCTGACCGCAGCGCCTCGAGCGACTGTTTGCCGCAAAACAACGGAGCCAATCGGGAAAAGTGAGCAAAGAAGTGAGCAACTCTTCACGTTTATTGTTTCTTCCGCTTGGGGTGTTTTGTGTTTTCTCTGAGGTTTTTCTTACATTTTCTTTTGTATTTTATAGTTTAGTGAAGTAAAGCCACCGTGAATGCAATAATCACACACTCAACTGCACCATGGCAAGTAAGTTGAGGCCAGGAAAGTCGCCTTTTCCGGGTTTTCCAGGGGTTTTTTTGCTCACCCTTGTCGTGATGTAAACAAAAAGTGATTAATTGATTTTCCGGGGAAATTTTTCACTCCCGGAGAGGAATTTGTGGGTGATTCTGGGAAAATGCACAGCTGTGGAGGGTGTTTGAGGGCTGGAAATGGTGTGTCTAATGGGATTCCGTTTGGTTTCCAGCAAAAGACAGCGGCGTGGAGGAGGTGATAAAGGAACTGAGGCAAATCACCCTGGCGGATGGCGACAGTGTGGCTTCTGTGCTGGCCAAAATCTCCGCGGCAGACCCAAAGACTTACGAGGACGCCGACTTGGCGGCGCCGCTGCACAGTCTGCTCGCCACTGCATCCGGCAGCGACGACACGCGCGCACAGGTGGCCAAGTGCATAGCCGATGTGGCGAAGATCGCCGGTCAGCGGAAGAGATTCACCGCCAAGGACACCATTGAACTCCTGCTAAAGTTCATCCGCGAGGCGGAGAAGGTAGAAAAGATCAAGCTCGTGACGCAAGCGTGTCGCGCTCTGGGCAACATTTGCTATCTGAATGACGACGCCAGGAGTCTGATAGTGGAGCTGAAGGGCGATGACAGCCTCGTGAAGCTGCTGGACGTGAGTGTGGCGGAGGAGAGTGCGGAGTATGAGCAATTCGTGAAGGTTCGATGCGGCGTCATCTCGAATTTCCTCCTGGGCGGCGAGGAATTCTCCAAGAAGGCCATGGATCTAGGCATCCTGAGCCGACTGGAGGCCACAGCCGACGCGGCGTCACAGCGGAAGCCCCTGCCGGAGGTGCTGCTGCAGAACACGCTGCAGCCGCTGAGCATTCTCACGGAGAACGTGCCGGATCTGAAGTTCAGCGCGTCACTGAATCGCAGTCTGGTTCGCATTCTGGGTGCGTCGACGCATCCGGACCTGGGCGAGATGTGCCTGGAACTGCTGCACTACCAGGCGGAGAATGACGACGTGAAGTTGCTGCTGGCGAAGGACGGCCTGTGTGAGACAATCTACAGGCTGCTGGAGAAGTACAAAACGCTGGCGAGCAGTAGCAGCGATGCGCGCGCTCTTATGAAGTTGGCATGTGATCTAATCGTACTTATCCTCACGGGGGATGACTCCATGAGCTACCTCTACTCCACGCCCTTCCGGGGAAACATGGAGGCCTGGCTGGAGGCGACTGACGTGGACCTGGTGACGACGGGCGTGCTGGCGCTGGGCAACTTCGCGCGCACGGACAGCCACTGCATCGACATGGTGCGCGGCAATGTGATGCACAAGTTGCTGGCCATCCTGGCCAAGAACAACAGCACCAGCGACGACGTGAATCTGCAGCACGCGCTGCTCAGCACGCTACGCAATCTCGTGATACCCAAGGTGAACAAGACGGCGGTGATCGAGGCGGGACTGGTGGGCATTCTGCTGCCCATGCTGGAGATCCACACGCCCTGGGTGGTGTTCAAGCTGCTGGGCACGCTGCGCATGACTGTTGATGGGCAGGAGAAGCTGGCGCTGGAGCTGCTGGCCAACGAGAAGCTCATCCGGCAGCTGGTGACGTGGAGCAACTCCACGGACTACGCGGGCGTCACGGGTGAGTCACTGCGCCTAATGGCGTGGCTCGTGAAGAACGCGTACGCCGTTCAGCGGCACGACGGCGCCGCGATGGCGGTGGCGGATCACGGCAGCCTGGCGAGGTTCGCGTGCACCGAGGGCGCAGTGGAGTGCATGGTGGCGATGCTGGCGTCGCAGCACCTGGTCATGCAGAACGAGTCCCTGATTGCCTTAAGCATCCTGCTGGTTGTCTTCGGGCAGAGCGCCGGCGCGGCGGCCGCCAGTGGCCCCAGCGTGGATCTCGAGAGTCTCCTCGTGGCCGCGAATGTGGGCGCGAAGCTGGCGGAGCTGATCTCCACGCGCGCCGACACCATGACCAAGGAGATCGTGGAGAACCTGCAGGCCGTGATCGAGCTGCTGCGCAAGTCGGACGCCCTGACGAAGCACCTGGCGCAGCACAACATCGACGAGCAAGTCAAGTCAATCCCAATTCTCGTGGAGTACTGCACACTCTAAGAAGCGCACACGAGCGCCCGTTCTCGAGCGCACAGCACGTGAGTATTTTACCTTTATGATGAGCCCTGTGACGTAAGTTTCTGCAAGGTTTTTATTTAGTTACAATCTACAATATAAGGAAGAAAATCTCGTAGCCAATTTGGAAGTAAACAAAAAAGTGAGATTGTAGAGAAGAATTCCGTAGTGATTTTCAGTGTTTAATGAAAGAGAGTGAAAAAAAGAGAAAACATTTTGCATTTATCACTATAAACTTTTTTAACTGTAACTTTTCTCCTCTTGAGATATTTAAGGATAAAGGCGAATTGATAGAAAATGGCTTTTATGATGACAAACAGAAAGAAAAGTATATATAAATATATATAAATTTTCCTCTAAACCAAATTTGTAAATTTAGCATGTCTTGAAACATTTTTTATTCCTTCTTCTTGATGAATATTCCAATCAATAATTAGATCTTTGACTGTAAGATAATCCCTTTTGAAGTGAGAAAAAAAAGAGAGTATTGAAACATCGAAAATCCTATAAATAGTTGCAATAAATGTCCAAGAGTTAGAAAGAAAAGAAATGCGTTTTTTTTTATTTCTGAGAAGCGCGAAATCTTTTGAACAGTTTACTGAACACTCCGCTTGGGGCGCTTCTGGCGCAGAGGGGAATTTTCCGGTGTGGTGAATTTGTTGCCTGACAGCCATCAGCAAATCGAGCGCTAGAAGTGCAGTGAAAATTTGCTTTTCTCCCGTAAATTCCCCGTAATTTGAAGGTAAGTCACGCTGTGCGACAGCGACACATTGTCCCCAATCCATCGTCATTGCCTTTTGCTGGCGAATTTGCATATTAATCGAGCATTTCTCTGTGCAAATTGCAGTGGTAGAAAATGGCAGCGCGACGTGTTACACAATCAAGTGTGAACTGGGCTTCTCTGGCCGAGCGTGTGCCTGCGAACCAGCGCGCCAACTTCATCGCCTTCAAGTCCAGGAGCGACAAGTACTTGAGGAGCGTCCAGGCCAATCCTGAGACGGCGCCGAAGATCGACTGGGCGCGCTACAAGCAGGCCATTCCCGTGGCTGGTCTCGTGGACAGCTTCCAGAAGCAGTACGAGGCCGTGAAGATTCCCTATCCGGAGGACACGTTCTCCGGCGAGGTGGACAAGCAGGAGGCGGAGGTGAAGCGCGAGATAGAGACGTTCAAGCAGGAGTCGGAGGCGAGGATTGCCAATTATCAGAAAGAGATTGCGCGTCTGAAGTCGCTGTTGCCATTCGATCAGATGACCCTGGAGGACTTCAGGGAGTCCTATCCCGATGTGGCCATCGATCCACTCAACAAACCCACTTTCTGGCCACACAATCCCGAGGAGCAGTTCGGATACAAGCCCAAGGATCAGGCTGGCGAGACCGGAGGCCACTAAATTGGCCGGAAATGATGTCCGGAAGCTCCTAGCATGAGATTGCTCTGAAGGAAATTGTAGATTTGCTGTCCGTGGGTGTATCTATTAAATTCTAGTGAAAAAAAGATGTTGCTTCTTGTGTTTCTTTGAATTCCGAGAGTGTCTCTTAAATTAAGATGTTATTGTGGTAAGAGGAATGTAACTTCTTTGAGTTTGAGGAATTCCAGCCAAAATCGAATGTAAGTCAACCAGGACTTTTCCAGTGGTTGGACATCAGAAAATCCTCAAAGTTTAGCAAATCTAAGCATATGTTTAATTCAAAGCCCTTTATTTACTCTCTCAAAAAGTTCTCAAGCCTTTCACTTGTAAAACTGTTGGGTTTATGGAGATAAATATTTTCACCAGAAGGAAATACTGCGTAATCATGGCTGTAAAAAGAAATATTTTGAATTATCCTTCATCAATTGATTCAGGATTGTTTTGGGTTAATTGGTAAAATAACATACAATATAAAGTCACTGACTTTTTCCACTAATAAAAGAAATCTAGGAAACACGCAGTCAGCATTTTGGAGGATTGTAGTAAATTAACAATGATCAGCGCTTTCTTTAGTGTGTCAAATGGCAGAAGGAGGGATTCACAAGTCTATAAATTCCCTGCAATTTTCAACAGTGAACCAAACGTAAAGTGTTCTTGCCGCCAATAAGTGAGTTATACTAACTAAAAGGTTTTCCGCATAAACTTCCTTTATTTCTTTCTCTCAGTGAGCGCAATTGGGAGCGAATACAGTCCGATTGGCGACTTCTTGGACGCCTCATCTGCCAATTCCACGAATCCATCAGTGTCCAAGGTGGAGCAGCACGAAGAAAACAGCCAGAAAGTGAAAGAGTGGCTGCGACAGAACTCCTGCCAAGCCTCCATTCCGTCCAGTGATGACAAGAGCGATCATCAGCCGCGTGAGCTCAAGAAGAGAATCACACTCGACGAGTATCGCAGGCGAAAGGAAATACTCACGTCTAAAATTCCGGAATGAACTTTATTTATCTCATTGATTGATCCTTACAAAATCGTACATATTGGAAAGAAGAATTTCCCCAAAATCATGCAATAACTGTGAAGGGAATATATAGAAAAATAAACGAAAAACACCGCAACCGAAGTCAATCTCTGGGCGCTTAGAGATTGGCGCACTTCTTGCGCTCGTACATGTTGAGCAGCTCGGTGAGCTTCTGGCCCAGCGACGTGTCCACCTGGGCGAAGTTCTTCACGGCGCGCTCCTGGATGAAGGGACTGGCGTCCTTCAGGTGGCCAGCGATGTTCTGCGCGAGGCGCTCGCGTGCCGGAGCGTCCAGCACTCGCCTGTAGAAGTCCGTCACCTGACTGAAGTTGTCCTCGGTCTCGCTATTGTCGTAGCGCGCCACATCACCGCTCAGCTTGTACGGCGGATTGAGCTTCAGCACGCGTGGGCAGTCCTCGGGGCCGCCGAAGGAGTTGGGATGGTAGTTGGGGGCGCCGCCCTGGTTGTCCGTGAAGCACATCGGCCCGTCGCGCTGGTACGTCTTAGGCGACACACGGTACGGACAGTTGACCGGCAGCTGGAGGAAGTTGGCGCCCAGACGGTGGCGATGAGTGTCCGAGTAGGCGAACAGACGTCCCTGCAGCATCTTGTCGGGCGACGCCTCGATGCCGGGCACGAAGTGCGACGGCGAGAAGGCGATCTGCTCCACCTCAGCGAAGTAGTTGTTGGGATTGCGATCCAGCGTGAATTTGCCCACCTTGATGAGCGGGAACTGACCCTGCGGCCAGATCTTGGTCAGGTCGAAGGGGTTGTACTTGAACTTCTCCGCCTGCTCGAACGTCATCACCTGGATGTAGAACGTCCAGCTGGGGAAGTTGCCCTTGGCGATGGCATTGTACAGATCCCTGATGGAGTAGTCGGGATCACTGGAGGCCAGCTCGGTGGCGCGCTCCACGGGCAGATTCTTGATACCCTGATCCGTCTTCGAGTGGAACTTCACGTAGAAAGCCTCGCCCTTGGCATTGATGGTCTTGAATGTGTGCGATCCGTAGCCGTTCATGTGGCGATAGCCATCGGGAATGCCGCGATCGGAGAACAGGAAGGCCGTCTGGTGCGTGGTCTCCGGACGGAGCGAGATGAAGTCCCAGAACATGTCGGGGTCCTTCAGATGCGTCGCGGGATTCCTCTTCTGCGTGTGAATGAAGCTGGGGAAGAGCATGGGGTCGCGAATGAAGAAGATGGGCGTGTTGTTGCCCACCAAATCCCAGATGCCATCCTCCGTGTAGAACTTCATGGCGAAGCCGCGCGGGTCACGCGCCGAGTCAGCCGATCCACTCTCGCCGCCCACCGTGGAGAAGCGGATGGCGATGGGTGTCTTCTTGCCCACCGTGTCAAACACCTTCGCGGCGCAGTACTTCTGGATCTCGTCGTGAGTCACCTCGAAGAAGCCGAAAGCTCCGGCGCCCTTCGCATGCACCACGCGCTCCGGGATGCGCTCGCGATCAAAGGCCGACATCTCGTCCAGGAACTGGTGGTCCTGCAGCAGCACCGGCCCGTTCGGGCCCACCGTCTGCGTGGCGGTGCGCAGGCCGATCGGCGCTCCATGTTTCGTCGTCACCACAGACTGAGCGCCCTGGAAGACGGAAAGAGCAAAGAAATGGTGAGTTTCTGAGATGTTTTCGAGGATCAATTCACAGTTTTGCTTCTTTTAATGCTTCAATTTCAATACACAGGAAGAAATCTATAGTAGAAATATCTTGATCACTTTATCCAGTGAAAGTCTGAAGCCCATCATTTTAAAACCTTTGCAAAGTCTCGACTTTACCGACTTTTAGCGGCAATTGTGTGATCTTCAAATGTGTGCAGAAGTCAAAGATCATCGAAAATCGCACGTTGGAACTTTTTTCACTTTCTTCGCAGCTCTAAAAGCACGCATTTGGCTATAAATCTCACTGAAAAGCTTCACTTGAAATTCAAATCTTATCAAATACCACCTTATCATCTGAGAAATTTCGCGAATTTAACCTTGAATATAAGTGAATTACATAAAAATCCATCGCAAATTGACACCGTCGGTCAAAGAAAAACTGCATACAATCACACACATTTCGTATGAAGGCTCATGAAATGTTTCATAACTGCTTCTTTCGTAATTGTCCGCTGCTTGACCAAGAAATATTTAGGTCTTTGAACTTTACCAATCCGAGACATGATGGTAAGAGAATTCATTATGTGCACTGAACATAATCATAAATTACGGATGAAAGCAATAGAACACAATCAAATCATATTTATCAGTTGAAATTGGTCAAGAACGTATTTTTACACTTCTTATCCACAACATTTCTGGTGTTTGTGTGTAAAAAGCAATGGTCAGAAAGCTAGAAAAATGACCCTGACACTCGTGGCGGGCTCAAAACCGCGGCAAAAAAGTCACTTTTATATACAGTCAACACAAGGAAAGGAGCCAAATTTCACACACAATCGAGAATCACACTCTAATTTCTAATATATTCTTCTCTCCAAACAGTTAAATTGTTATTCTTCATACCCAACAAACACATGTCTAAGAACGCCTTCAGCGAATGTGACTTTTGAAAGCCACTTTGGCCTCATGAATGCTCTTTAGAATCCAATATAAGAGGCAAATTGCGAAACACTGCGTGACAAAATTGCCTTCTAATTGCATATATTTTTCAGGCGACAATGCGTGAAGATCGCCATCGAATGAGGAAAAGATTATTCCGTCAAGCAATGTGATAATTCAACTGTGTTCTGGAACAAAATGCAAAACAAAGTCTTGTCTGAAATTCAATTTCAAACGCCACGAAGAGTTATTTACTTTCCACCAGCGAATCTGTCCTTGAGTTGATTCTCAAGCAGATCATTTGAGAGCAAAAAAAATACACACAAAGCTGCGCTGCAGAATTATCTCACACTAAAATAGACTCTAATACAGGATTTGTGTACTTTTTTATCATCACAATTTCCACATATTAAAACATTTTTCACATTCTTCAACGTCAAGAGCTTCAGAAATGAGATTTCGATCTGAAACTGATCTTCTGAACAAGAATTTATTATCTTCAAGGGTCATTCGAAGAAAAACAACCACAAAAAACAACAATATTTATGTGGTTTTTGCCCAAAATTCTATCAATTTCCATTTTTAATGAACCCCTTTCGAAAAACATCACGTTTTCCTGTTATTAAATTCTCCACGTGTTTCAATTTTTAACAAGAAATTTACCCCAAATTTCCTCTCACGCAGCATCACACAATTATGAGGAATAAACAACACAAAATGTGTCCATGACATCAAATTATGCCATTCTTCTTCCACACGCAGAAAGCCAAAGATAGAGAGAAAGATCTTTTCCCTTCTTTAATTGCATTAACAAGAAAACAACAATTATTATCTTATGATCGCGATCGTGTGCAATGTTTATTTTCATTCACATGTCAGTTTTTCTTGTTTATAATTCATCGTGATGGTCATTTTTAGGGTAAGTTGAAGAGCAGTGAAATAATTGCAACTTTTCACTCTTTTTCACATAGTCAAGTGAGTTTTTTTTCTGTGATAGGAATCATCTCACTGATAAGACACGAATGGATCCCTCTTCTTAGAAATCTCCTCTTAATTGTGCCAACAATTAAACACACGAATTTGCAGTGAAGCAAATAGGAAGGAGATTACATTAAAATTATGTTCTTTTCTTCAGATAGGTGTAAAAGATAATTAGCAATGCAATCACTAAAGTCTTTTTATTGCTTATAAAGTACATTAAAAGAGTAAATTAATCATGCCACAGTGATTAATTGTGAGATTTTCTTTGCTGACTTTATAAAAGCACTTAAGAATAATTCGATTTGATGTTCGAGAATTTATCTGATGTAGAAAATCTACCGCAAACGGAAGCAGTTTTTTCATAGAAAAAGAAACATTGGAAATGTTCCACATTCAATTGACGAGTCATAAGAATGTCAATATGAAGAAAGACAGTCAAAATATAAGTTTATTATGCATAACATTATCTTCTCATCGTTCTAATTACATCAAATAATTCACTTAATTCAAACCTTACATTGAACTCATGCTAATAAATTCAAACTTTCAAAACTTCAGTTCAACTTGTAAAGGAAGCAAATGTGTGCATTTATTATAATCATTGAGTGAAAATTAATGTAATAGCGCGTAAATATTCAAAGTGAGCGTGAACGCGGTAATTTCGATTTCATGATAACTCAATCACGTAATAAATTAGCTTAGAAAAGTAGTTCATTCACCAACACAAAGAGTAAAAACTATGCAAAAAATTCTATTTGCGCACCATTAAGGTCATGTCAAGAATCTCTCTATGAGAAAGACGTGAAATTTCGGTTAAATCACTTCTCTCAAATCACACGATGTTGGGCGAGAGTTTATTGAACTTTTACTCCAATGCTGAGGAGATTTCATTACACAAAAAGAAGAAGAAGAGGAGAAAGAGTTTGAAGAAGTGGTGGGAAAATGCACTTTCTTCTTACATTTCCTTCTTCGTCTCATTCGTCTCTAAGAAGTGTATAAAGTCTCTCTCTCTTTGGGTGTCTTTTCTTGACTTTACCTCACGTATCGTAATTACATAAAAATTATACTGCGATGCTTATGAAAAAGCTCTCTTTAAGTGTATGAAACAATGAATTTCCAGATAAGATAACACACGATCACGTACGCAGCATGCTATCAAGAAATTTCCTTTCCAATTTCAAAAAGAAACTAATGCTTTCGAAATTGTGAATAAATCCTACGCCATTGAGCTTCTCAAAATTGAGTGACAGAGAATTTTGGTAGTAGAATTTTGAAGATTTCACTGATTTACATTGTGTGTATGCGTTTAAAGCACAGAGAAATGTGAAAATTCTCGTTATCAGTCATGGTTTTAGCCATGGAACTCATAAACAAGATAAAGCGGCTGTTATTGACTTTATGGTGGCATTTTGTAACGCTGAGATGTGGCCTAAACCTTACTGACTTAATACATGTTCTGTGGAAATGCACGACAAACTTTCTCGCAGACCTTTACAAAAGTGCATAACGTCTCAACCACAAAAACCTCAAGAGTTCATTCACAACATTCACGAGAATGTTGCAAAACTCCTTGTGACACAAAATGTACAATTGGAATTTCAAATTTTTCGACAAAATAAAGCCAAAGTCAAGAAAGTGAAAAACGACGAGGAATAATCCATCATGAAAGAGATAACTTTTTACTCTTTCAGATCCTATTAAATGTTTTTTATTCCTCCTTCTTCTTCACAGAGCTTTGGTAATTTCTCGGCTTTTTCCACATTAGCTCGCGATAACGCAGCGTGAAGATTATGGGTGCGAATGTGTTGAACAAGAGTCGGAATTATCTAATCGAAATGCAAGAACTGTGTCAAAAAATACACACACTTCAATTCTTCACGCCAAGGACAGTGAAAGATCATCAGTTTTTCAGATCTCCCCGAAACCTAGAGAGAAACTGTACTTCGTAAAACCTCAAACATTTGCCATAGCTTTCAATCATTCATGAATCTCTCGCCGGAGCGACAAATTCAAATGCTCCTCAATTTCTCAATACACGCAGAGCTTCCAATGTGAGCCGCGCGATGTTGAGACAGTGTTTCTTGGTCTGTGATCGTGGCGTCCACACCCGTTCACTGCGGGCAAACCGGTTAACCGGCCTCCGATGTGGTGGAAGGAGTTGCAAAAGAGACCCGCCGATAAAAAGTGGAGGAAAGAAGTTGTGAAGAAAATTGGGAAGCTCTCAATCATCCACAAAAAGACACTCACAGATCACGAGATCATGGCTTCACTCAAGATGTTACCCAAATTTCAGGCACAATTGAACGCTTTATGGGAAAGTGAGAAAGCAATGATGAAGACATTTTAAATGCCACTCGATTCACACATTTGAAAAAAAGATTAAGTATATTATATCGATTCAACTCGACGAGCTTTGTTACAGTGTGTGAAATTACGTGGCAGAAACTCAAGATCCGATTCGAGATGCAAGACAATTGCTTTTAATTTTAAGAGATGTTTGTTTTTGACGATAGAACTTCATTTTGATTTTAGAAAATCGTAAATTAAGAGCAAGTTTTAGCCTTTTAAAAGCTGTTTATACAATTATAAAGTTGATAAAATGTGAATTTTTCAATTAACATCTCTGATCTGAAACAAATGACTAAAATACAATGAATGCTGACAAAATCAACACTTTAACTAAAACCCCACTCAAACCAGGATTAAATAACAGTTGTGTAAAAGTTCTAGAGTTCTTGCTTAGTCAATCATAAACCCTGAAAGAATGAGTTATGAATAAAAATTCAGTTAATTATTAGTCCAATTCAATGGTTTCTTCGCCTCTGTAGATTTCCCTTAGAATTGCTGTTTATTGAACAACCTTTCCTAATGAGCAACCATTCATTTCTTCGCGCTTGTTTGTAACCTACTTTTCGGGATATTAATTGCATCCTTTGTCAATGTTCACGCACCCTGAAGAAGAGTTGCTTGATAAAGCAGCATTATTCAAATAACTATTCTAATTCCTTCGTCATGTTCCATTTTGCAATCTTGCGTCATTATAGCGAAATTATTAGGCATCTTTTATCGCGCAAGGCCATAAATTACCCTCTCGTGAGATTTTTAATCCATTGGAGGACTTTACGTGCTTCCACGATCCGACTATGATAACAAGATCATCCAGGAGATTATTATATTGTGTTTCCACTGAAATCCACTGTTGGAAACGACCGCAAAAAAAACTCTAGAGAGCGATAAGGAAACCGCAATCCAATGGAATCACTCATTATTCTGAAGAGAATTGCGCTTTTCGGGCTGTTTTGGGAGTGTATTTGCCTCATCTTCCTATGAATTTCATAGCTGTGTTCTTGTGATCTTCACAAAGCGCATTACGTAACGTTGTTTTCCCTTATTTTGACCGCTATTTGGAACATAAAAATTTTTTTTGATAAAAAGCTCATTATAGAGCAAAATATAGCTTTTGCACTCGACACACACGGCGAGGAGGAAAAGTTGCAAGTAATCGTGGAAAGGTGCTTCACTCCCCGCGCTTCAGCTCCCCCCTTTTCCATCCCGCACACACCGACAAATATTCCACAAACAACCGGCTTTTTCTTCAGTGCAACACTTTTACAAAATTAATTTAACCACACAGGCAAAAGAGGCAAGAGGTCGATTTTCTGCCTCTTGGTCAGACTTTGCTTGGTGTGCGTGAAGCGCTTTCGGAAGCGTCGAGAAACGGAGGTGTCTCCACTTGGATACTGGTTGGGAAACTGCGCGATAATCGGGAAAAGCGGACTCACCTTCAGGCTCTTCTTGTGGAGGTTGAGTTGATCTTCGGCTGGGTTGCGAGCTGACATTTTTTATGTCGAGTTCTCTGGCGTTACGAGAGAAAGAATTGCGGAGAACACTCCAAACACAAGAGGGGAGTACAAAGATGTAATTGCAAATGAAACAAGCCGCACGAGGAGCTCACTTCGAGCACAGAAACACTGAAAATAGTGGAGCAGCCGTGAATGGCTCCTGTTTATATACTTCTCATCCACTCTCCCCACTTCCAGCTGACGTCTTGTGGGGAGTTTTTCCGCCGCCCGCAAATTCAGCGCTGGTGTGAAGTTAGCCGTGGCGCGCGAAATACATTCAAATCGCTAATGACTAATTTATTGGTGTGGGAAAATCTCACAGAGTTTTCTCATTCTTCTTGCTTGTTTCATCACCTTTTGGATCCTCAATCAGCTCCAGCTTGAAATCGATGGGTTTGTCGTATCCCATGATCTTGATGAAGTGATTTGTGTCAGGAAATTCCTTTGCGTCCACGAAGAATCCTTTCTTCCCCACGAGGAAAGTCGTAAACATTCCAGGCACATCCGGCACCTTCACGTCGGATATCCGGAATTTGGTCTGCAAAGCAAATGGCATTTCCATATGATTTCCCTATCAATTTCTGCATGCCTTGCGAACTTACGTAAGTTGGCGTGAGAAAGAACGAAATTGTTGTTGCCGTGTACTCTTGAGTGCTGGCATTGAACTTCATCGCCGAGACGTAGTTCTTTGTGATCCAGTGCAGCAAGAAGGGGGTGACGAACGTGAAGAAGCCCACGAAGCCGCTCATGAAGACTACCAGCGCAGTGCCGCCGATTTTACTGGCTTGCTCAATAATCATCGGCTGCGCTATGAGTCCGGTGATACTTGTGGTCAGAGAGAACACCTTCACGGCCTTCATTTTTTTGGTCAGGGGGCCCACGTAGACATTCTCGTCCTCCTTCTCCGGGGCAGTGCAGAAGCACCTCAACGCGATGAGGTTATGTCGCCTGGCTGTGCGGATTCCACCAATGCCACGCCACAACGCCGGCAAATTTCTGCCCACAGCAGTGCAGGGATTAGCCAGCGTGCTGATTAGCATGCTTCTGTGGTTGATTAGAACGGAAAACACGAGTTTTTCTGCGAAAATATTTTCACTGCGAGGAGTGACGGCTAAAAATTCACCACTTCGAGCGCGCTGAATTCAATTCAGCGCTGAACGAAAATTGAACGAATGGGCGCGATTGCAAAATCCCGCCAATATAAAAGGGGCGAGAAACGAGCCAGAAGATGTCCTCAACAGAGAGAAATTGTCCAAGTAAAAAGGAAAATCATTCTCAGTGCAACAATGAAACCTCTGTGGCTGCAGATCATCCTGAGAGTTGTGGAGGAGTACTTCGTGGAAGAGACAGCTAATCAAGCGGAAGAGTATAATCTAGATTCACAATCATTTTTTGTGTTTTGTGTGGTTTTGTGGAATTCGTTCTTCTTCCATTCTAGTGATTTTAGCGTTCAGGCGAAGAGGCCGTCAATTCGCAGTGGATGATAAACCAGAAAGGAAATGTCAATCACCAGAAGACCTCATTGAGCAGCAAGTTGAATAACATCGCCCATGCAGTGATTGTATAATTCCAATTCGCCTGAAAATGCTGTGAAACCCTTCTTCAATAAGGGATTAATTTTAGTTCCACTTCTTCGTAGCTCAGCAATGTGACCTATAATTGCACGCATTGCCTCACGGCAATTGCTGCAATTAATTTACATCTCAATTGCATTCCCTTCTTGCGTAACATTCACATTGAGGGAATCATTTCTTACACTTTCTGCATGTTTTGTGTGAAGATTTGCAATTAAAATCGAATCTATCTGGGAAATTGTGCCCTGTTTGTTTCATTTGCTCCATTTCGTCGTGAAAAGGGTGATAAAATATGCGAATTTTATTTTTGTGAGTAAATTTTTCCAGATTTCTGCTCATCATTGGCTGAAAGAGTTTATTTTCTCGCCAGGATTGCACTTTTGCTCGTGATCTCATCGGCTAAATATCTTCCGAAGCATGAAAAGAGAGCTCGGCGACTCCCCAACATTTGGGACACTTCAAGTGGAAAATCAAGGACGAAGCATGGCAAGACGCTGGGTTGGGAAACTCGGCACCACCGCGGAGACACTCTGAGCGGCGAACGGGAGGTGGAGGCTTCCAGGAAACTCAAGCGTCTTCTGAAGTGCATTCACACGGACCTTGAGCGTCCGGCGACCTCAGCAGCACTCTCAGAGGCGCCGTCAGATTGTCCTTGTGCCCTTCGCGCGCCCAACAAGGCACGAAAGGCGCTCTCCGAGCCGCCCGTCGACAAAGAAGAACCTCCGGACACAGCCGAAGATCTCGAAAGTCCCTGCAGCGAATTCCTAGGCAACGATGAGGAAAATTTGGCGAAACTGCGTGAGATTATCGATGAAATTCTCGTGACTTTGGACGATATTGAGAGGCAGAAAAGCACTGTGCAGAACTTGAGAAACAAGATAAGCATGGGAGAAAATTAGTGAGAATTGTGTCGCCACATGATATTATATTCAAGGAAAATCGCGAGAATTTTCACCTCGAGCAGATTTATTCAAATATACAACCCCTTTAAGACGAACCTCCCACATCATTGAGTCGTTCCTCGATATAATAGAATATGAATTAATTTCACACCGACGTTGCTCTGCACACATGCCAATGGAAGTCGGGCGGAAAATTTGTCACTTTTATCAATTTTCTGATAAGCCTTGTCGACAGAAAAGGTGTCCCAGAAAGAAGAACGCGCTGTCCCTAATTAATTCCTGACGCAACACTTACAGCTGTGATGCAGAAAAGGACTTCGGATGGCCATTGTTTATTGCTTGAGTATCTGCGCTATTTTCCTAGAAACTGAATTGCATTAATTCGTCTAATTGATTTAGTTGTCAGAGCGATCACGATTTCACGCTTCAATTGAATTCAAATAAAGCACTGAGATTGTAATCAAGAGTTTTATTAATAGGTCTATTGTGGAATTTAATAGAAGTTTTGCCTAAATGAGCGTTGCTTGACTCAAAATTAACTTTGTAAAGCAAAGTGATTCTTTTTCAGCTAAACTAGTTTAAACATGTCCGCTAAATTTCTCCGTGAATTGATGGTTCACAAACTTTCCAAGTCTTTTGAGTGCGGAATCTGCAAAAGAACCTTTAGTACTAAGTCAAATCTGAAGGCACACGTTAAGATATTCTATAAGGAATCAACGCACTGAAGGATATTTACTGAGGTATGCAAATTGAAGACGTTGAAGACTTACATACTCTGTGAAATTACTTCACTGATTGGAAAGATCCTAGAAAGGATCGTATATGGAAAAATGTTAAATACACAGAATCAAAGTTGAATGAATTGAGTAAAGTGTTTTGCACCATTCAATTATTGAAAATCTCTCTTTCTACTTGATTCCTAGAAAATTTTCATTGTCCAGAGACAACAACAAGTTGATTTCGTGCAGCATTTCTGCGAAGAGAATTCTCTTTTCCATGAAATGTTTACTGCCAACAGAAAAGTCTATGCATATAATTTTCTTCGCTGTGAAATGAAGGGAAAATCAATGCAGAGACAGATTGTTCCATTTTTATCAATTTACCTTCAAGTGACGTGGAAAACGCAATATCAGCGGTTGCGAGCCAAGTGCGAGAGAAGAAGAGGGCGATTTTCATTGAGCGAAAGTCGAGGAAATCCTTCGCCTACGGGAGAGTGAAATAGGGAAAAAATTGATATTAATTGAGATGGTGGCGAGTGGATTTGAGTTACAGAAATAAATTCACATTAATTATGTCCCTTTTTCATGGTTGCTGCCTCGCCCTCGTGGGATTTGCATGTGACTCTGCTGGAAATGTCGCTTGTTGTGGAGAAGCTCACAGAGGATGAAAGAGGGATAATCTTCCTCTGCAATTCTTTTTTCATCTCCCCATCAAATCATCAACCTTTTAGGTGTGTGTTTTCCATTTGTTTGCCAAGTGAAATGTGCGAGGCGGGAGGAAAATTGGAGGCAATATTCTCACCACACACGCACTTTCCGGAGATTGGAAGTAAATGTGATTAGAAATTCGTGGCTCTTCACGTGTGGAGATCAAAAAGCCAGGGATTTGTGTAATCTTTGGGGCTTAATTTCATGCATTTCTGCATTCTAATTGAGGAAACTTGATTGAAGCTCAAGAAATCCCGCCAAGAAGCGAGAGGAAGTGTGAATTTATCCTCGGCAATTAACACGTTTTGCGCGTAATTCGGACGAATTACTCTCGCTGGGCAAACGAAGTCCATCTGTGAGCAGCAATAAAAGTGATGATGGACAAATTGTGGCCACTCACCAATTTAATTTGCAATCTCTTTGGCGGCTTTTCCACCTCCTCGTCAGCATCGAGCAGGAGCAGATCGGATGCGCAAGCGTCTCGGTGCTCTCCCGGCGGCCAGTATAAAACCGCGCGATGCATGGAATGCGATTCCAGTGATTTTTGGAACGAAGCGCGGAAGCCCGAATGGCGGGCATGACGCTTCTCGCGGGATTCTGTCTCGTGCTGTGCGCCGTGAAGAGTGCCGTGAGTGGAAATTCCTCCCAGCACTTCAGCGATGTCCAAGAGGAGGATGCGAGGCGGTGGTTTCGCCTCATGGACGCCGAGCTGAAGTCCCTCAACAAGCACACATCGATCATCGCTTGGGAGCTGAGGTAAGATGAGACTCGAGTTCCTCATCAGCCTTTCGCTGCTGAAGCTTCAAAGAATTCCCTGAGAAGAAGAAGGAAGGAAGCGTTTAATTAATGGTTCTTGCGAATCTTAACGGAAATTTGGAGTTTCTTTTTAATTATTATAAACTGTTTTTGGATTGTAGCGATTGTAGTTATATAAAGATGTAAGAGGCAAATTTAGAAAAATTTAGATGATTCTCCATATGGCGCAAAAGACACTATTTTGCATGAAATCTTTCCTTATCATTTCCAAAAGTAAATCCTTAAGTGTCTCTTAGATAAATTGTTTGAACATTTAAGCTATGTAAAACATTTTTAAGATGCTTAAAAATTATTTTTTCTTGTTTTTTCGCTATTATTCATCCTTTTTCGCCCTTGTTGAAAATCGTCATTAATTCAAGACTTATGAATTCTAATGATATTCTTAAGATATAAATTTTCAATTCAAACAATTCAATTTTTTGTTCGAGATATAAAAAAAATCATTTTCAGCTTTGAATTTAACCTGTGTTCTTAAGCAAAGATTCAACTGAGCTCATATTTTGTGAGGAAAGGGAAAATGTAATGCAATAACATGAAATCGGTGTGAAAATCTAGCTTTAATGTTTCTTTAATATGCCCAGATTCTCTGCAATGATACTGCTTTTTATTCGCTTTAGTTGGTTTATTGATTACTTAAATATTTCAAAATCTTATAAATTAAAGAAATTCAAGGATAAAAACTCAAATTGAGAAATGCAAGTCCCTTTTTCTCTAAATTGACCATTAAAATCTCAACTGCGTAAAAGGTGTTCGACGAATACTCTTTAAAACTTTCCCACCTGAATTTGATATCCTTAAAGACCTCGAATTCCTCAAAGCGTTTCATGGAATTTCTTCCCAAACTTTTTCACCTTCCAAACTCTTAATTAAAATCTCCTGAGCGGATTCTCTTCCGCCTTGGGAGCTCTTGAGGCTTCGAGAGGTTCGAGAGTGTGATTGATTTCCTCTCCTGCAGCGTTAATCCCTCCGAGAGCCTTGGCGAGGAGGGAGTTCTGCTGAACGGCATCCGAACAAAGTGGCAGGAGGAAAAGTGCGACGAAGCTCTGGTTTTGCTGGCGTCGTCGACGGAGCCAAAAATGCGCCGAGCGGTGAATCTGCTGTGCCGCGGCCCCAGATTCTCGCCGGATGAGACGCAAGTGCTATCCAGGGTGATTGCGGACATGCAGGACACGTACACGGACACGCAGATCTGCCTGCCGAAGGACGTGAACGCGTGTTTGAGGGCAGATTCGCTCTGGGATTTCACCTTCGTGCGTGCGCCCGCGGACGGGGGCTTCTTCTGGCTGAATCTGAGGGACTTTATAGAGGGAGAGGCAGTCGCCAAGGCGTCCGACTACTTCGCCATCATCCCTCCGGACACGCGCTTCGCCTGCTTCGACGGTAAGTTGAGTGGCGGTGAATTGGCGAATCGATAAGTGCTCTTCTGTTCTCTCAGGGGAACCGGATCTCGAGAGAGTGATGACGGGCGACTTCAGCGTTCTCGGGTGTCAGCCGACGCGTCCGGAGATTATCTATCACTGGGCGTGGGAGGCGTGGCGCATGGCGGTGGGAGTCTCCATTGGCAACATCTATCCCTCGGCGGTGGCGCTCATGAACCGCGGCGCCAGGAAAGGCGGCTATCGCGACATGGGCGAAGTGTGGCGCGAGGAGTTGGAGGTGGACAACCTGGAGGAGGTCATGTGGCACCTCTGGGAAGACGTGAAGCCCTTCTACAGTCTCTTGCACGCCGTGGTGAGGCACTTCCTGCGGCAAGAGTACCGGATCCAGGGCTTCAGCCAGCACGGAAAGATCCCGGCGCACATCCTGGGCAACATGTGGTCACAGAACTGGGCGTCTCTGCACAAACTGCTGATGCCTGACGTGAAGCTGGATCTGGAGGCAAATATCCGGGCGACGAACTGGACGGCACTCGACATGGTGGCTCACGCTGAGGACTTCTTCACGTCCCTCGGCCTCCGGAAGATGACGCACAAGTTCTGGCGCTACTCGCAGTTCGAGAAGAACAACACGACGCGATGCCACGGAACGGCGGCCAATATGTTCATGCCGGACGATTACAGGATGATCGTGTGCTCAGAGAAGAGTCTCGAGGATTTGTACGTGATTCACCACGAATTCGGGCATCTGGCGTACTATTCAGCGTACAGGAATCAGCCGACAATCTTCCAGGACGGAACCAATTCGGCATTCCAGGAAGCCGTCGGCGACGCTCTCTTCAACGGCGTCATGACGCCGCAGCATCTCAACAGAATGTCTCTGCTGCCCGATGAGTTTCTCCTGCCCAACAACAACTCCATGTCCTTCAGACACTTGGAGGCCTTCAATAACTCCCGCAATCCTCCAAGAGAGTCCCAGATTCACAACATCTACGACATTTCCATCCTGCTGCGCGTCGCTCTGGCCAAAATCCCGCAGATTCCCTTCGAGTACATCGTCGACGTGTTCCGCTGGAGCCTCTTCCGCGGCGACGTGGACTTCGAGGACGCCAATGATTACTTCTGGGCCCTCAGCGAACTTCACCAAGGCATCCAAGCGCCAGGACGCGCCGACAGACGCAAGATGTTCGACGCCGGAGCGAAGTTTCACGTGGCCGACAACACGCCGTACGTGCGCTACTTCCTCGCCAGCATCATCCAGATGCAGATCTTCAAGGGACTCTGCCAAGAGACCGTCTTTGACCGCGTGCGTCCCGACGAACCGCTACCAATGCCGCTGCATCGCTGCGACATCTACGGCTCAAAGAGAGCAGGAAGGATTCTCAGGTGAGTCAAAGGGAATTGACGAAGAAAATCCCTTCACTCGCTACAGGATTTCATTTGAGAGAAGTCAAGGCAATGAGTTTATTGAGTAATTAGCCTGATTCTTAAATTTACCGTGAATTTTTGATACTTTTGAAGCAATATTTCTGTTAAAATCCAATCAAAATCACTCCTATCATGTCCTTTTCAATTCTCAACGCTAAATAACATTAAGAAATCTTCAGAAATTGTTTTTAAAACGTCGATTGTAATGCAATAGAATTTGAAAGTGTATTCAAAATCGCTAATTCTTATTGAAAAATGGCTCAAAAGCTCCTCCAATAAAGCTTAAGTTCGTCCTAAGACTCCCGCCTAATGTGCCTCCCTTGGCGTGTTTCCCGCACAGGAAATCTCTCTCGTTGGGAGCTTCTGTGCACTGGACAACAGTGATGGAAATCCTCACGGGATCCAGGAAGATCTCAGCCAAGCCTCTGCTGGAGTACTACAAACCGCTGATCGACTGGCTGCACCACACAATTGACAAACTCAACATTCCCGTCGGATGGTAACTAAACGCACGGTGGGTTCATTAAAAGGATTTTATTTCTCTTTAAGTTTCGATGTTAAATACAATAGTTACATAGCATTTTTGTGGGGGAAAAACACCATAATCTTACAAAAAAGACTCTTATTTACCACTCTATGTACATACAAAAGCAGTGGGAGGAAGAATTTTGGCATAATTGTTGCATTTTACTCGTTTATCCATTTCCTTTCTCAAGTGTCAAAAATACACAATATTAAACTTTGTTCATCTCTAAAATTCATTCGTTATTTATTGTTTTGAGACTTTGAAGGCCAAGCTATTCGTTATCCCTTGTTTTATTTTTCATTCCTTAAACCATCCCTTGTTCTCCCTTGGATTCAGGCCATGGACAATTATGGGTATTTTGCGAAGTAAATCGTTTCTCTTTTTTTCTCATTTTATAAAATATATTCTAGTAAAAATGTTAGATTGTATTAAAAATCTGGCACTTTGTGAATTAACAGTATTAATATATTTAAGTAAAAAATAAAAGATCTACCATCTACGTTAATCAATAGTTGATTTGTATCCACTTTATGTTAACAATACACATTGTTAAGGCAAGTTTTCCTTCGTTTCCTTTTCTTTCATTCATTTCTCTTTCTTTTCTTTCGATGAAATATCCACAGAATTGTGTGTGTGTGTGAATTGTGCGAAAAGAAGTGGAAAAACGGAGAGACAATCTTATGGCATCGCGGCTCCTATTTACACTCCATCTCTGTCACTCGATCACTTGTCCAGCCGGAAGTTGTGCGTGTGCGTCTTGTGCTCCGATCGCGACTCCGTCGTCGTCGTGATGATGCGACGCTCGAGGATGCGCTGCTGCGAGCCCACTTGGCGCGCGTCGCTCTCCTGGCTCAACTTCACACTGCCGCCGCCCTCGCTCACGCTCATCTTCGAGAAGTGCTGCTCGAAGTCCTGCTCGAGCGGCGGCGGCGGCGGCGGGAACTCGTCGTCGCGCCGATCGTACCTCTTCGTCTCGTATCTGAGCGAACGAAAGTGTTTTCTTTTAAAGGTTAGCCAATTAGAACAAGCAAACGCAAATTTGCACTCGATTCACTGTTAGGGAATTAATTTCGATCAGGATATTTACACAAAAGACAAAAAGGATCATTCCAATTACTGTACAAGTGCAAATTTTTGAGAGTTTAGAGCTCATTAGCGAAAAAAGCAAGCAATTAATCCCCACACCTTGCTGTGAATCCTTCATAGTTCTGCCCGTTGCTCTGCTTGCTGGCGCCACTCTCCTCGCTCCTCACCGTCGTCGCGGGACCCTTGAAGGTGCTGAATGTCGTTCCGGACCTGCCCAGTGTCTTCTCGTGCAGATCCTTCACGCATGCCTCCAGATTGCCGCTGCTGCTCTGCGTGACCAGCGGCTTGTGCGTCGCCACGGGCGAATTGGAGTCGGATCCCGTGCCGTGGTACGGCCGCGGAATGGCGTTGCCCGTGAGGAAGGTGGAGCGCGGCGGCGGCGGCACGGCCGCCTGGTGGTACGTCGTGGACGTGGAGGTGTTCTGGAAGCTGGGCGACGGCGGTGTGGCATTGAGAGCCGATCGATTGAAGCTCGAGTTCTGTCCGTACGACGCAGAGGCGGAATATTGATCTGGGGGCGGCGTGTTGTAGCCATACTGCGTCTGCTTCTGATACTGATAACTCGACGCATTGCCCGTGTCCGTGTCACTGTCGTCCGTGTAGCCGGCCATCTGCTTCTGCTTGTACTTCGCCTGGCGAATGGCCACCAGACGATTGCGCGCCTCCTCCAGCTGTCGCTCCATCTTCAGCACCTCCGATCGCGCATTGATCTCCTGCGCCATGCCGTCTACCATGCTCGTGTTGATCTTCAGGATGTGCTCCTCCTCCATGTCAATCGCCTGCTGCGCCGCCCTCACCAGATTGTCCGTGGACTTAATCACGGCATTGCCGGCAGCCTGCAGTCGTCTGCCCGACTCCGAGTTAGGATCGGACTTCACTTTGCACGCAATCAAGAGCTGCGCCGTGGACGCCGCCACTTGGCGCGCCGACGAAATCAGCGTCTCTTCAGTGCCCACGCCCAGAACCAGATTCTGCGCCGCCTCCACGAGACTGTGCGTGGCCGCGGCCACGAGACGCGCCGCCGAGATCAAGCCCTCCGACCACTGCCCATCGTCTGAGGACGTGAGCGGACGTCTGGCCACCTTTCCCTGCTCGATCAGCTCCTTCTGCGCGGCATTCGCGGCGCGCACGAGCGCCGAAGACGCCGCCATGATGCCTTTGGCAGCCTCCAAGATCATCTCGTCGAACTTCAGGTTCTCATCCGCCAACTGTTGGCACAAAAAGAACACAATGAACAATCTATTTCAGACTATGTCGGCAATTAATCACTGTCTTTCTATCTAATTGCTCAGAAAGTGTTCTTGACTTCTTAATTTACAACACAAGAATCCTATATTTAATAGAATATCAGTAATATACTTGTCTAAGAAACCTCAATCACCACTACTAGAAATCTAAGACGATACTATTCTAGAACTGGGACTTAGTATTAACATTAGAGCTAGTAATTACCACTTCATGAAGATACATAGTGTCGAAAGGAGGAAAGAGAGACCAAAGAATGCCCACAGTAATAATATGTTTGATTCCTGGGTGATAGTCAAATAGCAACAACCAAGAATATCAAACATATCTCACTGTAAACATCACCACCACCACAAAATGAGAATCTGCGGCCGGAGCCGCTCTTTGTTAGAACATCGGAAATGTTCAAATAAACAACTCACCTTAATGTCCGAGTTGCGTCGTGGACGCAGACTGGCCAGCTTCTTCGCCGCCGCGTCGATCGATGCCGCCGCGCCCAGCAGTTCGTTCTCCGCAATCACGGTGGGATCCTCCGGATCCACCCAATCCACGCCCTTCAGCAGCTGCGCCACAGCCACCAAGTCCGTCACGCACTTCGCCACGCGACGCGACAAGTGCATTCGCTCGTCCGCCGAGGCGCCCTTCAGCACCGCCTCCAGCAGATCACGATACGCCATCGCCACGGCCGCGCCGGCGTCCAGTGTGCGCTGACGCAGATCCGCCGTCTCGGCGCACGACCACGCCACCGAGCGACACACGCTCAGCATGTCGCTGATGGCGCGCCGGCCCAGATTTGCCGCCGCCACGATGTCCGTCTGCAGATTCGACGCTCCCGCCGCGACGGCCTTCGCCGTGGCCAACGTCACGTTCTTCGTCACGCGGATGAGATCCTCCGGTGTGGCCGGCGGACCGCCCGGCCCCGGCGGCACCTGCAGGCTGCGAATCTCCTGCATTATCGCCTCCACAGTGGCTTCCATGGCACGCGTTCCGCGCGTGTGCTCGTCCTCCACGGCCTTCACCGTCTTCAGCAGCGTCGACACGTTCAGCACCATCACCTGAAGCACAGGAAGAAAGTCTAATAGCTGCTCTTCGTCTCTCTTAACACTGAAATGCTTCAGAGAATCTCATATGGAAATCAGTCATTTGTTGCCAATTGCATTACCTTGAAAGTCGCATGTGATTTACGCACCAATTTTTCCAGGATATAAAAGAATTGCTTCGCTTCTCACTTTATTGTTATACAAATATTATTTCAGTGTTATGTAAAATTATATAATATCAATTATTAATTCTCTTTATGTTTCGTATAAAAACACAAAATAAAAAAAAATTGTAAGTTAAGTAAGTTGAAAGAACACAAAATGTGTGAAATGAAAATCTCTTTTATGGCACTTCGTTAGTAGAAAATTTCGTTGGTTATTTTGCTCTTAAGAGCACTAAAATTATAAAAATATCATTGCTGCATCGAGTTCTCAGTGTTGCTTTTCGTTGTCCTCTTGTGGATGAATCCAGACTTTTCCGCAAATTCTTGTTCTCAATTCTCAAACAATGATTCGATCGAACAACACAAATTACTTTAAACAACTAATAAAGTGTGTGATCAGTGACAATAATACAGTCATGGACAATAAGAAAACAAATAAGATTCTCCTCCTTCTCTTCATCTCTCTACAATACTAAATCTGACAATCCATTTGTGATATCTGTGTCGACAATATTTGCAGACACCTCAAACAGGTCTTTAAGTACCTGGCAAAAGAGTAGGGAAAACAACAAAGTAGAATAAAATATAAAACTCTCGCTCAACATAGAATGAATAATAATAATAATAATAGCAAAAGCATCATTTGTGTGAGATAAATGAAAATAATAAATTGAAAAGAAATACAAATAAACAGTGTAGCAAAACAAGGGGATGCAAATACCGTTCTCCAAAAATTAATTATTTTTAAAAAATATAATAATATATATTGCAGAACAAGAAATAGCGGTAGAAGATTCGAGATTCTTGTGCGGCTTTTACGTGCAGACACCAACAAGATGCAGAATGATATTTTTTTTTGCTAAACTCTTTCTTTTAGACACTTCGTCTTTTTTTCTACAATAAAATAGAATACATAAAATAAATTATCTTCCATCAATGATTGACTGTTATTTCAAGTAGAATTAGTTTTTTTATCTTCACTATTATTTATTGTGTTACTTGTTACGCAAATCTGACAAACTATTTTAGGCAATTTTGTTTCTTTTTTAATAGACTAATAAAATTTAGAAAAAAAGCTTTCTTAGCGATAAAAGCAAAAGTTTTTTTTACCAATTTCCTAACATTTACACTTCCTCAATAATTTTATCAACATTTTAATCCAATTTAGTAGAACAAAGTCGTCATAGAGATTAGTAAATGTGAATATAATGATTGATTCACCACACAAAATAGTCAATAAATTAGATTAGAATTGTACCATTAAGGAAATATATAAAACACCCAGAAGCCTTAGCAATTCTCCATATCATTGGCAAGAGACGCTTTCAAGTCTTGCAGCGTCACTTTGTGTGCTTTCTCAAGTTACACTTTGTTAGTTTTATTAAACCATGAGAGAGTGACTTCATCTATCACTCTCACTCTCTCTCTCTCTCTCTCCAACAGAAAGACTTCCATAGAAGAGAAAAGTTTCAAACTAGTCAATTTGTACTCACTCTCGCGCTCTCCTTCATGTCGTTCATCGCCGGATCGTGAATTGACTTGCCAGACGCCAATTTCGTGGCATTTATCAATTCACCAAGAGCCGCCGCGACATCTTTCACCGCATTCATCACCATCACTTGCGAATCCGGCTGTCCGGATCCCAAGCTGCTGGCGCCTCTCTTCACCGCTTCAGCCAATTGCACTGCAAAGAACAAGAAGCAGCGCCAAGTGAATCGCCATTCAAGTGAAGCCAGAAAAACCCTGCAATACTCACAAATCGTCGTTACAGCATTCTGAGCAGCCGACGCCAGTTGATCCTGCGATCCTGCCGCCCCGGCCACAAGCACTTTCGTGTCCTCCACGAGAGCCTTGGCCGTCTTCAGGATGTGCTCGCGATGGTCGGCAAAAGTCCCATCGCCATCACTGTGCAGCGTTCCCGCCGTGGCGAACATGATCGTGGCATCGAGATCGCCAATGATGCCCGACACCGTGTTGGCGGCGTTGATGCACGCCTGAGTGCCGCGTGAGCCCGCCTGCAGAGCCGCCAGCACTTGAGACACCTTCTCAGTGACATCCCGAGCGCCTCTGGCCACATCGGCCAGCGCATTGGCGTCATCCGGACGAATGCCGGTGGTGAATTGAATCAACTGCGAGATGGAGTAGCCCAACTCCTGCACGGTGTTGCGAATGCGCACAGAGATGTCCGAGGAGGTCGTCGTGGCAGAGGCGCCCATCGAGTCTTGCGCCAGCTGCATGTAGTGATTCGTGATGTCCACACAGAGTTGCGGCAATTTCCCCTGATCTGTGCCAGCCTTGGCATTGATCTCATTCGCCAACCGTGCAATCTCCTTGGCGCTCTGCACCATGCGCGTCTGATAGTCCACGAAGTTGTCTACAGAACTCACGCCCAGGAACGATTGGCGTTTGTCCGTGATGCGTGTAATCGAGCGCGAAATCTGCTCCATCAATCCCGTCACCACGCCATTCTCCGTGGCCAGCTTCTCGACGGTTGAGTTGAGCTCCATCAGAGCCTCTCGTGTCGCCGTCACGCACTCATCCAGCTGCGTGTGATGATTCGTGGCACGCGGATTCCCGCCAGCATCCTTGGCCGTCTCCACGAGATCAGACGCCGACTCAATCACGGACTTCGTCTGGTCCAGCAGCGTGATTTGCTGGCTCGAGTGAATCAGATGCGAACACGCCCCAATTGCGCCATTTGTCAGCGGAACGGCGTATCTGGAGATCTGAGTGACGGCATGACCCAAGCTCTCGGCATTCCTCTTCGCCGCCGCGCGCACGGCATCCAATTTGTCCGCCATTTCGGCCGCCGCATTCACCGTCTGACTCGTGAAGCCCTGCAAGTTGTTCTCCCTCTTCGGCGCCAAGCCCTGAATGCCAATCGACAGGGCGGTCGAGTCCAAGTCCCTGGCGCAAGTGTTGAGCGTGCTCAACACCTGGTCGCATTGCACCTTCCCTGGCGCCCTCTCCCTGATGTTGTCCACCAGACGCTTCACGCTCTCCGACACGGGCTTGCTGTGCAGCGCCAACTGTTGCCACACCGGCGGATCGTCAGGCGTCACGGCCAGAGTCTTCACCGTCTTCACCATCTCCACCACGCCGTCCAGAACCGATCGGCCCGCGTGCAGAATCGGCTCCTGGGCGCGATAACCCTCGCCCGAAATACGCGCCGGAATGCTAATGAACTCCGGCGAGGAGGCGAACTGACGACATGAGTGCACAGCATCCATCAGCGGACGCGTCGCTTCAGCACACTGCTGACGAGCTTGTGCGGTGTCACGTTCCAAGTTCTTCGATTTCTGCACCAGAGCAGACGTCGCTGTGGCCACATCCTTCGCCGCATAGATAAATTGCTGCTTCGCCACTGGATTGCTCGTGTTCGTACTGGCATTCCTGCGGACAAATGATTAATTTACTCTCTACGCCACAACTTTGCAACTGAGCAAATTCCACACTCACCTCGAGATATTGCACAGAATCGTCGTCTGCTTGGCGATGGTTGTCAGTGAAGAAATGAGCTGTTCACGTGTAGCATCGGGATTGCACAGAACCTGGCAGTGCTGCTCAATTGCCTGAGAGACTCTTTGCAGCTGGGATTGCTCCACAAGTCCCGGACGTCCGGCGACACTGGTTGGATCACTCGTGCCGACCAGATATGCCGACTGAGCGGCAGATTCAATCAATCCGCGCATCGATTCCGCCACCATGTTCACCGAGTGACCAAACTCCACGTACTGCGACGACTTGGCATTGTTGATCATCTCACTGATGGCATGCCCAAGGCTGGCGGACTTCTCCGTGGCCGACTCGAAGCAGTCGTAGTATCCCATGTCGTTCAGAGGCTCCTTCGGGTGCTCCAGCATCGGACGAAGGCTCTCAATGGTGCGAATCGCCCTGTCGCACTCCTTCTGACCAGGAGCGGCCGATGTGCACATGTCCACCAGGTAATTGATGCTCTCAGTCACCGCTCTGGCGGCTGCCGCCAAGTGATTCTTTGCATTCGGTTGCTCAGGATCGGCAGCCACGGATTTGGCCGTGAAGAGCAGAGCTGAAGAGCTCCTGGAGACTCCGCGAATGGACACAACGACGTTATTCCTCACCACCTCGTCCTTCGTCTGACCAGCCATCTCCAGCGACACCGTCAGCAGTTCCTTGTAAGCCTGACTGAAGTTCTGACTTGTGCTGGCCAACTGGGCAGGGCTTGCGTGCGCCTGAACGATTCTTCCACCGGCAGCATTCAGATTCTCCGCCGCAAACTTCAGCTCTGTCTGCAATTGACCGTAGGATTTGCTCGAAGGCGGGAATTCACCCATAGCAATCACCTCGCTCAGCTCATTGATTGTCTTCAGAGCGTCATCCACTTCTCGCTGTCCAGGCAGACAATCCACCGTCTTCTCCAGCGCCACCTGCACTTCCCTCGCCGTTTGCGTGAGAATCACGGGATCGCCAATGTTCTGCAGCATCCTCTGCGCCTCCTCAATCACCCGCACGGACGTCAGAATGACATCATCAGCAGCATTAATCACAATAGGATTGTTGTTCGTTGCTGCAACGCCACGCACGCTCTTCGTGAAGTCACCCAGAGCCAGAGCAGTGTCCCTGCCGGCCGCTCCGGCGTACAAGCGATTGCCCTGCGTCACTGCCGACAGGAGTTGCGACATGGCCACGCCGACTTGCTTGCTGCTGGCGCCCAGCTGCTTCGCCGTGCTCTCTGGCGTCTCTCCAGGCAGCGGGCGCAGCGTGTTCTGTTGCGCCGCGCGACGAGTCTCATTCAGGACAGTCCTGAGATTGTTAACAGCATCAATTGCTGACTCCAACTCTTGTCCGCCACATGCTTCTCTGGCGCGAGACGCCGCCGATCTGAGGTCATGAATCGTCTGGCTGAAGTGATGCGTCGTGCGCGAGAGTTGCTGGGAAGCCGTGAAGTCAGACACCGAAGGCTGAAGAGCACGAGCCGATCCGGCAAAGTTTGATCCCACTTCCACGAAAGACTCCGACGCCTCGATCAATCCCAGCTGCGCAGATGGTTCGTCAGGACGCGCAATGGTGTTCTTCGCACTCATGACAAGGCGCGGAATGGCATCCGCCGTGGCTTTGCAGTCCAGCAACAGCGGCTCAATAGCCTGATCATCATTGCTGTACTGCGTGGCATTCCGGGACGCGAACATGCACTGAGTAGCCGCAGAAGCTGCCTGCTTGGCCGACAACTCCAGACGATTGATCAGACGACGCTTCATGGCCGGCGTATTGGCCGCCGTTGTTGTAATGTCACGCAACTCCTCAGCCGCCGTCCGCAGAGCTTCTTGATTCTGCGAATCGTGCGGATGAGTGCTGCAGACTCTGGCCGCTTCCAGCAGACGAGCAGTTGCATCGGCCAATTGCTTGGCAGCAGCCAAAAGACGCCTCTGAAGCTCCTCGTCGGACTGATCCTTCGCCTCGCCTGCAAGAAACCACAATGCAATTAATATAGAATTCACTAATTCAATCGTGCTTTTATCATACCTTGAATATTCTGAATCAATCTGGCCGTCGCTTGGCCCAAGATCTTCGCCTGCTTGATCATCTCTTGAGGATCTGACGAGGCCACGAGTTTGTCCGTAGTGAGAAGGACATTGTCCATGGGATGATCGTCCTGGACGAGCCTCGCTCTCTCCCTGGCACTCAAGCTGATGTGCTCCAGCAGTTCCTTCAGCGTGCGCGACACTTCCTGCGCCGCCGCCATCAAATCCCCGCGCAGCTGATGATTGTCCGTCGCCTCATTGCAGATAGCCACCAAATTGTTGACAGCCTTCGCCACTTCGCGAGCCGCCGCCTCCAATTGATCGCGGCACGCTTTGTTCTGGAGCGTCGGCGCCACAACTTTGGCACAAGCCACCAATTGACTGGTCGCCAGAGCGCACTGGCTGGCCGCCTCGATGACTTTGTTGCGCGTGTCGTCATCCTCAACGCTGGCGGCGATGCTCTTGGCGCGCAGCACAAGGGCGGCCGTCGTGTTGGCCACCGCCTTGGCCAGGGCGAGGAGCATGTCGTGCAACTCGCGGCTTTCTGGGCTCTCCTCGCCGATGGTGCTCAACACTTGCGTGCTGGCCTCACCGACGCGACTGGCGGCGTTCAGGAGACTCTGGCGCGGCTCCTTGCTCTCGGGCTCCGCCGCGTTCAGCAGATCCCTCATGGCATCGCACAGACGCCTCGTGGCGTCCAGCAGACGATCGCCACTGTGATCGTCCTCCATGAGAGCCGCCAACAGGCGCACTTCCTTCGTCACCGTCGGGATGCTCTGCGTGATCTGTGTCACCGCCTCGCCGACAGCCTCGTGATCAACATCATCCGGCTGCGTCGCCGTCACCACTTGCGCCGTGGCGGCGTTCATGGTGGCGATGTGCGTCGTCACGAGCTGCTTCGAGGACTCCAGCGTGTTCTCGCGCCACTCAATCGAGTGCGGATCATCGCCCAGATCAGGAATCTCCGCCTTGGTCTGCAACTCCTCCTGAGCTCTCGCCAATTCCTCACGCCCAGCGGAAATATAGCCCAAAAGAGCACGCTGCGGCTCTGTTAGCACTGAACTTATGCGAATCTCCTTCGACTGCAACGATTGAGAGAAGAAAGGGATTATTAGTTGATCGAGAAAACTGCCTTCTGATTAAATTCACCTACGCCTAAGTTATTTGATTTTGCATTTTAGGAGGCGGCATGAAAAGAAAAGTTGTATTTTCTTTAAATTTTGTTAGTCATCCAATGGTTTGTAGCTAAAATCTAATGCTAAGAATAACTAATTAATTGTACAATGATGCAGAAATGTAAAAGGAAAAAAATGAGGAAATAAATAATTGTTTTTGTACATAAAGAATACAAAGTTGAAGCACATTTCTTTGCTAATTCATCAAAGGGAGAAACAATCAAGCATGAAAACTTACCAATGGCGGCTGATGAGCCAAATTCACCTGTCCAACAATCGCTCCGTACTGTACATTCGTCATATCGCCATGTGTGTATGGTTTTTCTCCTAATATCAGCGAGTTTTTACATACACGATTTGCAACAAATAAATCCATTGCGATTTTTTTTTACATAGAAAGAAATAAAAAGACAGAATAATAAATCTAGAGTGAAGACTAAGAAAACCGTGGCTAAATTCTATATCTATGGCTGTTGCTGGTATTTAACAGTGTGTGTGTGTGTATGTTTTTGGGTGTTTTTCAAAGTGTAAACAGCGAAAAAAGGAGGGAAAATAACTGCATCCTATATTTACATCAAATGATTAATATCCTCCACATTTACTTACCGTCAGAACCGCGCATAATTACTGGCTTTGCCAGGGATTCCGTATTAATTTTGCCCACTTTATTCGTCTCGTGCTGCAAGAATGTTGCCCTGTGTGTCAAATAAACATGCATTAGTGCAAAAATTCCCTGAACAATTCTCCACATTCCAAAATCCACTCACTTTGACGGCGCCACGCTTTCCTCCACCATCGTCGATCCCTCATCGCCCTCAATGCCGAAGTGATCCTTGCTCTGCTTCTTCTTCAGGATGATATCGATGTAGCCAGAGATGAGATGGACAATCTGCTCGGCCTCTGTCGTCTGCACAGAATAGTACTGATCGGCATAATCACCGAAATCCAGTGTGAAGGTGTTGGGCGAAGCGCCCCAGCGTCGGACAGTGGTCAGTGGCCACGTCTTGAGGATCTCCTTGGTCTTCTCGTCCAGGCGCAGCACAGAGTCCTTCGTCACACCCAACAATCTTGGCACCAATTTATTCTTCCCACTCAACTTCTCCTTCACCAGGAAGAATGTCACGCCATAAGTTGGCAGTTCGCGGGCTGTTTTTGTGTACAGCACCTTTGCATCAATCTCCGACGACTCGAAATGCTTGCGATGCTCAGCAAAAATCTTCTTCTCAATGCTTTTTACGCGAACATACGACTGCGGCAGAAACTCCTTCAAGCTGTGCGAGGTTTTGCAGCGAGACAGAGCGAGAGAGAGGGAGAGAGACAAGAAGCCAGAGATTGTAAGTTAATTGTGTATTGATGTGACTGCGAGATAATAGGAAAGGAGAAGGAAAAAAACACTCACTCCAGAAATCCAGTGGTGTGCTTCTTGTCGTTGTAGTCGCCAAATTGAATTTGCGCCTGAATACCTGCGAATTCACATGCTTTTTCCTGTGTGACCGGATGTGTTCCATCTAAAATTGCATCTCTCGCCTGCACATAGAGCAAATTCAATTGCACCGGATCGCGCGAATCGATATTCTGATCGGAATAGAAGAACTTTCGTCGCAACAACACCGTCTCGGACTCATCAATGCCCTGCTCGCGCAGCGTCTTGCCCACTTCCACCCAATTGATCTCATCGTCCGTCTTCAGCTTCTTCCTCAGGCTCTCCATCTTCGCGTCGCGATCCTTCTCCGCCACCTTCCGACGCAGTGTCAATGTACTGAACTTGTTGTCGGGCAAATTCTCATTCTGCTTCTCATTCTCCTCACGCACCAAGCCGTACTCCTCGTGATTTGTAATGCCAATCTTTGTGCAAATCACCACCATCAGTTGTGACACTGGATGAGAGTCATCCACCAGGATTGTCTTCACCGCTCCGTCCAGCATTCGCACGCGCAGCGTCCGCAATTTGCGCCGATACTCGAGCACATCGTGATTGTGGAGGAAATAGTGGCCCAAGTGGCGGCCAGACTCCAGCCACACGCCCTGACGATTGTCCTCATCGGCCAAGAACAGGCCATACTCTTGAGCTGTGCATACAACATATCCCAGCAGTCAGGAGATTTTCTCAAGACAAATTGCGCATTTTTTCATATTATACTCACGTTGTCCCTGAACAGCTTCAGCAAATTTATCCCGAATAATCTTACATGCATCAAATACTGTTGTACTCGGATCAAATTGGATTGTCTTCGTGACACGTCCACCCTCTAAACTGATCCTCAGCGATAGCGTGGCCATTGTGAACTGAAACAGAAGGAGAGAAACACTTTAGCAGTCAATTTCTTTGAGAAAAAAAAAATCACCGCCGAAGAAAGCGAATTTCCATGGCGAACAATTCAATATTTCTTTGCCTTTCTGCAAAGCTACACATGTATATATACACACTAGCTCTCTAGCTATACACAATGTGTCATTTCCTCCTGAGAGAGTGGCTTATGTCCACAGCGGATTATTGAATTCATCCCCCGTTCGTCGAATTCCCCACACATAAGGGATATAGAATTACGAAAATTACATAAACACACTCAAGATTGATTAAATAAAGAATATATTCCACACTCACAGTAGGTATTTTCCTCCCTAATGTGATTTAATGGACTCATCCTCGATTGACTGACGACGAAATTCAAGACAATAATTACCTTATAAGACAGTTGAAGGCATGACAAAGAAAATATGATTTTTACCGGGAAGATTTCCCCATCGCATTCCAGAAAAAAGTAGACAACAAGCAATATCAAGAAGACTTGAAATAGGCGACGTTCAGTGTTATCATGTTGACAAGGGAATCATGACAGTACAATGAAAAGAATTGCAAAAAATCAATACAAGAGCGTTGGCATTTAAAGGACAGAAATGTAAAGGAAGAAAAAAAGGACAAACGGGAATAAAAGAGGTCACTTGATAAATGAATGATGTATATATTTATGTGTGTTTCACAAAAGTTCTTCTTAACTCCCCATCCAAGAATCCCGTTCATTCTATTTCGGTCTCTAAATTGTTTGTATCACTGCAATTTACTTGTTTGCAACTTTTATCCTTTTCAGGATTTCCCATTGTCTGTTTCCCTCGTCAAAGACAATCCAACAGGAATTCCTGTAATGTTTTTTGCCTCCATATGTACAATGTAATGTGCATTCATTGCCATTCACCCACAACTTTCATGCATAAATACGCTCTTTACTCTTCAAGTGCTCTTTATAAACACATAATTGATTATAATGTGATTTTTATATCAATTTTACTCGAGAGGAAAATGAATACTTCAACTGTAACTCTTTTATATACTCAAATTTTGATGATTTTTGTCAGCACTTGAAGGCTTTTGTAAAATTTGAATCTGAAATAATTGCCACGAGAGGCTCTAATACGTACAATATGATTTTATAACATCATTTGTGTTGATTTTGGCAACATATTTTTACCTATTTCTCACGAAAAAGTATTCAATTTCACATCAGTTCCATAATAGGCTTGACCGGAAAAATCCTGGCCTTCATAAGCCAGTCAAAGCAGATGTTTATCAATCCCAAGAATTATTTTACACAATATGAATATAGAGAAACAAATCGATCTCACCGTACATTCTTTTATCGTATCATATTTGTGTCCCTTAACATAGTCAAGAGCCCTTGAAAATGCTCAACGGAGAAAAGTAATGGGGATTGAATGAGAAAATCTTGCACTTGACTACAATATTGCACATGGAGAGAAAATACAAATCGGAAAAGTTGGGTGGAAAGTATTTGAAAAGTCGTTGACTTCATGCCTCAATATTCTTAGATTCTCTTGCCAGCAGCCATTCTTCCCTATCTCACAGGAATATCTTTTCTCACTTTCCAATTCCCTATCTTCACCTCTCTTTCTGCGCCTTCAACACACTTTTCCCCCCTTCGTCTCGCCCTTTAAATTTCACGCATCATAATGCGCTCCAGAATAGAACAAGAGAATATATTGTAATGTTTTTTAACCTGGTTCTGCTGAGTCTTCTCGAATTCCTCAAAATACAAATACGGAAAGCATTCTTCGCATGGACAAAATATCTTCACCAAATTGTTGTAGAATGAATCGCGATCCATTTTATTTCTTTTTTTCTACTCTTTCGACCACCAATTCATCGTCAATTGCGCGACACAATCATTCAACGAAAGACGTGCTCTCTTGTACAAAAAAAAGCGGTGGAAGGAAATTACATGGAAATTAAATCAGTTTCATCACTACTTAGTCTATTTTCGAACGCTCACACACACAATGTTTATCACCCGCCGAGGAGGCAGAGACAACTGGAGACAGTGAAAAGTTGTTTGATGTCAGATACTCTCCAGTACCTTGATGAAAATACCTCCAGTGAAAAGGAGAGAAAGAGGGAATGCCGGGGAATTTTCTCTCTATTTTCCACACACACACGCAAGCACACAGAGTCGTTGCTATCGTTTTCCTCTCGGCAGTGGCGTCGGGATTGGGAGTAAAAAAAAGAGCCCCATTCTTGACTTTCAAGCGCATGACACGACAGGGCGAGAGACAAGGGATTTCATTCCCATATCTTCTCGCCTTTCCCACCCAACTCGCGCGGCACTTTTCTCGCTCCTTCGTGTGCTTTTCCTCATTTTTTTTTTGACAAATTCATGCTGGAGGAAACCTTCAATGTTATATATGGAGAAAAGAAAGACCTCATATTAAGCTTTAAAAGGGCGTTTGAGCTTCACCATTGTGAGTGTGAAGCACCATGGAAATGAAGAAAAAGCACAAGAGTAGAGCATTTCATTGATCCTTGCAACTTGAGACTCTTGGCATCTCATAAAATATATATATATACACACACATATTACAAAGAAACATAAAAATTTTTCCTCAACCTTAAACATTATTGAGTGTGAAAAATTTAATTAAACAGCAAATTGCAATTGAAATTCAGTCAAAATTCCACACAAGAAAGACAAGCAATTCATGTTTAAATTACATGGGGAAACTTATTAGAAGTCTGTAGAAAGTTTCTCTATACAACTGGAAATTGATTAACATCCACAGCGTTTCTGTTGCGATAAAGTTTCTTTGCCAAAGCCAAATAACATGAACGACAATTCATTTATCACTCCACCTTTCACACCCTCATTTAAGAAAAAAAGAAACAAGGTATTTTGCACTGAGTGTGTAAAAAGCACGCAAATCAATGGAAGTTGAATTGCAGTGGATTTCCGAGCTCAGAGCTCTTGGTAAATTTTGACAGGCTATATGGATTTGATGGTGGGAAAAATAAATATCAGCCACTTTTGGACATTTTTAGGCGAAATGTTGCCGTGAAGCACCAATAAATTTCCGTGGAAAGGTAAATTTTGCTACAGAACTCCACAGAGTGCGCCTGAAAGTGCTACAATAGTGCTTCTGCAGACTCAAATATCGGTTAAAGTGGTTTCTGGATGATGTTGATATTGCTGCTGGAGAGCAATTGGCGGTGTTTCCCATATGTCCGCACTGACCAAATGTTCAAGTCCAGCCAACTCAACTCCATGGCAAGTGTGTTGAGTGCAAAAGCAACATTTTATGCCAACATAGTTTTCTATATAAACTTCTCGCTTCTCAATCTGACGCGGAATATTAGCGTCAGATGTTTACAGATTAAGAAAGAAAAGGAAGAGGAAAAAAAAACTTACCAATGCAAGTGAAATTTATCAGAAAATTCATTTTGAATCTGCAGAAATTTCTCTCTTTCATCGCTCTCGTCTCTCTCTCGCTCTCTTTCTCTTTTTCTGGGATTTTCAATTCAAATATAAGGGAAGCTTATGAATCACTTCAGAAGCAGTTAACTAACGTTTATCACTTTTATAGCCACACTTCAGTTACCAAAGCCACGACTGTCACAAATCTCACCCTCCCGTTTGCGATGGAGCTCCGCAAGTTTGCTCTGGATGGGACAATTTGGGAAGGAAAGATGAGGCAAAACTTTATTCTTGTTCTCCAATATAGGACTACTACTTAGGAAATATAGAGAGATTTTTATCAATTTTCTTCTCTGACTTCGCCCAAACTTTTTATTCCCTCTTTCTCTATACTTACTCTACATTTCAATCGAATTGAGAGTGAAAAAACTCAAAGTTCAACATCAAATACGCTGAATTACAAACACCCTTTAGAATAACTTTCTTTCCAAATCTAATATCTTTGGTATTTAATCAAAAATTTGTTCAAAATACTGTCTATACTTAGAGGCAATTTTGGTGATTCAATAAGACAAAGACGAATTCAAGGCAAATTCGGTACTAAAGCACTTTCATATATATATATACTTCTTTTAACAATTATTTAGGCACAGAAAACACGTTTTTAAATCTATCAAATTGGAAAATGACCGAAAAAGTGTAACTCTATATATTTAATTATTATTGCGGATTCTGAGTGACTTTTGGGCACAAGATGGTATTTGGAAGTGAAGAGGAAATTCACGGAGAGTTAAAGGAGTGTCCTTTCGGGACAACGGTTAGGCCTAGAATGACAATAAGTATGGGATGCTGTACCGCCAGAAGGGTCACACAAGCTCCGCTCTCAAACACGAAACACCCCACAACTAACCACACGCAAGTACAACAGTTCTTTCCATCGCTCGCCCCTCTTCGCCCAAAAACATTAACCATCATGTGGAACACTATAACCACCCCACCATTGAGATATGACTGCAGTGTTCTTTTCACCCCTACAGCATCCATACGGCCGTCCTCGTCGCCCGCACGGCGCCGCTGCTGCCGAGCGAGAAAGAGACGCGCGCCCAGGATTCTCAGCGGGATAAGTTTTAGAAACCGAAAATAGCAGCGACACAGCATAGTATAGATATCACCAGGAACATCGAATCCCTCTTTCTGCCCTGCTAATTCAACATGAAATGCACATTTTCGAGAAACAAACACTGCATTAAATGGTCTCTAAGGAGGCATTTTCTCAAAAATGCTCAAAAATCCTCCCTGAGGACGGTTAATTATCGGAACATCACTCACGCGCACAAGTCATGCGCATCACACGGTCACTTCTTTTTTTTCCTATTATTATTTGCTCACGAGAGAACTTCAATACTATTTGAGAAATAGTTTTTTATTTATTCCCCCTCTTCCTTAACTCAACAAAACTTTCCCTCCAAACAAAAAAAAACATAAACGAACAAAGTGTGAGAAGAAAGGAAATATCTTGTGATAATTGTTAATGTAAATTGAATCAATTCAATAAGTGTTTAATGAGAGAATTAGAATAGATATTCAGTGTGATATGACGCTTTATTTGCAGCTTTTATTCCACCAATTTAAAGAAAATCAAACTCCACGATAAGATTCCCCTATTCTTTTTTATCTTTACATATATTTGCAGTACAACTGCTATGTTTGTGTGGCGATGGAGAGAAGAAGCACAGTGTCGCGACATCGAGGCGCCGCATGGAAAAGCGCCAAGACAAGAAAATACTATGACGACATTATAGTCAATGTACAGAGACATTTCACTCCTTTTTCCCATCCCCCCATCGCCAAAATGTATTTCTTTAAGAAAGAAAGAATTACAATCAAGATCAACTTACCTTCCTTCACTGGGGAAATCCTGGGCGTTGATAAAAATTTTGCAGCAATTTTCACACCAATCCAAGTTACAGATTTTTCACAAGTCAACAAGATGGACAATCATAAAAAGTACTGCAAAGAGAGTGAGAGAGAAAAACAAGAATATTCAATAAATTATAAAACCAAGCACTGAGGATGAGATTTTAGACAAACATCCACCAATATTGGTTGTAGTAGCGAAACGACGAAAAAATAATTTATGTGTATTTATACAGAGGCAAAAAAAGAACAACAACTTAATTGCCCACTAAAAACACCCACAAGGGGGATGAGAGAGAGAAGATCTTCCATCAAACTTCCGTCCCACCCTATCAAGCTAACGCACAAGAGTGCGATTGGGGAGGCTGCGAGGGGACAAAAAGAGTGTGGAATGAAAAGAAAATTGTGTGTATCCGCCAATTTTTTCCACACACAACACAGTCGATATATCGCTTAAAGTGAGAGATATAAAACCTCGTGCCACAAGAGATTCATCCCCAAAGCGCCACGATCTCGGCTCAGAGATAAAAGAACACCCCCGCACACACGCCGCTTCAATAGTAGCAAATCACGCAAACTATAGAGAAATAAATATTAGTTGTATGAAGGAAAATTTTTATACATCCCATTATTTACTCGCTCTTTTTTCCCTCTCCCCACAGAATATGTCACTCTTTTTTTCTTTTTGCTCTCCGCCACACACAACAGGGAAAAGTTCTCTCCTCTATCTTTTCCTCCCGCGTGGAGGGTGAATATACATAAAAGCTCCGCGCTGTATATCTATTGCCAACCAACGTTATATCTCTCCTTCTTCCCATACAAATACAATTGGAAAAAGTCGAATAGCTAAATGGCTGGATGCTGGAGCCGATGATTGGCGCCCGCCAGTCGGACTTTCAGAGCTACAACGTCACACATTCACCACCATCATCCCTCCGGGGCGTCCTCCAGTCTCATAGCAGCTGGCGGCAGAAAGCCGAGAAGCTCAGCAGCATTTCACCCACTCACCATCTTCTCTCTCTCGCTCGCCCCCTTCCCGGCCGCCCAAACACTCTCCACGCCATTCTTTCCTTGAGTATTTACCAACTATTCCACGTTAAATATTGCCAAACAGTTTGTACAACCCCTTAACAACGGCAAAAGCTCAGCTTCCTGTGAAATGGACATGTTCAGTTGTATGTAGCCAGCAAAATGCTAATATATAGAGGTTAAGGCTTCAAAGGACGCAATTAGAGAGTCTTATTCAATTTCACAGAGCATAGCAGACAATTCTGTGCTTGTTTAACTGTAGAAAAATGGTTACAAATCTTCTGAACATGCGAAGTTTGCCAGATAATCGGTAGATTGCTAAATAAATATCAATCAGAATTAAAATATTCTGTAAACACTGGAAACATTTCACATTTATCTAGCCAAAAATAAGAATGTGAACAAGAAACAAAACTGTCAGACCATCAGTTCAATGAATTCACGAATTCTTAAGAACCCAACGCTATTGACGAAGAGTTCATAACACTGCGAATACAATATGCAATTCACACTTCAACACTATTCTAAAATGCTCAAATATCCAACAAAAACTACTCCCATTTCCATTCTATTTGAAATCAATTATAAATTACACCAGAAAGTTCAATAAATAGTTAATGAATTTTCCTGTCTGCAAGTCTATATTTAAATTTCCCCCTTATTTTGCCAAAGTGCAAAGACTTGAGGCGACTTGATGAAATACAGATTGCAACATTCCCATAAATGCATCTCCAAGAAAAATATACACAAATATTGAGTAAATATGTAAATAAGGATATATTTTCGTATTTTCAGTTTGTATTTCGCCACTCCCTAAATCAATTGCCGCAAAGTTTATTCTTCCCAGAAAGAAAGAAAGAAAGAAAGAAAAAAAACCTAAATATCACCAATATTCAGATGTATTTTTTCGCAAATGCTCTCTAATGAAACATGTTCCAAGGTTTGGGTTTGATGTTGTTCTCTCTCTAGATCTAGAGGGTATAAAAGAGAGTGGGTGTAGCCGAGAAACGCACGCATTTCTCCCCTCACGGCGTTTCCTAAGTAAAAAACGTCACAGTGGGTGTCAAAAGACAAAATTAAATTTGGCAGGAGGTAGACTATAATGATGTAATTGCAGGACAATCCTCTTTATCAATTACAGGGAAGAGGAATGAGCCTAATGAATCACTTATCTTCTCCCTCCTCATTTTGTCCATTGAAAATTTCACTGTACATTTTCTCGAAAGAGCCGCAAGGCGAGTAAACAATGTTGTTATATGTGCTATTGAACGCAATCAAATATAAATCTCTCACTAATTGTCACTCCATTTGTCTGAATTTATTTGCATGCAGAGATCTCAATCTTAATTTCTTCACAGTGATTCAGGCGAAATTTTGTCCAAAGGTGAGGGTGATGAAAAAAGAGGGATAAAACAAGCACAAAAGGCGTGTGATTGGCTAAAGAATGAATTGATAATTTAATCAAATTAAATCCATACTGAAGTGAAGTGATTAATCTTCCTTAAATCAACACACAATGGGAAAAGCATGATGCATTTTCCACACTCAAAACTTCTCCACACACAAGTACACATCAAAAATTGGCCTACGAAGAGGCAGAAAAAGTGTGTGTCTTGCACAACATGAGTTGTTTGGGAAAATAGGCCAAAAATAAATTTCCTAATTTTATATTTCACGCACAAAAATAAAAAAGAACAGCTAAAAACTGTCTTCCTGTGCCTAAAAAAATTCGTCACTTTGCGCGATTGTTCCAATTGTGTTTCGCTGATAAACTTTCTCGTCAGGATTCATCAATGGATTGCATGAAAAAGCTAAGAATTGATATAAAATTGTACTTTTCAGTGACTTTATAAATGTATCATGAGGATTATGTGGTTAAAGATGAAAGCTTACAAGTGGTTTTGATTAATATTATGAAATTATAGTCTTGTCTCATTTAGTTCTATTTTTAAATGGCTGGCAAACCTATTTATTAGGTCGCAACTCACGGCAGAATATAAACTTTTTCACTATACAAAACTTTTCTCTTTATCTCCCAAAGAGACGCGCGACATGTTTTTGCCAATCTCACAATTTTATTTGATCATCCCAAGCTTGACTCATCGCCTCAAGTCTTTCCTCGCTTCCGGCCAGAGGTCAACCACACACACTTTTCGTACAATGCTAGACAGTAAAAAATCAAAAACCATCATTACATTTATTGAGTTTGTCATAATTTTTATGAGATCATTCGCCCTATCGATATTCATCACTAAAATATTCCGTACAAATAGTCAATGAATTGTATGTATTTGACTTCCTCAACAAAATTGCATGTAAATAAGAATTGAGAGAGAAGAGAAATTTGTGTGATAAATGCAATTTATTGTTCACTTTGTGAACTGTCGTCTGTTTTGAAGCATTCGTGATGGAAAAGTGTGGAAAAAGTAAACGCGCGCGCGGTATATGTCACACATTTATCCACATCAATGGTCTGATTATGTAAAGCACGAAGAAATGCCACACTCTCCACAGCATTCAATGTCTCGTGATGCAAAAGTGCCAGAGCACAAATTCCTCCTCCTCTCTTTATGGGGAAATGGATCAAACTCCAACTGTTTTCAGTAACACACTGCATTTTTTCTGCTGATTCAATCAAGTGCAAATATACGCTTAAGAATTTCCGTTCGAAACAGTTAATGTGATTGTTTATACACACACTGACACACACACATGAGGAGAAACACACATAAACTTCCCAGGCATTCGATCGCCTCATGGAATGTCTCCAAGGCATAAAAACTAGCTTATTAAACTTGCAAAATGATATTTGATAAGTCAATTTTACGTCTAAACCAATGAAAACTTGAGAAAATCATCAATGTCAAACACCGAAATCCCTGATAAAGCGCATTAATGATAAGGAAAAGAAGATAGCATTGATAAATATTGCCTTTAACTCTCACGATGCTCGAGTGATATCTCACAAAGTCATCGTACGAATGCTCACTTTGGCTCTTTCGTAGCTTCTTCTCAATCAATTAATGGACATTTCACAATACTTCATCAAATCAAAGTGACAAAATATCAAAATCTGTCCTAATTGACTCTTCTTTTTCATTTTTTTTTTCTTCTTCATACGAAATCCGAGAAAAGTTGGATTGTGTGGAAATTTCGGGTAAATTTTCAATTTGGCATCGATTCAATGAGACATAGAAAGAGATGAAAGAGCAAAAAGCCATAAGAATGAGACGAAAAGTGAGTTGAAAATCATAAACAGCCAAATGACTTATACACGTCTATCAAATCAGCATTTTCGTGAGTGCGAAAGAGAGGTTAAATGAAAATCTCTGACGATGGACATTATAATATTATTACACACATCATCATCTCGCTTCTCTACATCTTCACATCTTCTCTTCGTCTTTTGAAATAAACACATCCTTGCCAGAGATGAAAAAATAGAATAAAAAGTCAAGGGATAAAAATAAAAGTCACATTAGATATTCATATACGCAAACAGTGAATTTTCATCATTATATCTTTTATCTGAGGGCTGAGTCTTGAAATTCGTCAAAATCAGAATCAGTGGAAATTGACTGATTTTGAGAAATTTGCGAGTCTTGAGTAAAAATCAGTCAGAAACCGAGTCAAAATTGGCTTAAAATCAATCAACTCGTGTTGACATGAGAACATCGAGTCAACACGATTGCTCAATGTCTCAATTTTAAGATTTTACTTCAATTAGAGTATCAAATGGCCATCGATGGCATCAGAAATGGATAATAGAATAATTATTCTAATTGTTTTTAATTTTGTATTGATAATTTTCCTTATTATTGCTGAGATATAAGCATCTCTTTTCTTGCGCTCGCGTAAGAGGCTCAGAGACGAAAAATAATTTCTTTCCATGTGCGCTGAGTCCCTGAGAGTCCCTCTTTGCAGTGTCGAGGCAACGATAATCCAAATTTTATTATGTCATACATAATCCTTGCCATAAACATTTTCAGTTTTGAAGGTATCTTTAATTGAATGGACTTCCCAAATTCTTCGTCCTTTGCTTAGTGCTTAAGTCTCATGAATTATGAATCAATGAACTGAACATGTGGACAGATAGTACAAATCCAAGTGTAATCACAAGATGAACAATTGGTTCGACAAAAAAATTGATGGAGAAATTTTAGCAAAGGGGAAGAAATTGATCCCCATCTCGTGGGGCACCTCAAGATCACTCGCAGAAGTCTCATTCTGCTCCTGGGACTTCTCGTATAACCGCAGGAGAACATCTGTACGTAAATAATACACATTATTCACATATTTGTCGCCTGAGGGTTAATTTTTGGCCTAAGTTTGAGGAGCATTTTTATCATTTTCTGCCTCAAACACCTCAACTTGGCTCAAATCAAAACAACAAAATGACGTTTCTGCCTGCGTTCCGAAAGCATTTCCCCTCCCGAAAAATTCCGAAGACTGATTTTGACTCAAGACTCACAAAACTTACAAAATTGTGATCATGTCAACAAGTTAAAAATCGATGAGGTTCTGTTGATTCTGATTTTGACCATTTTCAAGACTCAGCCCTCTGTATTATATTTAACATACACAGACGCTCATTTGCCATTTGCACTCGCATTTTCCAAGATAAAAGACCACATAGTAAAACTGGCCATGAATAGGAAATTCACACATTTGTATTTATATGTTATGAAATTTTCCGAATGCACAATACTTAAAATAGATATGCTTGACATTGTACTAAATTTGAGAATCATCATTTATCACAGATATTCATTAGGAGGGAATCAACTTTTCCCATTTTTCATTCAACTCTCTTGGCTGAACCTTAAAATAAAGTCAGCGCATGAACAAGAAAAAAAAAACCGGATAAAACTCAATGTAAATCTATGACAGAATTGAGGAAAAAACTTTGAAGATTTACCAGTATTTTTTCTCTTTGCATCAACATCTGAATTACGCACAGAGATGCTTTAACTTCCTCGGTAAAATGTGCTGTTCACAATCATCAATTCCGTTTTGCACTAGATTTACAAATTACTCATTCATGAGTAAATCACAATTCTATGTTTAGTTTTATCTCAAAAACACTCACTTCTACGAATTATAACAACTTTTCCTCCCCCTCTTCCTTACTCAATCACCTCCTTAAATCAATCACGAGGCATTGCAGGAAAATCTAACTTAATGACAGAATAAAAAATCAATAAGTTTTCACAATTTTCCCACTCAACATTTTCACCTCACTAACACAACAGCAATCATGGTAATTTTACCACCCTGTATATTCTCTGGTCCTTTCCAGGGAAAAATAGCCCCTCTTTCACATGCATTTCCCAGTGGAAAATCGCTGTGTCAACAATCCAGAAAAAAGGTCTCTCTATGCATGAGTTGAATAAAAAACAGGGAAAAACATCCTCTCGGGAAAATTCGAGTGGGGTGACGAAAAGAGAGGCAAAGAGAGAGAGAGAGACTTTTCCAGGATAGAATCACAAAGCCGGCTTTTCCAGTGAGCAATACGCTCTCTCTCTCTCTCGATTTCCACATAAAGAGAATAGTCAAAGCGCTTTTCTCTCCTTTCTTCCTCTTTGTCGATAATAATTGAAAACAATTTCCGCACTAATTGTCTCTGGTTTTCACGGGAAAAAAATGCGTGACAAACTTTCAACTTGGCTAATCAATAGAAAAGTCTGTCGATCAACTCGAACATACTCAAAATTTGATCATGGTTTTATCTACAATCTAAACGGAGAATCACTAGAAAAAAAACTACTTTTAAATGCACAACACGACTCTCAATTGAGTGCACAAGAGGTGTTCACCTAGTAAGTGAAACAGGTGAAAAATTGGGAACCCGCGCGCGACTGCTGTAAAATGTTCCAATTGTGCGAAAAGTATAAAATGGATTAACGAGAAACGAACGCCACTCACAAGTGACAGACACTGAACTAGAGGAAAAACTTTGAGTCACACACGAGCACTGTGTGTGACCCCAAACGCGAAGGCACATCAAGAAAAATCGATTTGCACCGCATCCGGCCGTCCATGTGTCCCTCTCTTCCTCTGGCCAGCACCGCGACGCCTCACTCCGCCACTGCCGTACGCCTGAGTCACTTCTTGGGAAAATACTTCGCTTTGATTACGTTCTGGGAAGGAATGATTGTACAATTCGCTGCCGGAATGATAAGAGACGATGAAATGCTTCAAAGCACTGACATTAGAAGTGGTTTAACAATTATCAACTGCTTGTTAAGTGTCTCAATGGCGTTTTACACAAATATATTCTTTGCAAAAGAACTATAGTAAAAATAGCATAGAATGACATCATATCTTATAAGATATAATGAATTCTACTTAAAATATGCTTTGTTTCCTGCTAGAATCATCATCTTAGATTGTCAAGAATACAGGCAATAAAGAAGACTTCATGAAACGATAACATTGAAGACATCTCAGTCATCTTGGCGGTGACAAAAAATAGTCTGTAGTTTATTAAACTTGCGACATTTCTGCGATAAAGTGAGTGGTTAAGAAAGTGCATTACAAATCGACAATTCTCTGTATTCATCTGTCTTATCAACAGTCCAACAAAAAGCCCCAAATTGGGACTCATTTCCAGACGAACTCTGACACGGTTTTCCCCATCGTACTGAACATTCGACAAGTGCTGAGGCAAGCGACCGCTCTCCTACCCTTCATTCACGGCCCCAGAACAGCTCTGCTGGCAATCGTGCCTCATCCGATCTGCCCAGTCCACTCGGAAATTCATCTCAGTGTCTGAGGCGAGCGCGAGTTCGCGTTTTTAACCATGTGTTTTGATTACATCCCACCTTCCTCCTCGCCATCAGCCCAGAACTCTGCCACCGAGCAAAAAACGCCGTCTCCGTGAGACGTGCTTAAAATATCTCGATGATTTCACATGCAAATAGTGAGTCTGTGCCGCGACTCCCGATGCTGCTGTGCGTCTCTTGGCCGAGGACTCCTCCAGGAGCTGCCACTGGCACTGCGGTCTGGAGAGCGTGAGCGACACGAGTGCGAAATATCAATGGAATTGCCGATGTGGGTGGCAAGTTTGCCACCCACTCGCGGCCAGTGCTGCGGCAGAATGCGCTCTGCCTCAGCTTCCCATCGGCTGCCAAGGGAGTTCCCGTGGGCGAGACGCAGCAGCGAAATAATCGATAGTGAAGAAGATTCACCCGCGCGCCCAGAATCCGTCCACGGAGCGCCCAAGAAGAGCCCCAGCGCCAGCGAAGTTACATAATAATAATCTGCACGGCGGCCCCGCTGAAGAGGCGCGCCGTGGTGGGGAGAGTACATTAATTAAATTCTTCTTCTCGCGCGATGCGGAATGGGAAAAATTATCGATTTTGAGGCCACGACTGCCAAAAAAGGTTACACTGTGAATTGTTTGACATTTCCTCTGCAAAATTGCATTTTCCGCCGTCCACAAACTGCCCGCTATGCCCAAGACCCACTCCATATCGCAGTCCGGTGTGGCCACAGTGATCTCATCGTACTTCCTGAACGGCCAGAGATAGTGGACAGTGTGAGGAAAAGTCGGAGAAAAGAGGAGAAAAATAGGGTGGAAGAGACAAATGGCGGATGTTGTAGGCGACGAACATCTGAGAGAAAAATGCCCACTATTGCCACTTTTCCGGCCACCAGACGCACCAATTACACCTGCAACACTTGCTGGATCAACTTAACTGGGTCTACTTACCATTTATAATACTATTTGATGGGATTTTCGGGGATAAACACAAGAAAAATATCAACACTGACACTTCACGCCCCTTTTCTTCACTCTCCCACTTCACACTGAAAAACAATCGCAGCGCTCGCGTCTGCAAGAGGCTCTCTCGCAGTCCAACCTTCACGGCGACGATGCGCCAGCATCGGCCGCTAGTCGAACTGATTTCCCGGGATTTGAATTCGCGAGAAATGATGTGAAAAATCGGAAAAATCGCAAAATGCAGCAATGATCAGAGAAATGAGAATGAAAGCAATTGACTGAATTCTTGGTCTCATTAATAACTTGGTATTTAAATCACGACAACGTTCTAATTATATTAAATCGCTTGATTTATTATGAGATACAACAAGAACGAGAAGAGCACTAATTAAGTTCATTTACATTTACTTCCTAATCTATCCAATATTTTCAGAGCTAAAAACTATGGAAATTAGTTTAATAATAAAGAACAAAATGCAAGAAATATTCAATTTGTGCTCCGATTCCATTTGCACTTATTAAAAATGCAAACACAATATTATGAGATTGTTTGACAAAGTTTTATTAATTCTTGATTATTTTATTTAATAAATTGATATCTGCCGGAAAGGCCAAAATGCTTCCATTAAATTAGCTTTTCTTTGTCTTACACAATTTTTAAACCATTTTTTTCAGAATCTTCAACAAGTTTCTGAGCCTCTTTTGGATTGGTTCGATGCAGAATTTCAGGGTAAATTCGTGAGGGACTTTAAACATTAAAAGACTGACTTTGGGAAGATAAATTACTGGTTATCTGATGATTTTTCTTCCACTGCCACCCTTCCGGCTGAGCCGTCGTCGTGGAATTAGGGTAAAGTCCCAAATTTATTCATGTTTCCTCAATATCTGCAGTGACTTGCGGAATTGGCTGCAAAATGAAATAAATTGATACTTGGGCGCTCGATTGGCCGGAAGTTGGAAAGCCGATATAGAAAATCGCCATGTGATTTCAAGTGCATTTGCAAAGAGACTTTTTCTGCACGGCCACTCAAACTGCGCCGCCCAAAAGCGAGGGTGGAAAACAAACAGAGCAATAAATAACAATAAATTCCTTCCACTTCCGACATTCAACTCATGAGGAATATCGCACAGAAGATGTGTGCGTCTGGCGAGGGTGGAAATCTTTGCGAAGCAGGAGAAATCAAAATGCTTGGAGAATAATTTTTTATCTCCTCGGTGACAGATTCACTGATGCATTGTGCGGAAATTGAGACACAACGGACTTCCATTCTCCCATCCTTCGACACGACTCACTGCCTCTATCGTCGCCCACGATCGCCCAGAGTTCTCCACCAATTTGTAGCTTTGTCATCGTTTCTCCTCGCGAACTACACAACTACAATAATATTTAGGGGATGCGAGAGGAGGAAAAAATATTGTATGGGCCGAAGGACATAAAAAGGGGAAGATATTCTTGTTGTTGCTCTCCAACCACACTATCATCAATTCCGTCGAGCAATTCATTACACAAATTTCCATTTGCCTCCCTCCGTGCGCCCGCGCCTCCCCCAGCTTGCGCCCTCGCTTGTGGGTGGGCCAGAAAAATTATAAAATAACTTGTATCGAGATGATTCACTCGATAGTGCGGCGAAGATTTATCTCTGCGAGGGTGACAAATGGGCGAAATTGCGGAGATGTTCGCTGACAAAAACAACACTCCGACGGACAAAAGATTTTAATCTCCCTTGACACTGCACTTAAGGTCCATCAGGGCCAAGTCGCTGTTTTTGCTCAGCCAAGTTTGCCAATAGTATCAGAAGTTATGGAATTTCTGAGTCATTTTCTCACACTGAAGCCAAAGTCATGTTAGGAACTCCTCAGAAGGAGTTCCTTAGAGCCACAAAGGATAGAAAAGTAATGCAATTACTTCGAGCAAGTTGGTAACCAAGGATTTATTTTATTAGATTAAAGTAATAGAAAAGTGATGAATACCAAGAGTTATTACTAAAAGTTAATATTGATTAAATCTTAATTCAGGTTTTCATGTTAAGAATGAGATTAGCAACAAAAATTTCAATATGACTTAATATTCCTACTCCAATTCATATTTTTCATATTTGCGATTAAACAAGCTGAGCAAGTAGAAATTCTTATTAATTTCAGCCCTTCTTTGAACGCTTTAATGAAATACTGCAACTCAGTTTCGGAGATTAAAGTGAACGACTTCCAATCTCCAAAACGATCCGCTGAACGACGTTTAATGCTACATAACAAGGAGATAAAGTGATAAATAATATCAAAAAATTGAATCAGGACACACATGAATGAGTCTGAGATTTATTGCGACAGCAGCACAGTTCAATAAATCCTAATTTCTTGAGGCCCTTCGCACGAACTTCGTCCTGTTGGCTCTGAGGAGCGTCTGATTGTCAGTGTGTGGGTGAGGAAATACGGTGTGAAATGTGAATTAATTTGAAATTAGACAAATACAGACGTATTTACTGCCATTACGAGACTTGTGCGCCGTTTTAGCACTCTGCGAAATCCGCAACGAGAAGGGTAATGTACTTAATTCACTTTGCGATATTGGCGGCGACTTTGCTGAAAAACTTGTCAGTCATAAATTGCTCCCAAGTTGAATGCAATTTTCACATTCTCCCCGAGCACTTTTCGGGGGTGGAGGGCGTAATGTTCCACCCTCTCGCCAGACAAAAAACATCTCTCAAGAGATATAAATTTGAGCCATTACACATTGCTCGACGATAGGGATATGCAGGAGCATTACATTTGCAATTTTATTGTTGGGACAAATTCGGTGGGGACGAGAGATCATGTGATAACGAGGGTGGGAATAAATTAATAAAGAAATTCATTGCATGGAATTTATGGAGCTCACCAAATGTACTTCTGTCTGTCCAGCAATTCTGCACTTTCTGCATTTCAATGCCAATGCTGAGAAGCGTTTGGGGTTTATTTTGAAAATATTTTCGAAAAAGCAGTCATTTCCGCTGGAGAAATTCAGTTCATTCAGCCGAAAAGGGACATACAAAAAGCATTTTGTCACTGGAGGAGGGATTAAAAATGTTAAGCAATATGAAAAAGGGGGAATACTGAGTGCTATAAAAGGAAATAATAATAAAAAACTAAGAATATAGCAATGATAAATCATAAATTTCGACATGCTTCAACGAGTCATCCCAACATTTTTCACCCTCATCTTGGAATCTCACAATGTGAATAAATTTCCTCAATGGCATAACATCTCTGACTCGTATAAATATCCGCTTCCACCCTAAAATGTGTGATGATTTTCATGGAAATTTATTTATTCTCTCTACTTGTTTCAATCGTGCAGCCATAAAAGCACTTTCCCTCGCTTCTATTACCATCGCAAGACCCCTGAAAAAGAGTGAAAGAATCATGCGAATTATCCATAACAATCTCAAGTCAATTAATTTTACTCGGAACGATACAAATGGAGGAGAGATTAGCAGATTCACATGTACTCTCTTCTGTCAAGCATTACCATAGAGAGAAGAAGTATTTCCAGCCACAAGTTCTTTACTCTTTTCTCCTCTTCATTACTTTATTGCTTGTGCTTGAAAGTTTCATGAAATTTTCATATCATTCCAAAGGGTGTCTGAGCAAAAGGAAACTTACTGAAGTCACGCTCACTCATACGCTCCGCCCATTTGAATGTTTTTTCTTTGCTTTTCTGTTCTAAACCACAATTTTTCAAATTCAATTCAAACCAAGGATTCAATGTGAAAAAATCGTGAAGAGTTAAAAAATGTATAAACATACTTGTTAGGAGAATAAATGTTTATTTTAGCATAACATCCATAATATTATGAAAATAACGAGGAGTTTCAACTCACAAATTATCACATTTCACGTTGAATTTGTCGAAACTTCTACTAAAAATAAGAATGATGAATATACTAAAATGTCTGGAGATTAATCAATATAAAATCATTCAAATGAATTCCAATTTAATCCCTGAATATTCATGAATGTCTCTAGAATGGCTTTCTAATCCCTCAAAACGACAATCAGAGCGTGTTCTTAAGATTTCGCGAAACTTTCGCCACTTTTCCGGCGCGCACAATTGGTCTTCGGCAGTGTGACTTTGAGAAAGAGCAAATCCTTGCGGGTGAGGGCAAAGAAAACAGAATTATTGCAATGTAGTTTTTCATTCTTTCCTCCCGGGCAAATCCTCCTTCTTCCTTCCGGTGAATGAGAATCCACCCTCGTGGAAACATCCCGTCTCACCCCAGCGCGCGTCCACGGGCGCCGTGGAGTCTGAAAACTTTTTATTGTTCGCCATGGGTTATGGCGCTCTCTCCGCTCGCTGGTGGGCGCACTGATGGGCACACCAGAGGATCTTCGCGGATGGAGGGAAGGAAAAAAGAAGTTTTCTGCTCTGTATGCTGGCGAGAAGTGTGATAAAATCATGCTCAGATATCATGACAGCCATTTAAATATTTCTCGCGTTCCCTTAACATGTCATTGGCTACAATTATGGGTAGTTTTCTTTTTTCTTGCGTGTGATGCCAGCAAAAATGTGCTAATTGGCGCTTCTCGGGGATGAGCTTGAGATCCGGAACGTTGCGAGTGTGTGTGCAGAAGGAAGATATAATGTCAGTCAGCATAATAAAAGTTGGCGCCAAACCGCACAATAATCGCGCCATTGAGGAATATTATTCATCCCCACGAAATGAAAAGCTACAATAACAGTTTTGCCTTCATTTCCACATCTCAACTGCTTGCCATATGAATTTCATTGTCTTTTTAATTGTCCAACCACTCCCGAGTGCTCCACCCACGCGATGACGACTGACAATGCGGGGATTTCGAGGGATTTTCCCGCGCGCGCGACAACCGAGAGCAGATTCGTGTGAGGAGCCTCTTTTTGTTGGCTGACAATTAGCGAGGCTTCGCTTAACAAGAAGTGATGATAATAAAATTACTCGGGAATTCATAGGACTTCAGACAGTGACTAATAACTGGCAATAAAAGACAATAAAGCTGGAAGTTCAATAACAAGAAATAGGAAATGAGAGTGTTTCAATTTCAACTCTGGAGACAATTCTGCGGTCGGATTCTTCGTGAGCGAGTGGCAGACAAGTGTTAATGCTCTCAATGGCCGAGGGTGTATTGCTGGGGAGTGAAGTACATAAATGGGCCGTTAAAAAAGTCATTTTCATCCCTCTTGATAATTTTATTGGGACAGAATCTCTCTTTCCGACTGTCTCACTTAATTTTCCGTCCTATAAATTCCACTTCCCGAGGGTTGGACCGCTGATGACACCGTTCCAAAAGCCATCTCGCGTCTCTCGCAGCTGCGATTTCGCATTCCAGCCCTTCTTCTGCCAAGGCCGCGAAATTGTGTAACTAAGCCAGGAAGATCGTAAATTATGTTAACTGAATATCACGAAATCAGTGCAGATTTCTCAAACTCTACACTTTAGTAGGCGAAAATGTAACGCAATAATTTCATATAAATTTCTATTGCGGTTTATTAAAAAAATGCTAATTTCTTCACTGTTCTGCTGAATCCAATTATAATCTATTAATGAATTTTTCAAAACATATTTAGTTTAATTAAATATTCGTGCTACACTTCTGAGAAACACGAACAGAGTTGACTGAAGTTTATTCAAGAGTTTAATGAACAAGTAAATAAGAAAGCAAGTAACTTTAAACTTATGGAATTATTACCCAGAAGTTTATATACGAACAATTTAAGGATCTAATCTTGGATCTAATCTTAAAATAGAGTCTTCCACATTCCTAGTTGTCCCTCGAAATCCCATTTCCGCCTAAAGCGCGCAGAGCAAATGCCTATCAGATGTGCTCAACATTTTTTCCATATTCAAATTGCAGTGCAAATCACATTTTTGCGGGGAAATATATAATTCAGAAGAGGACAGGAGAGCTCAAATGTTTTCATTACAGTAAGTGGGGAGTTATGTACATTTCGTTTTGACCCCTAAATGCATCAACATGATTTCCTCCGCCCGCAAATCCGCTCGCTGCTCGATAGTTTTCCGTGGTGGCGTCGAATAATGGGTGGAATAAATTTGAATTATGACTCTGGCGTGGTGTGTCTTCACATATCAAGTGAATTATGACAAACCCCGAAAGTGGGGAGGAAACTGCCCGAGAATCTCTCCATGCGAGGATTTCTTTTCAATTTAATTAATGCACTTGTGAACTCGGCCGAAGATTGGTCAACTGAAAGTCATCCAATTAATCCCTCTCTTCGTTGTCCGGCAATTTGGCAAATTGGAATTTATGGACTTTAAACTGAAATTCTAAACTCTCTCCAAATAAATTAATATGTGGAACGCAATGTTTCACGAGTTTCTCCTTATCGGTCGCAAGAAGGCAAGAACCTTTCGCAATATTTTCCCAAAATATTTGGCGGCTCATAAATATTCCGATGACGAAGACGACATAATTCATTTTCTTATTTCTCTAGGCAAAAAAACAACAGTACTAGTTACATACTTAATACGTGCGCTCATGGAGGAAGTTCACTCTGATTAGCGGCCAATTAATAATGCGTTATCAATGGAAATTGTGGCAAATTTTTCACCGCGTATAAAAAGCCAGAGCGATTTGCAGAGCGCGTCCAAAGCCATGGCTTCGGCTGTAAAGCTAGTTTGTGCCCTCGTGCTGGTCGCCTCGGTGTCCTGCAGACATTACGGTAAGTTGCCAATTTGCCCCTGAGCTGCGCGCCTTGCTAACGCATCTCATTTCTTGGGAAGACGCCCAGGGAAATGCCGTGAGGAAGATGCACAAGGATGACTACGACGACGAGTCTTACGATGAATCCGAGTGGGATTCTACGAGCGACGACAGATCGGATTTCCACATGTTCAATGATGAGTACGATGACGAGTATGACGACGAGTACGACGATGATTACCATCACGGCCACGGGCACGGGCACGACAGCTACGACGACGAGAGCTACTCTCACGAGTACGGCGGCGGCCACGGGGGAGGCGGTGGCGGGAATTACGGTGGCGGCGGAGGAAATTACGGCGGCGGTGGCCATGGAGACTACAGTCACGAGGATCACGGCGGTGGCGGCCATGGAGGCTACAGTCACGAGGATCACGGTGGCGGAGGCGGCGGACACTACTCGGAGGAGCACGGCGGCGGGGCTGAGTACCCGATCATCGGGCCGGACGACGACAAGCCGCCGCCAGGATGGGAGCAGTACGGCGGGGCCGAAGAAACCTTCCCCGTGGGCGTGCCGGACGGATTCGAGGAGATCCCCGACGGTGAGCCAGACGCTCCCTTCACGGACTTCGAACACATGACGTGATGGCGAACAATCGCGATACATCCATAGCGATTAAGGACACACGAGAGAAAGAGAGACGTTAGGAATTGACGAGCGCGCGGAGTGAGGAATTCATGAATAAATTTCTTGATTGTTGTATCAGCAATGTGAGTGATTTATTGAAATTATCTTCCTCGCTGATGTCTTGAGCGTCGCCACTTCGCAACTTCAGCTATTTGCGACTTGCGATGGATTTGAGCTTTTCTCCAAAGATAGAGAAGAGTGGGGTACTTTTGGACATCAAATACAAGAGATTTGAAGGATATTCATTCGCATTTTTTTAGCATCTGAATAGAAAAGTTAGTTGTGAAAGTAAGCAAAATTTTCAAACAGATTGAAATTAGGTTTTTTGGCAATGATTTTTTAAAAATAATGCTTTTCAAATGTTACATTCATAGAAAATAACACAAAACACAGAAAATATGATGCGTTTTACAGTGAAATTATATGATAAAATCAAACTTTTTAGCAGAAAACCTGAAAGCACTTAACTAAATTGTAAACAATTGGATCAAAATTATCATTAAAAATGCAATCAAGATTTACCTTTGGCGCTCCACGAAATGCCCTCCTTTCCCTTTTTGCCTCTTTTCCATTCGATCTCTATTTGCACAGCGAAACAAAGTGAGCCCGAGACTCTTCAGCAACTCCATCAAATTGACTTTTCCGCCTCACTCTCGCCAGTCAGGCAGAATGGAGCAAGAAAATAGCCGAAGAGCGTGAGAAGTCCATAAATTGGGCGGAGAAAAGTGACTTAGAAATCAAGATTCGGGAGAATTGTGAAAAACAAGAAAAATATCAGCGGCGAAAGACACTGCGACAGTTTCTCTGGAGCGAGTTTCCACCCAAAAAAATATTGAGTGGAGTTAGGTCTCGTCTGTGTGGCGGCAAGCTCCTCCATTGCCTGATTCTTGGCATCAAAGAGCGTCTCGTTGGCGCCCAATTTCGCAACGACAGCGATATCAAAATATGTGGGAAATTGTTCAAGAGAGGCCCACATTTCCATCCGCTTTCCGCCTTCCGCGCCGTGGCGAAAGCGTCCCAAGCAAACGCCATAAATCCTCAACACATTGAGAGCGCTCGAATTGGGGAAATCAAGGTTCTACAGTATATTTCATATATATCCTCTTCTGTCAACAGCATTTAAATGGCGCTAAAATCCTTCGTATTCTCACACTTGTAATTACATATAATAGAAAATTGAGTAATTAAAATGAATAACTTACAAATATTATCAATGTAGACGCAAAAACATCAAGTCCTGGGTCGTTCAACGTTTTCCTACAATGAAAAATTTCCCGTTTTAGCACGGAAAATCAGTGCTGATTTCGCGAAAAACTCACCTGATCATCATCTGATATCTCAACTATCGAGGAAATCGAGCCATTCGGGTCATTCTTGAGGGGAATTGTCAGCAACTGCGAAACATTGGAGGTCAACTCCCTCAGACAGCGCTGTTCATCCGCCTGGATTGGTGTTGACGCCACAGGAGAACGTCCAGCTTCTGCCTCAAAACTGCCCTGGCCATATATTTCCGACGAAGACTGTGACGCATTATCGCGAAAGGTGCGGAAACGCTTCAGAATCCTCTCATGAGGTGACGTTGCGGCCAAATTCCTGGGATAAGTGAAGTCTTTGCGCCCCGGAGTCTCGCCTGGAAGATGAAGAACGAGAGAAAGATTCACTCAACTGAATTAGAAGTGAAAAAAAAACTTCTTACCTGTCGATGAGTAGGTTTTCAAGTCAGATGTCTTCAGATTCTCCACATCTTCCTGCCACTTCTCGACTGTTGAGTTCACGAAAGTGTTCATCTCCTCTGCAGATTGCGCTGTGTCGCTGATGATTGCATTAACAGCAGTTTGCGAAGCCATAAGCTTCTCATATTCTCCGTCAACAGTGTTCAAAGCCACCTTAACCTGAGCCTGGAATATCTTCACAGACTCTTCACATTGTGCATCCAAGTTGACTCTCGTGCGAGCACTCTGCAGCTGCACTTCCTCCAAAATTTGCATTACATCATCTCTAACCGCGCTAAAGCTTCCGTCATTCTTCTCGCGCAACTTTTCCTGTATCTCCAAATGTTGTTTCGAGAATCTTTCCAATTGCGGCTCGATCTTTTCCCGCTCTACATCCATTGTCTGCACGCTTTCTACCACATTTGCTCGATAATCCGAAATGTGAGCGTGATTCTGGTCAATTTCTGCCTGAATTGCAACTTTAGAAGCTTCATTGTCGTCCAACAAATGGACAATTGCCTGATTTTCAGCCAAAATGCTCTTCAACTTCTCATCATTCTGCTGAATACGCATCCTTATTTCATCATTCCTCTCAACCAGAATCACAGCAACATGCTTCTTCAGCTTCTCGAGGAATTCCTGGTTGATCTCCGTGTGCTTCTGCACACTTTCACGTGATGCACTGCAAAATCTCTTCTCACTCTCAAGCATACTTTTGTGTACGTCACGAAGACTCTTCTCATAACACCCGAGCTCATTCACTTGCATCTGTATCTCCTCGTGAATCCTCTTCTGCTTCGACACCACGCCCTTCATGTGTTCCTCGAAAGCTGCACTGGTTGCATTGGAAGTCTTACTGAAGGTGGACGCAAAGTTCATGTAGAGTTCCATGAAATTCTCCAGCGAATTCTTCTGCAGATTCCCCAATGCCATCAAGATGTTACGCATGTTGGACGCTGAGGCTGTGTGATGAGTGAAATTCCCTTCAATTTCTCCTCTCACGTCGCTCACCTGAGCCAGGATGTTCTCCTTGAACTGCATCACTCTCTCCTTCGTGGCGTTCGCCTGGCCGTGAAAGGTGTCCGCAAAGTCCTCCATCGTCCTGTGTATGTCCCCATCGACAACCTTCCGCCGCTTTATGGCCTCATGCAGAGCGTGCGTGTCCGCGGACGCCTCATTGGCCACCTCCAGCAGATCCTTCGCCTGCCCAGAGAGCATCCTCTCAGTGTCCTGATGCGCACTCACCAAGTGCGTGCTCTCTTCGTATCGCCGCTCCGTGAGCTTGAGCGTCTGCTTCGTGTCACGCAGCACGAGATTCGTCCTGTTCAGACTCTCACTCGTCACCCGCAATTCCACCGTCCTCTGCTGCAGACTCCTCTCAATCTCACTGAAGAGCTGATCCTTCTTCTCCATCTCCACCTTCATGGCCTGAATCTGGAATGTCTTCTCTGTCAACTCCTTGGACTGACTGTCCAGCCTGCTCGACATCTCATTGTACGAATCCGGCGGCAGGAAGATGCCGTTCTTCTCGCGCGCCGCATCCAATTCCCTCTGCAGCCTGTCAATCTCCTCCGTGTACTCCTTCAGCACGGAGTTCTTCGTGAGGCGCTGATTGATCTCCGGCCGGTTCTGGATGTTCTTGGCACGATGAGCATAATCCAGAGTGTTCAGAGTCTCTTCCAGATCCTTGTGGCCCGGCGAGATTGTCGCAATTATTGACGTTTTTGTGCGCCCACCGAGAGACTCCTGCAGTAATCGCGTCAGCTTCGACTCGCGATACGGCACGTGCGGCTGACGCTCCACGAGAGCCGTGATCACGCGGCCCAGCGTGAGGAGACTCTGATTAATGTTCACCGCTTCGCGCGTGCGAATTCCCTTCTCGTTGCCGGCCTTCGTGGCGTTCTCACTTCCCGCCAGATCCACGAGATTCAGTCTGCCCGTCTTCAGCATGTCCTCGCGGCCCAGACCGTTCTCCTTGATGTGCACCACGATGGAGAAGACCGTGTGCGATCGCGAAGACTGCGCATTCATCAGTGTCGATGCCGTTTTGCGTCTCTCCTGACCTGTAAATTGATCAACAGTAAAACGTTAAAGTCTCGTTATCAGCTTCTTTCAAAGACTTCTGTGTGCTGCAAATGAGACGAAGATCGTTTTGAAGTGAATTTCTGGGTAGAAATTTGCATTGAACTCACCCTTGGCGAGAAGCTTATACACGTCATCCTTGCTGTGCACGGGAATCTCCTTGAGGCCCTGGACGATCACGCAGCCCTTCCTCGTGGAGTCGTCATAGATGCGCAGCTTGTCCTCCGTGCCCAGCAGATCGCAGAGCTCCTCGTTGTAGAGCTCCAGATACGACACGCGCATGGTGTATTCCACGTCCATCATCCGCAGCTCGTCGAACAGGTGAACCACGGCCCTCGGGATGATGCCCAGCGGGTTGTTGTCCTCCCAGGACATCCTGAGGGCCGGGCTCTGGCCGCCCACCATCGTGTACGTCTTCCCAGTGCCCGTCTGCCCGTACGCGAACACGGTGCAGTTGTAGCCACTGAGGACTTCACCGATGTACGGAGCCACTACGGAGCGGTAGACGGTGTTTTGCTCCGAATCGATGCCAAAGACGCGATCGAAGGTGAACTTCTTCGTGCTCTTGGCCTCGGGTCCTTGACGCACATGGACCTCCCGACTGGACGTCGCGTCCACCACCTCCTGAGACTTCTGAGTGCGCTCCCGGGCAGACAGTGGCCTGAAATGACAGAGAAATGCCGGTTGAAGCTCTCTTCCCAGACACTTGCAAAGCATCGCGTTTTCTCACCTGATTCGCAGGAACACCTGAATGTTCTGATTGCCCCTCGACTGCGCACTCGTAGATGGGCCGGATATGTCCATTTTTACCCAAAATTGACGGACTCACAATGAATAAATGGAATAAATAAGCACGATTTCTGGAAGCGACGCTCTCTGGTATCTCCACTCAAATGTTCCGTTGTTTTGTGCACTGAAGTTGGCAACGTACCTCAAATTCCTGATATCGACGATTATATCGATTCGATATCGAGCAGAAAGTGAGGTTAGATCTGAGGAAGGTTTATTGTTTTCCTGGGAAATTGCTTTTCCTCCGCAATGGAGAGCGTTAGGAGTGAATTCTTCGACTTGGGCACGAGATTTCTCTTCCTCAATCACTATGACGAGCAAAACAGTGTGTCAATCATTGAATTGAATCTGGTGTTGAATGAATTGAATGCCATCTGCTTTCGACATCAACAAATTGCTGATCACAAAGTGAGTTTTCCTCGAGTTTTCCCGGGGAAATGCATAATCTCGTGGTTTTGTATGATTTTCAGTGTGCTGTGGCCTTGATGGGAGCCTTCCCGAAAATCTCAGCCAGTGAAGACACTCTAGTCGTGAAGGCATGCTGTCTGCTGGTGTCGCTGGTGAAGAAGCAGAAGATCAGAGTTCCTCCCAATCTGGCAAATCTCAACATCTTCTGGCTGCTAAGGTGCCTGGAGAGGAACTTCTGTGCTGTTGTCTGTGATGCCCTGAAGGCCTTAAATGTGCTCTTCCTGGAAAATGTCAATGCCCTGGAAATTCCCTACGACAAGCTCTTGTCGATGGACAAAGGCCTTCTGGCGAGACTCCTGAAGCATCCCGAGATGGGGAACAATTCTGATGTGAAGTACGAAAAGAATAGCGAAGAGGACATCTTCCTAAGAGCTCTATCTTGCGTTGAGACTCTGTTCGTGGATTATGAAGAAGCTGACGCTGTGACGAAAATTCCAGAGGAATACATCCCAAAACTGGGCGATATAATCCTGACGAGTCTCTACAAATGGGATCTGGAGACGCTGGAAGAGTCAATCTACAGCACTTTCGTGCGCAAGATCCTGAACATCCTGAAATATCTTGCAGATTTGCATCCAAAGTGGCTGAAAGACAATTTGGGAGAGATTCTAGGCGCCGCTCGGGTGTTCATGGTCACGGGATATGTGGAGGAGGAGTGGCTGAAGCCTCAGAAAGTCACTCCGTCGCAGCAGATCCTGCTGGAGCCACAGAATCCCGCCACGAACAGAGGTGGAAAGATTATGCGCACGAAAAAGAGCCAGAAAGCCAGCAAAAAAGCCAAAAAGCAGAAGAATGAGGACCAGAATCAATTCCTCAAGCCTTATTCGTATGAAAGTGTGACGCTGTTGGACCCTACAGAGGAACCTCTGGCCTTTCCGACCAGTGAATCCGAGCTGTCGGATTCTGCGGGTGGAAAATTCGCTCCGGACATTCGTCAGAAGAAGTTTCGCGTGCGCTTGGCGGCGATTCAACTGATCGGAAATGTGGCGAAGGCTGTGGATCAGAGGACGATGTTTGGCTACTGGCACTGCCTCTTCGCGGCGAAGGACATCTCGCTGGACAAGTGCGTCCTGCGCGATCCCAGCCACCGATGTCGCATCTGTGCTCTGCAAACGATCTCGAGTCTGCTGCACGACTCGAAGAAGTACATCTATCAGGCAGAGAGCACCGAATCCTCCTCGTCCTTCACGCCTTTCTCCGTGGCACTGGGCAACATGATCCTAGAGCTATACAAGAGCCTCTTCCAGGCCCTGGACACGGAATCCCTGTCGCCCCTGATCGTGCAGATCCTCAAGTGCCTCATCGTGCTCATTCCGGTGAGTTTAGAGAAGCGAGCTTGCAAATCTGGTTTGTGTGATTGAATGTTGACTTACCTTGCAGGCCACGCCTTTTCATCGCCTCAAGCCTGGCATCGTGACTGAGATCGTGAGGCATGTGAGGAAGCTGGTGGATCACTGGGAGGCCACGATAAAGCTGTTTGCCTTCCGCGTGATGGGCTTCATCATCTCCATCACGGACATCACGCCTGAGATCGTGCAGTGCATCGGCGTGAAGACGCTGAGCGTGCGCAAGGTCACGGAGGACATTCACAAGGTGTACCTGGCGGACGATGGCGAGGAGGAAGTGATCGAGTGTGAGGAAGCTGAGGAGGAGGAGGAAACTGAGCAGAAGCCACTCGAGAGAGACGAGAAGAGCGAAAGCAACATGTCGTGGATTCTCGAGGCTCTGCTGAGCAGCATCAGGATAGGATCTGTGGAGATCCAGAGCGAATGTTTCACCCTCTTGGCCGCGATGTCGGCGCACATGGAGATGCTGTTGGAGCACTTGAAGCCCGTGGCGGAAGCCATCAGAAGTGGCCTGGGAGACTCAAGTCAGACAATTGTGACAAATTCCGCGAAAGCTCTGGACTTTATTGCACACTCTGTGACGCAGTACTTCCTGAACGGTTCCGGAAAGATGTCTAGTGAGCTGGAGAGCGCCGTTGAGCTGTGGCTGATCGTGCTGCCGAGCGTCACGGAGCAGTTACAGGGCAGCGTGGTGACCATCAAAATAATCTGCTGTGATGCCTTGTCCAACATCGGCGGCCATGTGTACGAGGCTTTGCCCAGGGACAAGCAATTCCTCGTGCTGTCGTTGCTGCACGGCAACACTAGCAACAACGAGACAATCGTCAGGGCGTCCGCCTGTCGCGCCCTCAGCGTCTTCGCGCAGTTTCCCTCCCTCCGCGACGATCTGGTCTTTGTGGAGAACACGGCCGAGATGGTGGCGGATCTGGTGCCGGTGGGAGAGGAGCTGAGTCGCGTGAAAGCCGCCTGGGCGCTGGGCAATATCACAGACATCCAGCATCTCAAGTCAGACAGCCCGCTGGATCGCCTGCGCGACGATCTGCTGATGAAGATGCTCAGGATATCAATTGGCGCGTGCGAGGATCAGTACAAAGTGCGCTACAACATCGTCCGGGCCATTGGCAATCTGCTGTTCCTCGTCCGCGAGGACCTCCTCAGCCAGCCAGCGTGGCAGGATTTGGTGCGCACAGTCGTGGAGTGTCTGATCGTGAATGCGCGCGACGTGAAGTACACAAAGGTGCGCTGGAATGCGTGCTATGCGCTGGGGAACATGATGAGGAATCCCTGCTTCTACACGGACACCGCCGTGAAGCGTCTCAACTGGCAGACGCGCGTCTTTCCCACGCTGTGCGATCTCATCGTGAAGAATCCCAACTTCAAGGTGCGCATCAATGCCACGGTGGCGTTGGGAACGGTGCCGCGGCGCGAGGATTACGGGCAGCACTTCGTCGGCGTGTGGGCGGCGCTGACGCAGGCGCTGGAGCAGGCGGACAATCTGGTGGACTTCACGGAGTACAAGCACAGGGACAACCTGATGGACCAGCTCTGTCTCACGCTGGCGCACTTGCTGATGTGCACCGGCGGCGCGGATCTGGTGGCGATGCAGGAGCAATTGATGCCGCGCGTGGAGATGACGCGCGTCCACTGGTCCAGGGTGGCCAACAGGATCCTGCCGGAGCGTGCCACGCCACTCCTCGTGGCCACGCAGCGGCTGAAGGAGTTAACGGGGCAGAAACTGCCTCAGGATCAGCAACTGGCGGCTCAATTCCTCGCGTCCTGCTTCGTGTCGCCCATTGAATATGTCTGAGATTTTGTACATCACTGATTATATTTATCTATTTTAGCAATCCTGGGACTTGTTATTCGCCTCCTTGGCCAGGAGCGCCTCGAATCTCTCGCACACAGTCTTTGTGTCCAGATCCACAGCCTCTGCAATGAGCTTCTCGTGAACCCTGCGCAGATTGTCTCTCGCGGAGTCCTTGAGGCAGTCCTCGAACGCCTCCTGCGTGGCGTGCTTCACAATGCGCGCCAGGAAGTCGAGGATGGTCGTGGAAATGTCCTCAGTGCTGACCTCATCTCGACGGCAACTCCACTCGGAGTCGCTCTCTCTGTCGCCTTTCGCGCGGAATTCTTCCACCGCACACCAAATGGTGATCATCTGGGCGAAACACTTGCCCGGGAAGGGCGAGCTGAGGACGAGCAGGAGCTCGGTGACGTTCTCAATCACGCCCTGTTCATTGGCAGTGGGCGGCAGGAGATTCACAGCGTGACAGTAGGGCGACAAGATGCTCTCCAGGCACTCGTGCATGTCCTTCATCACAGCGCTGTAGCACCGCCTGGACGCCTCGTCGTACTGCGACAGGATGGCGTTGATGTCCAGAAAGAGGTTCATGATCTTCTTCCGCCTGTCCGTGAGATCCAGCATCTCTAGGTCGTTCTGCGCATCCGGAATAAGTTGTCGCAGCGCCTCGATGATGCCGGCAATCAGTTCGGGCTTCAACAGGACGTCTTTCAGTTGAACGCTCTCCTCCGGCTGGAATTCTATCATCGCAAACTTCGCCGCGATGGCGTTTAGAGCCTCGTAAGCGGTGAACAGGAGACTTCTGTTGACGGAATTGGTGAGTATGAAGGCGAATTTCTCCACGAATCCGTCAACATTGCAGAAGTGCTGGAACCAAACAGTCTCGTCGCCCGTGTTCTCGAACACCAGACACGCGTGCAGCAGTCTCATAAGCTGGACGAGTGTTGGCGGGTCAAAGGATGAGATCAACTCGAGAATTGGCCCCACAACCTGAGGATTCTCGCAAAGATTGTCTCTGGTCTCCGGCAAACTGCACATATTCCCTATTATGCCCACCAGAATCTCTGTGAGCCGGACATCCTCGGTGCTCTGAATGATCTGCGTGAAGAGTTCCAGGACGTTGTGCGACAGCAGCAGGCGAATCACGTCCTTTTCAATGGTCATGTCCCACAAGATGCAGAGATCCTTCTCGAAATCTTCACTCAACTCCTCATTCTCCTCCAGTTTCGTCAGTTTTATCAATGTGGACAGCACTGGAAAGGGAGTTGTTGCTTCAGACATTACCTCAGAGCCTCCTGGAAGGATTCTTACCAAATCTCTCACTGTACAAGGATTCTCCGATTGCGTCTCCTTTGAGCTTCTCCTGATCGATCTCAAGCTCGTCGCACGAGGGATTGTAATTGGGTCCTTGCGGAGATTGTGTGTCCTCTGACTCCATCCTTTTTCGCCGGCACAGACACTTTTCCCAGGAAGACGCCAGGAAAACAACAACATAACCTCACAAAGAGGAGGTGAGAGCCGCCAGCGAAAACACAGCGGCGCAGATCTCAGTTTCAAAACGTCACGCGTATTTTCACGCTTTTCCGAGGATTCTCTCTGTTTATTCACCGAATATGACTCGCTGTTCATTTGAGGGATGCGATAATCTCTATGTGCCGTGTTCACGCCTGACATTCTTCAATCTGCCCAAGAATGAGAAGCGCCGAGAGATTTGGATCGCCAATTCCGGGAATCGCAGCCTGATGCGCGACTACATGAGGAACAAGAGCGTCCGGCGATTGTTCTGCGAGAAGCACTTCATGGATCAGTACAAGAAATGCCAGGCCAATCGTACAATTCTCTACCGCGAGGCAGTTCCGGATGCCTTCGACAAAGAGCTGGCCAGAGCCTTCCTGCAGAACGGCAGAGAGTGGGTATTTTGCAAGTCTGCGCGCTCTTTGGCTGACAATCTGTCTCTTCCAGGGGATTAGAGCGTTGGGAGCAGGATGCGGATGTTGTTCCTGTGGCGATTGTGGCTCCGCGGAATCACAACGAACAGGACAACGAATATGTCTTCGAAGTGGCGGAGTTCACAGAGCCAGAAGCTGGTGAAGAAAGCCAGGATGTCTCAATGGATGTCAGCGACGTGGAAGTGGTGGAAGCGGATGACGCTGTGGCCGAGACGGTGAACAAGCTCATCAAAACCTACAGCACGAGGAAGCCTTTCCGGACCACAGTCAAACAGAAATCCCCGAGTTTAGACACACCGGCAGCGCCAGCCGAAGAAGAATCTCCTGCCCAACTGCCTCCGTTCTTCCTGGACGCCACTGACTGGGAGATCAGCGAAGAGACTGACGAGGTTGACGATGTGATCTGCGAATACGTGCCTGCAGTTCAGCCACAGGAAGTTCGGGAAGAGATTCCCGAAATTCGTGCTCCGACGCCTGTTGAGACGTTTTCTGAGGAAGATCGCTGCTTCGTGCTGTCTTTGCTGGAGCCCCTGAAGAAGCTGACGTCAGAGCAGCGAGCCGTGGCGAAGGTGAACATCCTCAAGTATCTCCTGGAGCTGGAAGTGGGCAAGAAGACGGCCACTCTCTAAGATCAGTATTCTAAGACCCGAAAGACAGAGATTTCCCTGAAATACAGGCATTACGTGAGGCAATCACGGTGTTTTTCCACGGCCCTCATGGTGTGTAATTCTTGGCTCAGTGCCTCTCATCAATATTTGCCTCGCTATTTGCATTTTTTGGACGGAGAATCGTACAAGAAATTTCTAGAATTGGAAGCGAATTGGAAGAGCCTCGCGAAGTCGGCCAACGGTCGCCGATGCGACCCGAAGCGGCGGTCGCGCGGCATCGCGCACGGCCGCCAACATTGACGAATTGGCGATGGCGCACACGCCAGAGCAGGCGGCAATACGCCGGCCGGTATGTCTCTCTCGCTCGCTGGATTGGAAAATTTTCCATCACACGAGCCATCTCGCTCGTGCGCGCGCGGCGCCGTGTGGCGTGGTCTCTGTCTGGCGCGGCTTGCTCATCTGCCTCGGTGCCCTCTCTCTGTCGCAACGGCATTGCATCGGCCATTCAGCGTCGGACAGCGGAAAAAGTAATACCGTGCGAGTGCGGCTCCTGTGATTTCACCCAAAAACTCTTTAAAATTTGTGCGTAATTCGTTGTGAGATAAGTGCAAGAATGGCCGACGTTTCAGTTGAGAACAAGTGAGTAGGCTTCTGGGACTCCACGGGGTGAAATGTGCGAGAAAAGGCCGCAATTGTTTTGGCGGTACTCTGGCGAGTTGCCGTTTTTCTAAGATGGCGTCGCTCCAATTTTACCTCGGGGCCCCGCAAAGGTGCCTCCTGAGGTGCGCCCCAGCGCGCCCCCGGCCGCCTTTTCTCGCCCATTGCGCTGCGGGCATCTCTCGGCGTGGAAAATGCCCGCGGGTCGGCATGGGTGATTTGGTGTGCGTGTGTGTGTGAGTGCAGGAGGAAAAATTGAAGCGAAAGTTTTGTTTAGTGCGTGACTATTGATCCAGAGAGGGGGACGCTAATAATTTTCACTTAATGCTCGCACGTTCCCACTCCCCCGCACTGCCGAGTGCGGCCCAGTCTGCTCATCTCTCTCTCATTTCGCCGCCAGCAAAGAGGTATATTTCATTGCGGCTCTGTGCCTCGCATTCGCTTGAACGCCCAGCCTGCGCTATCGGCCGCGGCAGCTTGTCGGCGCTGTGGCGCGCGTCTCTGCACCGCCATCTTTGCCCGCTAGCCGGTTTTCTTCGCGCGCGTGTTTGATGTCATCTTCCCTCTCTGTCGCACTCACGCGGCGCCCCGACCGAAAGGTGCTTTTTTTTGTTCTCTCCTACAATTCCTCTCTCCTTGAGCACATTTTTCATGGCATTTGGAGAAGCGCGCTCGAGAGCGCCCCTGTGTGCACGCACACGGAGAAGTTGGCAATGGGAGAAGAGGATACAGCGCTGAGAACATGTGTGCTCTCGGTCGCCTATAAATACGGTCATACTTTCCGATACACTTTTTCAATAGCACTGCAGAGATGAGGGAAATTCAAGTGACATCATTGGAGTAAATATATTTCCTCGCGACTCGGTCGCGTGTTGGGGTTATTAATAAAATGTTAATTATGTTTGGATTTCCACTTTGCCGCTCTGTCCGGCGGTGTGTTGAGTCAGAATGTGGGTGATATCTGCCATCGGCAGTTGGGTGCATGGCTAAATGGGTGCGATTTCAATTGGTTGCGCAATGCTGTATGGCATACGTACGCAGTACACCTGGCCTTCCTTCGCTCGTGCGCCCCCTGGCGCCGATTGTGTGCGAGTGGCAATAATAGGAAGTGAACATCTGCCGCAGAAAGTCAGCAATTGTTGAGTCGAGAGGCTTATTGTTATCCAATAGCAGGGGTTGAGGCGTCTTATTGGAATCCAGCAGGATGGCTTACAGGAAGCTTGTTGAGACTCTCTGACCTTTCCCATAAGGATATTCCTTCGGTTGTCATGGAGACAATTGACGGAATGTCCATGCAAATGATTTGAAAGATCTGTTTATATTCCATTTCACCTGAAAATCATGATGAACTTAAAAATAGACATTTCAGTCACCGTTGATGATGAAGTAAAGGCTAAAACGCACACGTGAGAGAAGGATAAATAGCTGAAATGACGAATTCTCTTTTAGTTGATAGAAGAAAGAGAGAGAATTGATAAATGTTTTTCCACGAAATTTCGTCTCCAAGTTTGACATTGAAAATCACACGGTTTATTGGAAGATTTTGCTCTTCAAGTTTATATTTTACAATTTATTGTGTAAATATATTTGAGGTGTGTGTGGAGTTTTTTTTTGGAGACGAATGGGAATTTGAACCGCAAGAAGAGGAAGAGAGAAGAGAGAATGGAGAAGAAAAATTGTGTTGTACAGCGCTGTGGGTTCTTGCAAAAGTGCGCGCGTTGGAAAGGAGGAAATATTATGTGTAATGGAAAGAGAGATGGTCTCACACTTTGGCAAAAGGTTATTGACTGTTGTGTGTACGGTTTTTTTTTCGACTTTCGAGCTATGGTGAGTTTTTCCGCCTTTTGTCTCTGTGTGCGTTTGACGTCTTTTTCCCTGTCGTGGCCGAAAAAAAAGAATGGTCGGATATTCATGGGCTTTTCGAGGTGTTGAGAAAGAAAGGCAGAGCGCGGAAAAAAGTGTTGTTTTGCTCTGGTGTTCTTTTGTTTCTGCCGCGCTCACTGCGCTTCACGCGAGGAGAGATAGAGAGATAGCGAGATAGCGAGAGAGAGAGAGGGAAAGAGGGGCAAGAGGTGTGAGGAGGCTTTCCCCGAAATGCGAGTGGGTGTGATAAGATTGCAGCTTGGGAGAGTGGCTGATAAGGCCGTGGCTGATTGTTTTCCCTCTGTTTTGCGCGCAGTGACGCTCCCGTTGTGGAGAAGGAGGTGGAGGAGGTGGCGGCCCCCAAAGTGACGGAGGAGGAGGAGGAGAAGGGCGCCGTGGAGAATGGATCCGAGGAGACGACAGAGAATGGCTCCGAGGACAAGGAGGACGAAGAGAAGGAGACAAACGGTGACTCAACAGGTAAAGCATGAGAGAGAGAAAGCGTGTCACGCTAGAATGGCGCTTCTTAACTGTAGAATGAATCTCTTTGGCTTCAGCAACCTCGGAGGCCCTGAAGAGGAAGCCCGAAGAGACAGAGGAGAAATCCACCGAGGAAGTCGCAACGCCCGAGAAGAAGGCTAAGCTGGATGAGTCGGCGAAAGAGCCCGAAGTGGTGAAAGATGCTGAGGCCGAAGTGACGGCATAAGATTAATTTATAAAGAAATGCAGAGAGAGAAAGATCACGAGAGAGAGAGAGAGAAAGTGGGAGTGAAGAGGAGAAAAAAAAAACACCACAAAAAGCTAAAAAAAGAAAATCATCCCTTTTATTAGTATTACAGAATAATATATTATTATTAAATGGAGATGAAACATTGAAAATATGCAAAAGAGCCAATAAAATAAGGATTATATAGACATTAAAGAAGAAGATGAAAAAAAAAATTGACAAACAAGTCGAATCATGAGGAGTTGTAAAATGAATTTGTCAGGAAAATATTTGAGTGTGTTGGTGGGACTTCCTTAATCAATGAAAACAAGTGTGAAATCTTTGAAGAAAAAAAATGATCATATAGAAATAGTCGAAGTGAATAGAAGAATAGTTCAATGATTTGTGTGCCCAAAAAGATAATCAGGATAATGTCTGAATTTGTATTGACTAATAATTTTTTTTAATTGAAAAGTCTAACGAAGTTTAAAATCCTCAAGTTTGCCAAAAAAAAGAAAGAGAAGAAAATAATGAAAGGTAGATTTTTGACAAGAGAAAATATAAACCCACTGACGACACAAATGTTTAATTCTCTCTTTTTATGCTCTAAAATTAACATTCAGATTTTTTTTTAATTATATAACCTTTTTGTGAGAAAAATAAACGAATTTGATTCTCTCTACTTAAGTTTTGACACTTTCATTGGAAGATACTTAAACAAACCTTTAAGAAAATAAAACATGAACTTATCTTTGGGTCTATTCGATGTGAATTTGTTTTTTGGTGTAGTGGACAAAAAGAAAAACAGAGTAAATGAGAAATATAGTTTTTTTTTTGGACAAAATCTCAACCTCGAGGAATTGATTCACAAGGCAAAAAAAAGAAAAGAAAGGAAATGAGAAAAAATGTAGAACACATTCCCCAGCATTTGAAAGAAGAAGAAAAAAATCACAGACGAATTGGTCATGAATTTATCTTGAGACACGTATAATTATGTTTTTCTCACTATATTTACTTAAGGATTGAAAGGATGGATTCAAGGATGAAGAGATGACATGGAAAGGAAACTTACAATGGCTCTCATGCCAAAATGAAATGTGGTGCAGTTAATTTGTATCTTAATTTAATTGACGAAAATGCTAGAAATATGTGGAAGATTTATTTAGTTTTGTCTTTGAAGAGAGTGTGGCAAGAAAAGCGTGCGAAAAAGTAGTAATTTGTAGGTTTTCTTCCCACTCTTTTTTCTCTCAAATTTATAATTGATTTAATTTAAAATGGACAAAATGAAGAGTAAATTTGTAAAATAGTTTCTAAAATTTTTTTTTGAAAAGCACACTTTTGTACTTCGTAGATCACTTTTTTTCGTAGTGTAGTAGAGGAGAAATACAACGGATAATAGTTTAGAAAGAGAGAGAGTGAGACAGAGAGAAGGAAGAAAGAATGGAAAGGATTATAGAAAAACACCTTTTGTGTTTCTGAATCACATTTCACACGATGAACGAATGGGTAAAAAAAATCTCCTAATTAGTAGTGTTTGTAAAGTTCACTTGGAAGCGTTTCACAGCCCTTGAAGGATGCATAAATTTTTCTTTTTAGAAACATAAAGGACGGAAAATTGACACACTGCCATTCATATCAAAGAGGAAAATTGCAGGTTGAATCATAAGATGCAAAAAAAACAACAAGAAGAGATTAAAGAAGATGGAATGAAGAGATGAGAAAATATTTGCGCATTTTTGTCAACAACTTTATTCCTTGATGCAGACACACAAGTTTATAAATAAAAGAAAGTGTATCAAACCCACCAAGTCTTATTAAATGAAAGGAAAAGGAAAAAAAAATGTTTACTACTAAAACGGATGAAAATAGTCGAGACATGATAAAAAGCGTACAAAAAATAGTGAAATGGAAAACCGATTTGTAAATTTTTATTTGATATGACATGACACATTGTATTAACACAAATGTATAATTATGTTTCTGTAATTTCAATTCAAAGATGAATTATGCAATAAAATATAGAATTCAGTTTCCGTATACAGACACAAAACAAGGCGCTCTTTTCCTTCGGCATGCTTGTGATTTCGTCAACTTTGCATGCTAATTTGCTGAACATTGAACTAATTTCTGATCTCATTTGATAAATTTTCAAGTGCTAATGAGCTTCATTTTTTCCGAGAAGAGCAGATTTTGAATGACGCGCTTTGCCAACGAGAAATCTTATCGATCGATTTCTCGATGAGTTCGCGATCAGTGACATCTCGTGGAATATATCGGTAAAATTTCCCCCGCTCTTCAAACAGAAGTTTGTGCTGCACTGACAGCAGCAACAAAATCAAAATTACCAGTAAAACACTGTTATTTGTTTTCTTTCTTTTAGCAATTCAGATTCAGGACTTTATTAGGCCCAAATTCAGGTAAAGTTCTCAAGATGAAGTGTTGAATTCAATGCATTGTATGAAAGTACACCGGAATTCGTGGAAATCTTATGATGTTTTAGAGGAATGAGGTTTTATTTCAGTATGAGAATTTTTATATGTGTTGCTTAATAAGAAATGAAAGTCACACAAATTCTTTCTTTATCAGTTTTAGGATTTTATCCTAGTGAGATCTCTTGCAGGAAACCACAAACTCTCGAGTGACAGAAACGGATTCTCTGCCCAGGAAAGCGCGCAAAGTGTCGAGCACCGATTCTTCCCAGTGCAGACGTCGCGCTGCGCGGGTGCGAACTTCAGTGTGGTAGTCTGTCAGCCATTTTGCATTTGAGTTCATCTCCATTGGCAGTAGAGAAGATTCGCAGAAGAGGAGATAAAATCCGCCAGAAATTTGTCAAAGTCGCCTGCAAAGTGTCGCGAGCCGTTCGCTGAACCCCCGTGAATCCGCAGCGCCGTGTCACGCGTGCCGTGAGTGCTCGAGAGTGGGCCAGAGGTGTGAGAAAAGCAGTGTTTTTCGTTGTGCGGGCCATTTAGTTGACCGATCGAAGGCGGAGAGTGGAGGAAAATCGTTGGCAGGAATGTCGCCGAAGGTGTGATTGTGCGGTCGCGCTCAGGAGGACACTCGGGCTGCCGGAGAGAGTGTGATATCCGGTGACGGGACAGTCTCAGAGCGGGCGCCAGAGGCCCAGTTTTTGCAAAAGCGCCAGGGTGGATTTCGCAGTGGACAGAGTGTGAGGAGAAGATGAAAAAGTGACTTTTCCTCATTTACATATTTCGGGAAACGGAGAGAGCGAGCGCAGAGTCGGAGAGCGAAAAGTGCCGTGCGGAGTGCGAGAGAGCGATAAAGTAAAGAGAAAGAAAATCATTAGAGATTTAACCTGTGGTAGTTTTGTGATTTTTCCCTTTTCTTCTTCTCCGTGGTTCTCTTCCTCCGGCGGTTGCGGGGGAAAAGTAGGCGAGCGAGAGGAAGAGCGACGTCACCTGCGGCTTTCGGGCGGAAAAGTCGAGCGAGCGACGGGAGAGCGAGAGTTTTCGCGCAGGATCATCGGCCAGCGCCGCTAAGACGTGAGCGCCACTCCGTGGTGGGGAGCGCAGTTCGCGGGCAAGGATCGAGCGAGTTTCGTTGGTGTTGTTCAATTGACCGGTGCCGGAAAAGTTGCGTCGCGCGAGGAGGCGAAAGAGTTGAGAAGGTAAAGCATTAGAGAGCGCGCCAAGAGCACACTCAAACTGGACTCAAACACGGATTCTGCTGTTAAAGCAATGGGAAACAACGCCGCGACGGCGAATAAGAAAGTTGACGCCGCCGAGAGCGTCAAGGAGTTCCTCGATCAGGCGAAGGAGGAGTTCGAGGAGAAGTGGAAGCGCAATCCCACCAACACAGCCGCCCTCGATGACTTCGATCGCATCAAGACGCTGGGCACGGGCTCGTTCGGGCGCGTGATGATTGTCCAGCACAAGCCGACAAAGGACTACTTCGCCATGAAGATCCTGGACAAACAGAAGGTGGTGAAGCTGAAACAGGTGGAGCACACGCTGAACGAGAAGCGGATCCTCCAGGCCATCTCCTTTCCATTTCTCGTCAGTTTAAAGTATCATTTCAAAGACAATTCGAACTTGTACATGGTGCTGGAGTACGTGCCAGGCGGTGAGATGTTTTCACACTTGCGCAAGGTGGGCCGCTTCTCTGAGCCCCACTCGCGCTTCTATGCGGCCCAAATTGTTCTCGCATTTGAATATTTACACTATCTCGATCTCATATATCGGGATCTGAAGCCTGAGAATCTGCTTATCGATAGTCAGGGATACCTCAAGGTGACTGATTTTGGCTTTGCCAAGCGAGTGAAGGGGCGCACGTGGACGCTGTGCGGCACACCGGAGTATCTGGCACCTGAAATCATTCTCAGCAAAGGATACAATAAGGCGGTGGATTGGTGGGCACTTGGGGTGTTGGTGTATGAAATGGCCGCTGGGTATCCGCCATTCTTTGCCGATCAGCCAATTCAGATCTATGAGAAGATTGTCAGTGGCAAAGTGCGGTTTCCCTCACATTTCGGCTCAGATCTGAAGGACCTCCTCCGTAATCTCCTTCAGGTGGACCTCACGAAGCGCTACGGCAACCTCAAGGCTGGTGTCAATGATATTAAGGGGCACAAGTGGTTCGCGTCGACGGACTGGATTGCCGTGTTCCAGAAGAAGATCGAAGCGCCTTTTATACCACGATGCAAAGGACCAGGGGACACAAGCAATTTCGATGATTACGAAGAGGAGGCGCTCCGGATCTCAAGCTCGGAAAAATGCGCCAAAGAATTTGCCGAATTCTAAAAAGACCGAACACACCATCAGACACAAAATTTGCCTGCTTTTACCGGAGAAATTCACTTCCTTTTTAACCATTTTGAGTTTTTTTTTTCTTTTTAAATGTCACTACTTACTGTTTTCCTTTTTGCCCTCTGCGCTGTGTCCACTAAAGTGTGCAACCTGATGAACTATATATTGTAAACTCCCTTCAGTCATTTTACACGTTTATTTCGTTTTTAACATTCGATAATGGCTTTATTTTATTATTATACTAGTAAAGAGAAGAAACCTTTTAGAGAACATCTTTGACTATTGCTAAGACTTTTATTCCTCTGCCTTTTTTCTCCTTTTTTGTTCTCTTTTTTGATTCCTCTCAACACACAAATAACTCTAAAATAATAATAATAATAATAATAATGATACAAATATCCGCAAAGCGGCAGAGAGAAGCAGAGAGAGAGATTTTAAAAAGTTTGGAGAGAACGGAAAAAAGGCAAGAAAAATGCAAATGCGAAGCAAATGGGAAAAATGTGAGCTGGACAAATGAGATCCCAAGAAAGAAGTTCACACACTGAAATGTATTGTAAAAGGAAAATCCCTCAGAAAACACACACACATGCTATTGAAGAAAGAGAGAGAGAGAGAGAGATTGTAGATGTTACGCCAAAATAGAACAATAGAAAGAAATGGGGAATAAACTCATCAAATCTGGCCAAAATCATCTTATCATCCTCCATCATCATTATCACAATCATGATCATCGCGCGCGACGTGCTCCACCGGAAAAACAGCCCAGCAGTGCGTGCTCCAGAGCGGCATCCGACGATGGAGAGCGTCGAAGTCGTCAGTTGCAGAGGAGAAAATTGTGGGGATGAATTGCAGCAAAATATCAAGCAGGTGAGTAGCAATTTTCCTTCTTTAACGACTTTCAAGCTAATTTGATGCGATGCTGCGCCTCGATGTTGCCCAAAAAGAAAACAATTATTTCGTGTGACAAGATGAGCGTGGGCGGAGGGTTGATGGCTGTGTTTGAAGGAAAATGAGTGCTGAGATAGAGATAAATGGCCAAATGGTTGCGAGGTAAACGAACTGGAGTTTTTTGGAGGCGAGCGACAGCAAAATTTCAGCATTCCTCTCCTCTCCCTCTCGCCATGTCTCAAGGGCTTTCTCCAAGGCGGAGGGTGTTTGATCCACCCCAGAAGAGATTCTTGTTGTTTCTTCTCCCTTTGCAATGACGCGATAGAAATTTCTTTGACCTTTAAACTTCGCTCTGATGTGAATGCATCGCACACAATGAGCGAGAGAAGGCGCGAGAAAATCGGAATTTCCTCCGTAATTTTGCATTGGAGGCTAATGAGGAATTTCCAGGACAATTAAGATTGGAAAGTTCTTAGTTTAGTGCTCGATTGCCAATTTAAAATGTATGGATTTTCCATTATTATCTTGCTCTTTGCTTCGGAAACAATTTCGCTCAATAAATTGACATTTTATATTCATGTTGCATTCTTCGAAAATACAAAAGTTTGATCATTAACATAGCAATGAATAAATGGGAAAAATAACTTTAATAACGCAATAATTAAGGACACATTCAGAAAAAGCTACAGTGAAACAGATTTGTCACATAATTAATTCTTGATGTTATTTTTCGAAATACAGGACTGTTATTTGCCTCTGACTGGGACAAATTGTGGAACTGCGAGGTTTTTTGTCCCCAATTTATCCACGTCACTGTTCATTTGCAAAGGGCAATGGTCATTTTTAAAGCAGGAATATTTGTACAAAAAAACATTAAGCGTGATAATTTGGCTGAAATGCAGACAGACATCATCTTTTTCCTTTAACCATTTCACTATTGAGTTGATGAGAATTTGGCTGAGGAAATATTCTTGATGTCTATTAATACAGCATATTATTATTAATGTCGGTTGTTACACTTTGTGTTGTGAGGAAATCGAATGCTGGCAAGCGCTGGTGTCGCAGTCTGGTAGAAAGTGCGGAGAGTCACTTTCAATTCTTATCTCAATTAATGGTGTAGTTGAAAGTTTTAATAATCCACTAAATGCATCAGCGGATTTTACTTAATTATATTACACTTTTGTATTCCATTTGAGATGGAAGATTTTTTCAAATGTTTCGCCACAAAGTGTGTGTGTGAAGTTTTAGCGATATTCGTGTTATAATATCAGAGTTTTCTGTGCATGAAAATAAAGCGCAATGTCAAATAGGATAAATTGATTATGAAATAATGATTTTTCCCCATAGAGAATGAGGAGCGTGTGACATTTAATATTGACAGAGAAAATATCTGATAAATTGCTAAAATATTGTGTGTTATTTTAAGATTAGATTAGCAGTTTGACGCTGTAATAAAATGGCAATATTTCACAGTGAAACACACACACACTGTGTTGCTATGATTTTCCACATTTCGTACTGTTTCACTTGAATTTTCCATCGTGACCGCGCCTTTACACTCTCGCATTGTCCTCCCAAATCAGGAGTTGAAATATCGAGTGCTGAGTGAAATTTGATGAATGGAGACTAAGGAGAAGACTAATAACGTGCCCAGATGCTTCGGAGGAAGTCCTTTCGTGTAGATTTTTTCTGCCATGCCGCTTTTCTCCCTGTCATCACTCTCCCTATATATTATTTAGATGATTAAACTCATCTTCACTTTCTCCCACTTCCGCTGTGCCGTCTTTTTGTGGTGTCGTGCAAAAAATTCCACTGCCAATTTCCCACCAACCATGCGATGATCAGCACGTTCTTTCTTTTCCTTTCATTGCGCGATTGCTGTGGAATTATAATGCAGATGTTTACCAATATTATTGGGTACAATCGTATCAATTGGAATTGTGTTATTGCAAATGAATAGAACTGCAAGGATTGTGAAAAAGAAAATTGGATGGAAAAGAAAACAACCAGTTATGGAATTCCATTAAATTTCGAACACTCGCTGTATTTTTAATCGCCATTTTTCACCATGATTGTCTTCATTTGTTCACAGTCAACACTTCTCCACAGTTTTTGCACTTGGGACGTCAATTTTCCTCAATTTATTGCAAAATTCTGAAATATAACATATAAATTGTGTTTGGACGTGTATAAAATTGAATAGAAAGTGAAAAATTTTACGAAAAAGGAGATTTTTGTCGACTTTGGATGACAAATTTTAGCTGAAAAATTATGGCTCAATTTTCTCTTCATCTGAAATGTCCCTGAATTTTCCATAAATTTTAGCAGAATGTAGAGGATTTTTTTTCCGAAAAATGTCATGAAGGGAATTTTCCCTCTGATTTTGTCTCTTTTCTTGCTTCATTGCCGAAAAGATAATGTGTGAGTTGAAATGTAAAAAAAGGGGTTTTTCTGGAGATGCGAACAAATGGAATGATTGAATAGGAAAAAGAGGCACAAGAAGTGTGAAAACATATTTGCTGTCTTTGCCTATATCGAAGGTGGGTGTAGAGGAAAATTGCCCATCTATCTATAGTCTGTGTGCAGATTGAGGTGTGCTCGCTTTTAAAGAGAGATCTTCAGGGGGGGAAAAACAATGGGAGATATCTTGAGAGCAATTGAGGGGTAACTAAAGGGAAATTCCCTGTGCGAGTGGGAGTGAAAGGTGTCTGATGCTTATTTAATGTTTTCTTCAATGCGTGGCTTGGAGCCAAAAACAAATTTCAATGCATTGGAAGGAAATCTCTGGTGGATTCGAGGGTGTAGGACACCGAAATGACGGGGATGGCGATTGGTTGGATGTGAGAGAGAGAGGAAAAAGGGCAAGAAAATCAATAAATTGCTTCACGTGTTCCATTTTCTCCTTCAACTCAATAGATTTTCCTCTTTCGATTAGTATTATAGTGTGATGGCGAAGATATATTGTAAATATCAGTTTGATAGCATTTTATACACATCTGTGTGTTTTGTGGCAACTCCTTTTTCCCTCATTTTCATCTTCTCTTCTCTGTGGCGAGTTGATTTACATGCGCGGTATTTTTTTTTCTACCCCAACTGGCCGAGAATGAATGTGCCAAAATGAGGGAAATTGCAGAGAATGTGTTCGGGAACACATCATGATGGCAAAAATATTGCAATTTGGAGGAGTTTGTGGAAAGCGAATTGACGTGAGCGAGAGAGAGAGAGTGTGTGTGTGAAATTCTAGTGCATGACTCTATAAATAGGTTAAAGTGACAGAAAAAGTCTGTCGTGGAATTGAAAAGTCTGACGGGAAAGTCTCTTCCTTGGAGCAAAGTTCTCTTTTCACTCTCGTGTGGTGTTTATTCTTTTAAAAAAATCCGAGAATGGATTTTTCGATTTCATAACACACAATTGTAGATTTCTGTGAGTCTCTCTCGTGTTCATCCTGTCGCTTGGCTCGAGGGTGTATTTTCTCCTTTCTCCAAATAGACATGTTTTCTCCTCTTCAAGATCATTATTTTTCCTCGCTCCGCAACTTTGTACAGACCTTCGTTTCACTCAATGTGACTAATTGAAGTTCTACTAATTGTTAAATCTTTTATGAACAATTAGAGTCTTTAGTTATTGTATAGTTTTGAGAGAAAGGAAATCTCTTGAATGAGAAGAAGGATGAATTTGTATGCTAAATTGTAAGCGATTCTCTTAGAATTCTAGTGAATATTTGACCCAATTCTGGGATAAATCCTTGAAAATGTGCATTAGACGCAATTTCTGCCCTCATTGACCTGGAAGATGGAAATTCCACGAAGGAACAGTATTTCTGACAAACATTCTGCATGAAAATTGTCTTGAGGCGAGAGAACATTAATGTATTCATCACTTCAATTAACCAATTATGTCTCATGTGACTTTTATGTGCGAAACAGAGCGATAATATAAATTGCATATGCAAACGCATTGATTAAAAATGTGACACCAATTTATTCATTTCATTACTTATTTGCATTTGGTTCTTTTTTATCTCGCGTTTCGGGGTAAAACGCGAAAATTGTGGGAATGCGAAGAGGCGTTTTGCATGACGAGAAGGAGAAAGAAGTAAATATATGGGCACAATTGAGTGTTATTGTTATTATTTGCGGTAATGACTAGAAAAATCTGCTTTCGTCCAGTGAATTTTGAAATGTCTTCATCAATTAGTGACAAGTGTAAGACATCATTTTCATTTGATGAAATTTGCTTAATTTGCACCATTCGCAGTGGCAATGGTGGCAATAAGGGGGGAGGAATGGTGGCTTGCACACTGTAGCGCACAAAGTGGAGAGTGAATCTGCACACGAGACCGGCAAGTGATTGCGACGAGAACACTTGCACGGAAGAAAGGCAGGAGAAGAGTTTATTGGAGTTGTGTGCTATGATGTCATTTCCTTTTACAGTCACCCCGAGCGGGTGAAGATATATGCGCTGGCGAGCATAAAACGCTAAATATATCCTGAGCATTCTTCCGACCAGGTCATCCCCATTCTTTATCCTCCGCCTTCCTTATTATGTGCTCCTTTTTCGGTGTACGACCGCAGGGCGATTGTGGGAAGGCTGGACAAGGGCGGTAAGTGAGTTAGACTGCCGTTTGGGGGGATGAAATTCAATTTTTTTTACCCTCGAATTCCACTGCATTTACATATGATGTGGCGGTGGGCGTAAATAGAAGTGGTGGCGAATGTAGCGTTTAGCGCAGATTGCTGAAAAGTGTCCGTATGAGGCGCGCTTCCCTCCGTATTTTGTGAATTGCACATAAAAGTTACATATGTGCATCGCAATGTCGATTGATGCAACTTCACTGCGGGGAGAATGGAGGAGTTTTGTTGTGGATGCGAAGGAGGGAAAAGGAGGAATGTAAGCGCTCGTGATACATTGCAGTTCTTCCGAGGCACGTTGGGTTGAGAGGGTGGCATCTAAAGTGTCCCGTGTTACGTAACGTGAAT